CCTAGAGGCTTAGATGCCGCCACCCAAGCGTCCAGCAGTTCCTTTTTTTCTCTTACACTGAGGTTGGAGCTTTCGGGGATGTTCGCAGCCACTGTTGCAAGAGATATTTTTGATCATACTAGTAAAATATATTATTTAAGTTTATTATGTATATTCCTTTTTATGTTGTCCATATTATATATATATATTCTTTCTTCTTGTTATTATCATTATATAATTATGTATCGTGTATGTATATCTATATACAGAACAAGAACAGTCTTCATTGATGGAAATTAAAAAGTTTATAGTTTACTATAAGTAAGTATACTATTATGTTGTGCAGGGTTAGAGTCCATGGTAAAAGAACTCGTGGACTGTTATGATACCCTCTGGTGATCCCTTTACGCTGCCACCGATTTGTTATACGGAATTGAGATAATATCTTTTAAAAAAAGTTTTTATTGATGAAATAGACATATCAAGATTTCACGACGACAATGACGGCAACCGTGCCGTGTGGACTAGTCAGTCAGGTATTCCTAATTCCATTAAGGGAGGGGATTGTTCTCTAATAAAGGATCATAAGTGCTGATACTATTCGGGAAAGGTGATGATGAAAGCAAAGCTAGGAACCAGAGGGTATCATAACAGGACGAAGCCCCATACACTGGACTAATCAAGCGAAAGACCTTACCAAAATCCCACTTAACGAGTGCGTGCGCCAACTATTGAAAACAGCTGTCAAGGCTTTAATAAACAAGGAATCCACATGACTACGACTGCCCTGCCAAGAGCAACCGGCTATGATGATGATGATACTATTATAAGTTCTATAAAATGTGAAATTACGTACCCACTACACCATCTACGCCTTTATCCTTCAAATATTTGGCATAATCTGGTATCACGCTGACATTGACTTGGTACTCCGAGTTCAGCGGAGTGAAGACCGGACAGAATAATCCTTCGAGTTTCTGCGAATGTATAATTCGAGGATTATAATTTTTGAAGTTATACTTCTTTAATTATTTATTTAATGAAAATTTATGAGCGTGAAGTTTCACGATGCGCGCGCACCGTGACACAAAATTAACAGAAATGAAGTTGCCCACTAAACCGCTCATTACAATACGACCGACGTAACTTGGCGAGTCTGAATATAGCCGCAGGTGAACTCTCCGAACCGTACCGAGAATTACCGAATCTATACGATGTCAAGAAAAGGGATGTCCAATATGCGTGTTTGAGGATGTTGTTTAATCGATTTTTTTTCAAATTGATTAAAATTTAAATAAAAAAAAAAGAAATAAATTTAATAAAAATTAAGTATAAGTTCTTACGCGCGTACATAAGTACACGCACCCTTTTTTTGTTAGAATGTTTGTTCGAGCAACAACGCAATTACTACGGGATTCATTTTGATGGAAGTAGGTTTGAGAAAACAAAAGCGTTTTCAATTTCAAGTTTGGGGGATGCAAAACACAACGTTCCCTTTTACTTTATACATGCATATAATGTGTTTTACGGTTTTAATCGCTGTGATAAATAGAATGATTAAAACAAAGGCGAAAGCTTCTGATAATGTCGGTATTTTTAATCATTTTGATTTTAATCAGGTACGTCAGTTACGCGTTTCTCTTTGTAGGATGGTCCGTCGTTATACATTACATCGGAGACCTCATGTCTCAAGACGGTTGGTTGAATTTACGTCTTGATGTCCATGGGCTCGGGAAACCGATTAACGGGCCATGAAGTTGTTTAACCGTGTTACAAAAAGTAACATGCAAATGAATAAAAACTATGATCACTTCTAGATTGCTATAATTCGCTCGTAATACATTTGAATTCTGACATTTCGTTTTTCCTATTGTAGATTAGATTTTATTAGGCACAAAGTAGAACAGAAAATAGCATGAACTTACTTGTGTGGATGCGTGTTCTATGCTTCCCACTAGCAACAGACAAAAAACGACCAATACGAACGTACGCTTCATAATAATTCTTTAGTCAAGGGCCCTATATGAATTCTCCTCAGTTCGCAATTACATGAACTGCCTTTGTGAAGGTTCAATTAACTTGATTCTTATTTTATACGATTAAAAATAATTGGTTTTATCAAAATGTTAATTATTAGTATTGGTTGACACATCCAAAGACCGATATATCTTTTTTAATTGCTTCATGTTGTATCCGTGACATATAGTGATGGTTTTAAACACTTTAATTAGAATGATTAAAATATAAGTATTAATAATAACTTTTTACATCAAGGAGTAGTAATTATTCTTCTAATTCTTTTAGGAATATTAAATAATTGACAAATTTATATAGGTATGATTTGTGAATTATTGTGTGTTTGTGAATTTGCTAGTGTGAATATAGACTTCGTGAATTTTTAGTTTCAAATTAAAAGATATATAATTTTTCTAATGAAATACGTACTTAACAAATGTTCACGATTGACTTCCACGGTGAAGGAATAACATCGTGCAATAAAAATCAAACACGCAAAATTATAATTTGCGTAATTACTGGTGGTAAGACCTCTTGTGAGTCCTCACGGGTAGGTACCACCGCCCCGCCTATTTCTGCCGTGAAGCAGTAATGCGTTTCGGTTTGAAGGGTGGGGCAGCCGTTGTAACTATACTGAGATCTTAGAACTTATATCTCAAGGTGGGTGGCGCATTTACGTCGTAAATGTCTATGAGTTCCAGTAACCACTTAACACCAGGTGGGCTGTGAGCTCGTCCACACAACTAAGCAATAAAAAAACTCCACTAAACAAAAGAGTAAAGGGAGTAATATTAAGAACCAAATGCTATACCTACAATAAATTTGCATTGTCACCCATCGTCGGTGATAAATTTTGACTAATCGCCTTGCTGTCTTAGCAGTGGAGTTCTTGACTGGATATTAATATTAGTATTATCTTTGGTTTCCGCTATTCGCAGACACAAACTATACTGGAGAGCAATGAATGCGGGTCACCTAAAGAAACCTATAAATCTTGGAAACTAAGAATGCTGGCTTAATAAAATAAGCGGTGTTCATTAGACAATATAATGCCCCTTCAATGAAAGTAATAAAATATATAAGAGTATTAGTTACATAATATTTTTTTAAAAAGATATTAAAAATACAATTTTTAAAAAACACTATATAAAAATAGATTGCCGCTGATGGCGGTGTCTACGACACAAGCCACCAGTGGTTAGGACTCCAGAGTGAGAAACCTCCTCACAATGCGTGCAGTATCGAGGATAACTGCTTTCTGTATTAGGCCCTTAACCCAGCTGGATAACGAAAGTTTCTTAAGATNTACAATTTTTAAAAAACACTATATAAAAATAGATTGCCGCTGATGGCGGTGTCTACGACACAAGCCACCAGTGGTTAGGACTCCAGAGTGAGAAACCTCCTCACAATGCGTGCAGTATCGAGGATAACTGCTTTCTGTATTAGGCCCTTAACCCAGCTGGATAACGAAAGTTTCTTGAGATGTTGATCGAAACTTTTCGCCATCAAGCCGTGTACCGACACAACTATTGGAACAATGATGGTTGAATCAACATGCCACATGGCGGTAGTCTCGTAGGCCAGGTCTAAATATTTTATTAATTTGTCCTTTTCTGCCTTCACGAGGTTCTCGTCATGAGGAATGGTGACATCAACCAACACTGCTCGACGCGCAGATCGATCTAATATCACAATATCAGGTTTATTGGCTACAATATACCTATCCGTGATAATAGATCGGTCCCAGTAGAGCTATTTATTATTATTATTATTATTACTGATATATATTATTATTGTATTGTCTTCAGAAGTCTTTAAGCCAAATTTCGTGATATTGCAAAAATTTAAAGCAGGTAAGTGTTTTTTTAAGCACTACACTCACATTCATGTTTCTGTGCTATCTTCATTACTTTATCCAATTAAAAAAGGGACGTGTCGTTTCAAGTTATGAATGTCTTAATGATAAGAAAACGAATTAATTGTTTTAGATAATCATTCTGTATTCACTTCGGGTATAAAACTACAATTACTCGAATGATAATTTTCAGATGTAATCGAATTTAGTCACGATGATTCGTTTTCTGTATTCTTTTTTGTGTGTGTTAGTGAGTATATCGAAAGAGGCGTACGGGCAGGTAAATATAATATTAATACTGGAAATAAAATCGGAAGGGATGATTTTTGTTAAAGTTCAATAAAAAGTAATCAACGGAGTAAACCCTTTTTTTATTGCTTAGATGGGTGGACGAGCTCACAGTCCACCTGGTGTTAAGTGGTTACTGGAGCCCATAGACATCTACAACGTAAATGCGCCACCTACCTTGGGATATAAGTTCTAACGTCTCAGTATAGTTACAACGGCTGCTCCACCCTTCAAACCGAAACGCATTACTGCTTCACGGCACCCGTGCGGACTCACAAGAGGCCCTACCACCAGTAATTACGCAAATTATAATTTGAAAATAGCGACTAATGTTTCAACCAACAAATAAATATTAACAAATGTATTCGTTTAGTATCTTTTTTTTTCGTGTTAACGATAATTAAAATTTAATACATTCAATTAATTGTTTTAACGCTATCTATGCAGATTTAACTTTTTCTTTCATAGTAATACTCGTAACTAAAAATAGATTGACACGTGTATTTATCATAAGACATGATTCATATGTACAATATATCATCAAATTAAATCATATTAGTAAAGCTATAATTAATATGCTTTAAGTATTAGAAGAAGCGTGATTGTTTATTCTCTTTGGCTATAACTATACTGTTTTACTGTATCTTATATCTCAAGGTGGGTGGCGCATTTACGTTGTAGATGTCTGTGTAACACCAGGTGGGCTGTGAGCTCGTTCACGCATCTAAGCAATAAATAAATAAACAATAATATTATAGTAAGCGTATTGGAAGCAGCGTTCTTTAATCAGTCGTTTCTTGATTTTAGTCACGTGTGCTATTTCTGTTTTTATGTAATTTAGCAAGAAGCCCTTTCCGGAATGTACAGTCCCGTGTTCACTCCATTTAACACGTCTAGTGGAGAAATCGACCTATCTGTCATTCCTGAGTATGCGCAGTTCTTGAAGGATGGCGGAACTGATGGGGTCTCCGGTACGTAAACCATATATTGAGTAAGCTAGCATAAGTAGAATCTATTATTTTCCATAGACTGCTTCGCCGTAGCGTCAGTGGGTCGCGTTTCCGATCCGGTGGTAGATTCTGCGAAGCACTGCTCTTGCTAGGGCCAGTGTTAGCAACACTCCCGTGAGCTCACCTACACGTCAAGGAGAAGCTGAAATAGCTATCAGCGTAGGTAGGATTTTTTTTTTAATGTGTTTCAGTTTCAACGCTCGGCCAGTTTAAAATACAACGTAGCCACTACATAATAAAATTCAATTTGAAGTTGTCGTGGCCTAAAGGATAATATACCCACTGTTCTCGCGTCGTGTGATGAGACTTTGCTGGTGTTCAAATCCCGTGGCCAGTGTGCTTAGTACGAGTTTTTTAACGTTCTCGATAGCGTAAAAGTTAACTTCAATTTGTATGCAGTTGGAACAGCGCCCCTAGCGGCAAACGTAGGCAAACGTTCCAACTCCATACAAATATGAGTTAACTTTTACGCTAACGAGAACGTTAAAAAACTCGCATTAAGCACACACTGGTCGTCTAATTAATGCTGTAAATTTCTCGCAGTGGCCACGCTTACCGGGGAGGGCTTGAGTTTGAGTGTAGATGAAAAGAAAAAGCTATATGAAGCTTGGGTGAATGCGGCCAGGCCTCTGGGTCTCAAGATTATCGTTCAAGTAGGAGGAATACCCGTGCCTGATATCATTGAACTGGTAATATAAATTAATATATAATAATAATATTGAGGGGTGAAAGGTTATATGGTTTAAGCGACATTTATCTTAAGGTCCTTTTTAATTAATTTTGGTATTAGTATCAACAATTCGATGTTTTTAATTGAACTTCAATTATGTTTAGCATATTGAAATAGCTGAATAAGTTTTATAGTAATGATATTTTTTCTAAATTTTAAATTTTAAACGACTCTCCTGTAAATTTGCATAAATGTCCCTTAAACCTTAAAGTAGCCTGTCACCTCTTGAATTATAATCTTTATAACAATTTAATATAAACTATTTTCTAAATTTAATCCCACGTTTTTAATATAATTATATTATTAAATCATAATAAAAATATAAAATGTAACGTAATATAATTAGAGATTAAGCCGTAATGGCAGTTTTAATTATCTCAACTACGAATAAATAATTATTTTATTCGTAGTAAATAATTATTTATTCGTAGTAAATAATTATTTATTCGTAGTATCTCAAACGAAAAACGGGAAAGCGCCAAAACGGAAGAGGTTAAGTTTTTTTTATTTTTTTTTATTGCCCTTGTAGGCAGACGAGCATCAGGCCCACCTGATGGTGAGTGGTTACCGTCGCCCATGGACTTCACCAATGCCAGGGGCAGAGCCAAGCCGCTGCCTACCGCTTAATACTCTCCACAAGCCTCGTTTGAAGAAGGACATGTCATAGCGCTTGGGAAACACCGTACTGTTTAATTATTTGTACGCACGCCGTGTTTGTATCATGCTTGTATTGACGTTGTTCGTTTCTGTCATGAAGCAATCATGAAATTGTAGGTTTCATACTTCAGTATGAAATTGCCTTTCTGTGAAAACTTCATACAAGTATCAGAACGCAGACCTACCAAAACTCCAAATAATATTCCAAAGCGACACTGCACTCTAGAGAAAACGTTACATTTCCCGTGCTTATTGATTTAACACAGATTATTTATGTCAATTTTTAATGTTAAGCATATACTTTTTAAGCTATTGCATAGCTTTTATCGCGGGCTTTGAGCGCGGCGACCGAATCAAGAAATTCCGTAACGAAAATAAAACCTAACACCCCTCACTCCGCCTACCATGTAGCGCATCGCATCGCATGCGCATCATGAAAAGTCTGCCCATCTCTATCTCGCGCTGTCTAGCTTACGAGTGCGAAGGGGACAGTTAAGGTTTTGCTTTCGTTAATGTTTATAAATATAACGCGGTCTTATTTTATTATTATTGTTTTTAAGATTAAATTATTATTGTCTAATTATATTTGCATAAGTTAATAAAACATGCTATGCAATAGCTTTACCGCGGCAGTCCCCGAGTGCCACACGTGTTTTTTTTTTTCCAGACACATTTTGCTGTCAACATAAGTGTGGACGGCATTCAACTTCTTCCACCGCCTTATTATATTATAACGAATTCGGACGAGTTCGTTGCCTTACTTGAGATAGTGGCCGAGAACGCTGGCGACCTACCTATTTATTACGATGATTTTTACGAATATACACTCGAAGAAGAAGACGACTGTAAGTGTTTTTATGACAAAGAATTATAGAATAGTCAAAGAAGTGAAGCTATTATTGGATACTAGCTGACCCGGCAGACTTCGTACTGCCTCAATCGATAAATAAAAAACCTAAATGTTTGTATAAAATAAACTTAAAACAAACAAAAGGAATCACAGAAAGGAAAAACAAAATTGTTATTTTTATTTAATTCCGAGCATTTTCCTATTTATCTACCTTTTAAACCTTCTCTGGACTTCAAAAAATAATTCAAGACCATAATTAGCCAAATCGGTCCAGCCGTTCTCGAGTTTTAGCGAGACTAACGAACAGCGATTCATTTTTATATATGTATAGAGATTTTCGTTGTTGTGTACGTAGTTAAAAGGTCCCTAGAGAACGGCAACAGAGCAAATCGAAACATAATTAATTAGGATTTAGTATATTATTATTCGTCGATTCCATAGATATAGAGGTGAGGCGAATGTCCCGAAATTATTTCAATATCTATAATAATTCGTTTTAATTATATATCGACGCTTGAAAGGCAAACGTGACTAAGCGACAATGCGAGAATTGTCCCCCACCACCCTGTCTATTTCTGCCGTGAGTCTTCTGCAGCAGTAATGCGTTTCGGTTTGAAGGGTGGGACAGCCGTTGTAACTATACTTGAGACCTTATAACTTATATCTCAAGGTGGGTGGTACATTTACCTTGTATGGTAATGGTAATGTCTATGGGCTCCAGTAACCACTTAACACCAGATGGTCTGTGAGCTCGTCCACTCATCTAAGCAATAAAAAAAGACACAAATGTCAAGTGAGCCTAGCTAACCTTAAAGCTTAAATGGCGTTTTGGATTAAGCTCTATGTCTATTCCAGTTTCTCTACAATATTACTTCGATTCGGCCTCTAGGAGAGTAGCGCAATTCAAGGGCATGGTCGGTACATTTAGGGTCGCAGTGTATGCATCTCTAGAAAACGACCCGAGGAGCGACCAGACCATCTTTATTTATAACCAGGTAAGCTATTGCGAAAAGCAGCGTCAAAAGCGGCTTGGCTCTGCCCCTGGCATTGCTGAAGTCCATGGGCGACGGTAACCACTCACCATCAGGTGGGCCGTATGCTCGTCTGCCTACAAGGGCAATAAAAAATAAAAAAAGATGTCGGAATCATGAATTTCAGGGATACCGTCGTAATATGATGATATTTAATGTCTGTGTTGTATATATTTGACATATTTTGTGTTTGAATTTGAGACAAGAGTTCTAAGTCTCCGTTTTATTGGTATGGTCGCATTGGTCGACACATCGGCGACAAAGAGGTCGACGTGCAACCTAACCCATGCATCAGCCCGCTGAGTTTCTCGCCGGATCTTCTCAGCGGGTCGCGATTCCGATCCGGTAGTAGATTCATTCGCGAAGCAATTGCTCTTGAGTTGTTAGGTCTCCTTCGGAGGCGCTCGGGCAGTTGTTAGCAAATCCCACTCTTCTTGGCTGAGCCTTTGCTCGCCCACCTGTCCTGGTGAAACTGGAAAGGCCTTCGGGCCACCAGTAATCTTTCAATCATAAAAAAAAAAACATCGGCGTCTTACTTTTTATGCCGAGATAAACATTACAATGAAAAAAAGAAAATATATGATAAACAGTAGGAGATAATAGTACTTAAGTGTTTAGTCTGTGTCTTTAAAGTACGGTTTGATTTACCGTTGTTTTTTTTAATTGTCAATTTAAATTTCGGACGTTTGAAATACCGAAGAATGTTAATACTAGTACAGCATGTTATACATCTATATATTAATACGTGAAGGAAAACTTTGTATTCCTTTTTACGAAAATTGCGCGCACGGAAGAGTATCAAATTTTCCACACTTATAGAGAATATAGAGAAGAAGTGCACAATGCAATTTTTTTTTTAAATAATGTATAAAAGATACTTTAAATCAATAAAGAAAACATTACACACACTACATATCATATTGACGCACACACGCATGCATACTTTTGTTCTAATCTAATATTGTTTGTCTTTATTAATATTTTTTATAGTGTAGTCTTGGCGAAATTTGTGATTATAGAAGTATGAAATACAATCATAATAGTGTACAAACTTACAATTCCAATTAATTATAGTCGAATTTCGACTACTGTGGGACCTCTAGTATATATTAATACGTGAAGTAAATACTGCCGTTGTAACTATACTGAGATCTTAGAGCTCATATCTCAAGGCGGGTGGCGGCATTTACGTTGTAGACGTCTATGGGCTCTAGTAACCACTTAACACCAGGTGAGTTGTGAGCTCGTCCAACCATCTAAGCAATAAATAAAAATAAAATAAAAACTTGGTACACATATGTATAATGCATTGTGCTTTTTAAATTCCAACAGCCAAATGTTGAAGCCGCAGCTTTCATGGACTGTAATTCGTTCATGCTACCGGCAATGAACATTTTCCCGAGCCTTTTCAAGCAGATCGTCGACCTGAGCTCTAACGGAACTAGATCAGAAGAAGCTCTCGCTCTTCAGGACAGATTGAACGATATCGTCTACGAGATATTAGACAAAGGTGAGAAGTTACTTGTTTATTTATTTATAGACTAGCTGACCCGGCAGACTTTGTAGTGCCTCAATCGATATATAAAATACCTAAGCTTTTGTATAAAATAAATTTAAAACAAACAAAAGGAATCGGTCCGACGGGGGACACATCAAAGGAAAAACAAAATTGTTATTTTTATTTAATTCCGAGCATTTTCATATTTATCTACCTTTTAAACCTTCTCTGGACTTCCACAAATAATTCAAGACCAAAATTAGCCAAATCGGACTAGCCGTTCTCGAGTTTTAGCGAGACTAACGAACAGCACTTCATTTTTATATATTATATAGATTTAATTGCACAAACAAACAATAAGTACATGACAGATGTCATCTCAGGGTGCAATCGACAGTCCAATAGTTGACAACATCTTGAAATTAGAAAAGTAAAAATATAAAGAGTAGGTACATAATTTTAAGAAATATGAAATTCAGAATAACACTTTGTCCGCTGATATAGTCTCTCAAGGATAGCCTTTATATATTTATAGGTACTAACTATACTACATTGAACTATATAACAATACTAGCGATCCGCCCTCGCTTCGCTTCGGAAACTGTAATTTATTATTAATTTCTCCACTGTTTAATGGATGTTATTATACATATAAACCTTCCTCTTCAACCACTCTATCCTATAAAAAAAACCGCATCAAAATCCGTTGCGTAGTTTTAAAGATTTAAGCATACATAGGGATATAGGGACAGAGAAAGCGACTTTGTTTTGTACTATGTAGTGATAATGATTTCTTTACTGCTTCCTTCAGGAGATGATGTAGCAACGTTAAAAGCAGCCGCTGAACTGGTATCAGGGATTAAGCTTGGCGGCGTTCGTCCTCCAATGCGTGCTTTATCCAGGACGACGTACATGGAGATCAAGGATATACTTGAAGACAATGACGTCGAAACACACGACTAGAGCACAGTACGACAAGTGAAAACGCATTGTGTGAATTGAATGAGTTTTACTATATAAAATAATAAATTAACATAATATGTTATCGGATATTTTTCATTTTTTTGGATGGTTTCAAGTATGTGATCCTGATAAAAAAAAGTATTAATTTTTTGCTTAGATGGATGGACGAGCTCACAGCCCACCTGGTGTTAAGTGGTTACTGGAGCTCATAGACATCTACAACGTAAATGCGCCTCCCACCTACCACCCACCTACCCTCCCACCTACCACTTTACTGGTGGTAGGACCTCTTGTGAGTCCGCACGGGTAGGTACCACCGCCCCGCCTATTTCTGCCGTGANCACCTACCACCCACCTACCCTCCCACCTACCACTTTACTGGTGGTAGGACCTCTTGTGAGTCCGCACGGGTAGGTACCACCGCCCCGCCTATTTCTGCCGTGAAGCAGCAATGCGTTTCGGTTTGAAGGGTGGGGCAGCCGTAGTGACTATACTGAGACCTTAGAACTATATCTCAAGGTGTGTGGCGCATTTACGTTGTAGATGTCTATGGGCTCCAATAACCACTTAACACCAGGTGGGCTGTGAGCTCGTCCACACATCTCAGCAATAAAAAAAAAAACCTTCCAAAATTGGAAGTAGTTTGCTGAAAATAATTTTTAATGACTTCGAAACGTCTGATTAACTTGAAAATTTGCAGACGCATCAATGAGCGATGACAAGATAATTTTATAATTTTGCTGTAATATCCTGATTAGTATCAACTAGATAACTGATAATTACGCAATAACTGGATTGTGTAATTACTGGTGGTAGGACCTCTTGTGAGTCCGCACGGGTATGTAACACCACCCCTCCTATTTCTGCCGTGAATCAGTAATGCGTTTCGGTTTGAAGGGTGGAGAGACCTCAGAACTTATATCTCAAGGTGGGTGGCGCATTTACGCTGAGATGTCTACGGGCTCCGGTAACCACTTAACAGTTAACAGCTTAGTGAGCTCGTCCACCCTTAAAATTACGTATTTTCATTTTTAATATACGCCTGCCTATATATATTATGATGTTTACGATCTTCACCTTTCATCCTGTTTATTTATTGTCCGGACGCGTGAGTTTCTCATCAATAATGATAATAGTCTTGTTTACATTTAAATTACGACAGTACATAATGAAATAAGTAAAGCTGTTACGTATTATTTGTTACACTAGCGTCATTACGTAAATTAATCCTAATAGGTTCAGTGGGTGTGGTCGACGCATATGCTAGAGATAAACTAGATGTAAATAACTTTATTGTATATGCAAAAAATTGTTCAAAGCAAAGCAAACGCTTTTCACATTGATTTTCTTAGGGACGACATTGAAAATAAATTGAATTTTTAATTAAATATTAGTTGATTTATGGATGAATGAATGATAAATTATATAATATTATAATATCTTGCACTGCACTAAAATTCGCATGTCAAATAATGACAAAGCATACACGCTGCTTTTAACTTATGTAATAACTCATTTTCACTATGCTTGGCGAATAAATGATTTCTTTCTTTCTTTCTTTTCTTTCAAAAGTTACTCTACGGTTTTATTAGGAAATCTTCATTCCAGCAGATCTGAGAGTAGCATAATTATTATTAATACATTAGAATAGTCGTTTAAAGATATATAAATGAATATCAAATTATAGTCAGGTCCGGACTTTAAGTAAAAATGAAACTCTAAAACAACTGCATGCGAATTCGAATAATACTTATTTAACTATATATAATTAATGCATTATTCAGAAGGAAAAGCAAGCCCGCCCTTATACGTCTTGTCTTTTCGAGAAATAATCAATAAAGAGAAGAAAGAATTAAAACGTTAATAAGTATAATTTGATTTAGAAAAATAATAATAAAGATATTAATCTTTTTTAACCGCTCTATATACTTCAGATTTCATTAAATAAAAATTTGATGTGTTAAGCTATAGAACAGGGACTCCCCTTGTGTTACACAATAAACTGAGAAACAATAACTCTATGATAACAAAGCAACACAGACTCACATTATGGAATATTTCCTCTCAGCAACACTAAAGATTGTGTTTAATAGTGGCTGGCGGCGCGGCGCGGCGGTCCAAGCCCGCCAGTACGTAAGCTATCAAGTGTATAATCTATGTTTAGTATTATTTGCCGGCAGTCCGAGGGAACACACGACAGGCCGAATTTAAAAAAATAAAATCGAAATGTCACTTATAAATCTAGAATGTAGTGTCAATGGAGTTAAGAAAAAATTCTCGAGAATGGAATCGCGCGATTCAAATCATCGGAGCGAGTGTAATTTAGAACGTAATGATTCAGTTTGTAGTAAGAATCAATTGAAAACGTTAGACGGTAACGATAGAAGAGTTTTAGTTATTTATACAGGTGGCACAATTGGTATGGTGTGCAATGAGGAAGGAGGTGAGTTCCTAATTTATTTTCCCTCCATACCGGTCGGTTACTATGGCAACGCATAAACTCCGCGTCCGTAAAAAGTGTGTCAGTCTAAAAATATTTTACTCAAATGAAAATAGGTTTAGTCTAACCGTGTCTGCTCTCATAGAATTAATTTTAATAATATTTTTGATAACTTTCCTATTTTTATATACAATTTTAATTGTATTTTTGTATTGTATTTGATCTTTGACATATTTTGTTTAAAAAATCAAAGTCATTACTTTAGTGTTTTATATGATGATTATTCGGGTTAAAAATATTATTTAATAGGTCATTGATCCTTTTGAACTATTCACCAAAAAATATACAGTTGATAATGCTGTACAAAAAATGTCACTTTAATCATCAACATTATATTTTAAATACAAATTAAATAAACTTTCGTAGTAATAAAAACTCCAAAAAAATTATGTCTATCTTTTTATCTGCTAGGGTTCACATGAGCTACGTTGAATTGCATTTTCGAACGCAACCAAAGAATATGATTTCGTAATGTACACACATTATTAAGATGATAACAAATGATGCCAGCCGCTGATATGTTTCGTAATGCGTATAGTGTACAATGTACACTTATGACAATTTTTATGGTTTCCGCCTTATTTTATGTACAAGAGAACTCAATAGACGTGTACAAAAGATTCAGATAAATTAATAGTCAATCTCTCACGGAAAAATGAGGAATTGCTTTATTCTTTACTGGTAGTAGGACCTATTGTGAGTCCTCACGGGTGGGTACCACCACCCCGCCTATTTCCGCCGTGAAGCAGTAATGCGTTTCGGTTCGAAGGGTGGGGGCAGCCGTTGTAACTATACTGAGACCTTAGAACTTATATCTCAAGGTGGGTGGCGCATTTACGTTGTAGATATCTATGGGTTCCAGTAACCACTTAACACCAGGTGGGCTGTGAGCTCGTCCACCCATCTAAGATATAAAAAAGTTTTTTTTTTTTTTATCAAACCAGTGTCTCATCTAATAATGGTGATTTATTAACCGATTAGAATCTGTAGTGATGGGAAATAAATTCATTTAATCTCATTTCGTTCTATTTTGGTTTTTCATATAGCAAACTATGATAAAATTGATAAATGAAGATTCGGTTAAAATCGACGGTGGAATGTATAGCCTCGCTCATCTGATATCATGTGTTGTGTGTCTTATTAGCGGTATCAAGGTTAGGATAGCCGTCATTCTGATAACCAGAAATCTTGACCTTGGGTCGTATATTTCACGGCGTTCAGATTCACACAACGCATTCACGCATCAACGCGTCACACAAAGCATTTATCACTCTGCTAGTTTACTCGAATAAAATATTTCGTTTACATAATAGCCATTACTAATTTTGTTTGTATTTGAATTTGTCAATATTGAATTATTTGAACCCATTTAAATTGAACCCATTTAAATGAACGCCACTGTATGTTTATCATACATTAACAATATCACTGAGTAATTTTGATAAGAATCTCATCTAGACGCTGAGTGCAAAGTCAACCATTACTATTTTTGTCTATTTCCCTTGTAGGCGGACGAGCATAGGAACTAAGTAAGTGGTTACCGTCGCCCATGGACTTCAGCAATGCTAGGGGCAGAGCTAAACCGCTGCCCACCGTTACTATTTAGTTTTACTGCTGTAACACCGGGTATGTAAGTGATTTTTGTAGCAGGGCATTTTAGGCCCGCATGAGCAGATATTATCCTACCTATTTCTGTAAGAAAAATTCAGAGTATACCTGTGCCGTGCTATAAGCGTAACAACTTAAATCATTCGCATAGGTTTATGCATGTATGAAATGCATTTCACTTTCACCAAGTATTGAAAGTGTTTCGCTTTCTTCGTGAATGGTACGAGAGATATATCTAATTATGCCAAAAATCTGTATGGCCGAAAATGTGGATCAGATGTCCAACTAAAAAACTTTTAAATTTATGATACTAGTTGTGTTTGTCTTTATAAAGATAGCTTATAATATCTGTCTGAGGAATTGTTCGAGATGATACCGGCATCTCGTTTTTACCATCGCACCGCCCGCCACCGGAGTAGAGTTCATCCAGACTACCTGGAGCCACTGCGGTCATCGACAGTGCGTTTCCAGAGGTCTTTTTTGCCACTTACCATCCGGCTATGGAATGAGCTCCCTTCCACGGTGTTTCCTGAGCGTTATGACATGTCCTTCTTTAAAAGAGGCTTGTGGAGAGTGTTAAGCGGTAGGCAGCGGCTTGGCTCTGCCCCTGGCATTGCTTAAGTCTATGGGCGACGGTAACCACTCACCATCAGGTGGGCCGTATGCTAGTCTGCCTATAAGGGCAAAAAAAAAAACGTACTAGTGAAACGCAAGCAGGCTTCGCTATTTTTAAAACACGTTTTTTTTATACAACTCGCGTGCCATATGTCGGTAAAGTTACTACGATAGAAACTTTCATTGAAATTTCAATAATAGCTGTAAAAAGTCTAAATATAATCTGATAAGTGAAGTTAATGCGTGAATCACGGACAAATTCAGATATCTTATACCTTTAAACGAGCAATTCTTGTATATTAATATATATAGGTATGTATATAATCTGAATCTCGGAAACGGGTCCAACGATTTTCATAAAATTTAATAAACAGGGGATTTCGGGGGCGATAAATCGATCTAGCTACAATTTATTTTCAGAAAATGTTGTTTTATTCGTGTTTTCAATAATTATCAATTCCCGACATCTATTGGCGAATAATAATACTATTTTTCTTAATTGAGGGCAACTAACCGCTTTAAAGACACAACAAGATGGCGTTATCAAAAAAAAAACCGAGCAAAGCCTGGTCATCATCTAGTTTGATTTAACAAACACGATGTCATATTTTTGTATTAGGTTCATCATCATTCTCCTGCCCTTCTCCCAGTCACCTGGGGTCGGCGAAACATGTTTTCTTCTTCCATACTCTTCTATCATATACCATTTCTTCGCTCACTCCCCTCTTACGCATATCATCTTTCACGCAATCCATCCATTTCTTCTTTGGTCTACCTCTTCCTCTATATCCTTCCACATTCATAGTTAGCACTCTCTTAACAACCTCATTTTCATTTCGTCTCATCACATGTCCATACAATCCAAAGCGGGCACTTCTCAGCTTTTATGTCACGGGTGCCACTTTCAGACTTCCTCTAACATATTCATTCCGTATTCCATCCATTCTCGTTACTCCACACATCCATCGCAACATTCGCATCTCTGCTGCATGCCATCGCCTTTCATTCGTACTTTTGTATTATGTTAACGTATTATTATCAGCTCTAGAAAGAAGCTGTCGTGGCGTAAATGGTAATCTGCTTCTTGTACTCATATCAAAGCACATCACCATTTTATCACTGGTGGTAGGACCTCTTGGGAGTCCGCACTGGTAGGTACCACCACCCCGCCTATTTCCGCCGTGAAGCAGTAATGCGTTTCGGTTCGAAGGGTGGGGGTAGCCGTTGTAACTATACTGAGACCTTAGAACTTATATCTCGAGGTGGGTGGCGCATTTACGTTGTAGATGTCTATGGGCTCCAGTAACCACTTAACACCAGGTGGGCTGTGAGCTCGTCCATCCATCTAAGCAATAATTAAAAAAACAGTAATTAGACTTTCGAAAAAAATTGCCTCCTTAATTTTTATAATCAATGCTATTATTTCTTCGTAGAAATCGTTTGTTAATTTGAGTATATATTTACATAGAAATAGAGTACCTACCGTAGGATTTGAATCTCTGCATCTATGTAAGTGACGTCGCATACATCACGTCTTTACAGGACTCCACGATGGCCACGGAGTCTTCCAAATTTGTCCACTTTTTTTCTTTCCTCTCAATCCATTCAGCATCCATTTTCGGACTCGCAATTGCTAGGCTGTATAAATATTCGATCAGATTAGATTATAATTATCGCACCAGTAACAAAGAGTTATTAAAGTTTATCACATTCGATCGGTTAGGATCGTAAAAAAGTATATATCGAAATGAAAACATTAAAATACTATTATCGCAGTGAATGCATTACGATTTTTATGTGTCGGATTAAATTAGAAATGCTTTTTATTTTTATTAGGTATGATTTGTAATAAACCAAAAGCATTAAGAAATGACCATTTTAATATACATTTATTTACCTTGACATATTTGGCGATTCCCTTCCAATATTTAAGAACAAAATTATAAAAAGTTGTTGTTGAACCTCAGCCTCAGCCTTGGTCTGAGTACTCGGGTATTACTGCCCTTGTTGTCTTTCTTTTGTTTTTAATTTTTTATTATTATTAATAGTATTGTTAAATCTCTATTAATATATTAATGTAATGCATGCTGTGATTGCCTATAATTAGAGTTGCAGTTATCAATTGCTCTATACATGTCAATGTTATTTTATGTCTTACTGTAAACCCTGTCGGTAATCCTTAAATAAATAAATAAATAAATTTACGGTCATTAGTTACTCTTTAAACAGTCATTAAATAAAATCCACAGTAAAAAATAATATTGACTAGGTAATGTTGATCTAACATAGCGCCATATCTTTCCCTAGGTGTTGTAAAAGGCGGCTAAGTGATTTCGACTTACCCCAGAATATAGATCAGTATCTTCTGAGTTTTTTTTCATCCTTCCTTATCTTTGATAACATTTTTAAACTAGTCACGGACTGGTAGGTGACCTCACGGGCTCAACCAACTTGAGAAAGATTTGGTAACACTGTCCCCTAGTAAGAGCAATGTTCCACTGAATCTACAATCGGATTGGAATTGCGGAGTATTATACCAGTATACAGCTTACACCCCCCAACATTGAATGGAAATAAAGCACATTGCTAGCCTCATTGAATGGACATCAAAGTCTTGTCTATGTCTGCCGTGAAGCAATCGTGCGTTCCAGTTTGAAGGGTGGGACAGTGGAGGATTATAATAGCGATGATCAATCTCAAGACCCAGGGATGGGTGGCCGGAATTTAGGTGGTGGTACTTGTGGGTGGGTTCCTATAATTAGCAGGCGAGCCCTGAGCGCGATCCGACTAATGCAATAAAAAGTAAACACATTGCTACATTAAAATATTGCGACTTATATAGTCTTCTTCAGAGAGCACGCGGAGCCAATAGTAATTGCTACCGACCGTTATCTAACTAATGAGGTCATCGTGCCCCCTTACGGGGCAAGGAACGGACCTCGGGGCAAACCCCTCTGTCCGGGTATGATGAGCCGGAACTAATTAATTAACTTTACTAGAATTTCAATTTATTTTCATTAACACTTGGTAGTGGCATTTCTTCTCGTATCTCGTTTCTATTTTAATTACTCATAATCTAAAACAAAATTAGGATACAGTAATCCCCCCTATAACACGGTAGATTGGTTCCGCGTTATAGGAGAATTCTCGCATAACGCGCTTGTATGACTCCATATAACGCGGTATGTACAAATATATTGTATAAGCATTATTTATATTGTGTAATAAAACCAATGTTTTTATAATTCAAAAACTAGGAACAAAAATTTAATGTTTTAGTTTAATTCAATTTTATAACAACACAATTGACACAATGTGCAAAGGAAATTGATTACGAATCGTAAAAATCATTATAAGTTTCACAGTCTGTACAGGAATATAACGTGTGAAATCCCCGCGTTATGTGGGGGAACATACGTGCTATACGAGGGACTGATATCGCGTAATATAAAAATGCGTTATAAGAGTACCGTGTTATAAGGGGGATTGTTTTTCAAATAGCTACTGGTCTTAGTCGCTTCACTCTAGGTCGTGATCGTTATATAGCCTTGAAGGGGCAGAACTGACGCGTACAATGATACTTCTGGTATGTTTTTTTTATTGCTTAGATGGCTGGACGAGCTCACAACCCACCTGATGTTAACTGGTTACTGGAGCCCATAGAATCTATTATTTAAATGCGCCACCCACCTTGAGATATAAGTTCTAAGGTGTCAAGTATAGTTATAGTTATGTGCGTATTGTTTGCAGTGTTAGCGCCGCAGAAGAACTTGTTCGAGGGTCTCATCAGGGAGTTTCCTCAGCTCCACGACCCCGCTTTGTGGGAGCAAAGAACCCACGATCCCACTTTTGACCGAAGCTTCCTTGTTTTACCAAGTCCGTATTAATTTTTTTAATTTTAAATTAATTTCCGAATATTGTTTTAATACGTAGGTCATATACGATCAGTCAGCTTTTGTGGACAATTAAAATACTTATTTCGAATAATCCTTATAAGGTACTAGCCGTACTCGCCCGTTAAAATTAACATTATTATTTATTGTCATTATTATTAGGGAGTCCAACGCTCATATAAATATTAGCCTATCCATCAAGTACATGTATTTTCTATATGGGTACCAAGTTTCAAGTCAATCGGATGCATGGTTCAGTAGTTATAACGGAACATCCGTAAAAACCGCTGTAGATTTATATATTAATATATATAATATATTAATATGTAATATATTAAGTATAGATAATTAATTACATCAAACAAATACTAGAAAGTACCTACCTAGTGTAAAACAGATAGTATAAAAGAATATTTTAATTTTTTCTTACGCCTATGAATAAAATCATAAGTTCTTAAAGAAAAATTAAGTATTATTTTTTGTAACATTGTTATTCAGAAACAAACGATACGAGTCTTAGAATTTTCTACAAGATACAGGAGTATGAAAATCTATTGGATTCTTCGAATATGTCAGAGGAAGATTGGATTTTTCTAGCTGAAGATATAAAGGTACGAATAATTATTAAGTGTAATTTTAATTAATTATTTGGAAATTATAATTCTCTTAATCAGGGTGTTGATTTATTATAAATACATTCCAGAGGGTATTTCTTTTTATTTAATAATTAGAAACTCTTGCCAGATAAATTTAGGTACGTGCGTCTCCTGTGAGCTACCACTATTAAGATTATTTTCCGTTTTAATTTTGCTCTAGAGATATGGTCAAACTTAGAAGACCGCTTTATACTAGGTCGTTACCGAAACTCATTAAAGTCGCAACAAGAATACCACCATTCAGACTGAGATCTGATGGTAGAAGTGGTAATATTATTGTGTAACCCAACCGACACTTCAAAACCAAATGCATTACTGCTTCGCGGTAGAAATAGGCAGGACGATGGCACATAGATGTGCGAGCTTATTGTAACATCCTAGTCATCATTCTCCTGCCCTGCTGCCAGTCACCTGGGGTAGGCGCAACATGTTTTCTCCTCCCGTATTCCTCTATCATATACCATTTCTTCGCTCAATTCCCTCTCACACACATCGTCTTTCAAGCAATCATACAAATAATTATTAGGACGATAACATCCTGTAACATCCTAGTAATTATGAATAAATTTTCAGAGGTTTGTTTTTTATTACAAAACATCATGAATGACTGTTAGATACGCATGTCCCTACAGACTTCTTCATCAAAGTGGCGAATTCAATTATTGATTATTATTTTTTCTTTTATCTTAGGGTGTTGACCTCTAGGCTGCAATTGAGTTGGTTATAATAATTATAATTAAACGCGATATCTCACGATATAAAAACCAAATCGCCAATTAAGTTTAGGCAAATAATAATAATATATTATTAAAATATTATTAATATATATATATATATATATATATTAATAATAACTCAATTGCAGCCTAGAGATGGACTACGCACAAAAACATTTTTGCCTAAACTTAATTGGCGATTTGGTTTTTATGTCGTGAGATATCGCGTTTAGATTGGCAAATGCGTATTATTCTCCGTTTGTTTTATACAACAGAAATACTACGAGCAGTACGATGGTTTTGTGGTACTCCACGGGACGGACACGCTCAGCTACACCGCGTCAGCCCTCTCGTTCATGTTCGAGAATTTGGGGAAGGGAATCGTGATAACAGGATCTCAGGTACGATGCATACTCGATTTTAATTATATAAATGACGTCATAAATACAATTTTCCTTTTTTTCCTACCTGTGTTGTAATCTAGGTGGCTATGCCAACGTAACCGGGTGAGTAAGTAAGCTCACGGGCTCTAATCAAGCGAATTTGCTAACACTGGCCCTAGCAAGAGCAGTGCGGAAACGCGGCCCACTGAGAAGATTCGGCGAGAAACTCAGTGGGCTCTGTCTGGGGACAGATACCACAACGATCAAACCAAATTTCATAGTATAGTGCATTAGTTAATGAGGCCCAGTTGTCGAATTCATGCGAAATATCTACATTTCCTTTTCAATATTACCTGGAGCCACTGCGGTCATACACAGTGCGTTTCCAGAGGTCTTTTTTGCCACGTACCATCCGGCTATGGAATGAGCTCCCCTCCACGGTGTTTCCCGAGCGCTATGACATGTCCTTCTTCGAACGAAGCATGTGGAGAGTATTAAGCGGTAGGCAGCGGCTTGGCTCTGCCCCTGGCATTGCTGAAGTCCATGGGCGACGGTAACCACTCACCATCAGGTGGGCCGTATGCTCGTATGCCTACAAGGGCAATAAAAAAATATATTCGAACATTAATTAGACAAAATCTCGTACTTTGTCAATCGTAATGCGTTAGAGAAGTGGATATTATGTACAGGCGTATTAATGTTCTTTACTTTTGGCTTTTTGATACTGAAATATCTATTAAATAACTAACTGACCCGGCAGACTGCGTAGTGCCTCAATCTAAAAAAAAAAACACCTAAACTTTTGTATAAAATAAACTTAAAACAAACAAAAGGAATCTGTCCGACGAGGGACATAACAAAGGAAAAACAAAATTGTTATTTTTATTTAATTCCGAGCATTTTCATATTTATTTACCGTTTAAACCTTCTCTGGACTTCCACAAATAATTCAAGACCAAAATTAGTCAAATCGGTTCAGCCGTTTTCGAGTTTTAGCGAGACTAACGAACAGCAATTCATTTTTATATATATAGATTTTGTATACAGATACCGATTTTCGAGCCAAGAAGCGACGGCGTGGACAATTTTGTTTCATCGCTTCTGATCGCGGGCGGCCTTAACATACCTGAAGTTACAGTTTTCTTTGGAAGTAAACTGTACAGAGGAAATAGGTGATGTTTTTTTTTAATTATTGCTTAGATGGGTGGACGAGCTCACAGCCCACCCGGTGTTAAGTGGTTACTGGAGCCCATAGACATCTACGACGTAAATGCACCACCCACCTTGAGATATAAGTTCTAAGGTCTCAGTATAATCACAACGGCTGTCCCACCCTTCAAACCGAAACGCATTACTGCTTCACGGCCGAAGTAGGCGGGGCGGTGGTACCCACCCGTGCGGACTCACAAGAGGTCCTACCACCAGTAATTACGCAAATTATAATTTTGCGGGTTTGATTTTTATTGCACGATGTTATTCCTTCACCGTGGAAGTTAATCGTGAACATTTGTTAAGTATTATGTATTTCATTAGAAAAATTGGTACCCGCCAGCGGGATTCGAACACCGGTGCATCGCTCGATACGAATGCACCGGACTTCTTATCCTTTAGGCCACGACGACTTCATGGTGAAAAAATATAAATGTTTAATGATTTTGTTAATTCGGATATGGAGCAGCGAATGGTTTTATAAGACGTAGAGTTGAATAGAAGATACTCTTAATGCTTTAGACGCCTATTAAACTCTATTTAATTTTATTATTCCTAATAATTAGTAATGAACAGAAATATTACCTCTTACCCTTAGATTCTCCAGCCTTCGATTTTCAGAAGCTTTCAGAAGCAACCTTAAGCTTAATTTTTAATTAAAGGTAACCGACATTTAATTAATCTATTTATTTTATTTATTTATTTATGTACACATAAAAAAGAAGACATAGTACAGAGTAATAGGAAAATTATGTACAAAGGCACTTTAAGAAATCTCTTCCAGTAGACCTGCGAGAGGATTCTGAGAATAATAATTAAAAGTGATGAGTGTGTGTAGAACAGCTAAAATAACAAATACAACATGAAATTTATAGTAATGCACATACAAATAGTAAATATTGATTTAAATATTGATCAATCCATGGGTCGATTAGTAACCGCTGTCTTCACTCCGATATAGAACACGAAAGGTATCAGCGACTCATCTCCACGCTTTCGATTCTCCTAACTGCGTGCCCATAGTAGAAGTCGGCCTTGAGATGGAAGTCAACAAGGCTGCCATATTCAAACCCAACACGATCGAGAAGTTTCACGTGCACGCCAGAATGTCCAAGAACGTGGGCTTGCTGAGGATCTTTCCGAGCATCAGCATTGCTGTGGTTAAGGCTTTCTGTCAACCGCCCATCGAAGGTAAATTTCATCATTGCTACATCGACCTGTCATGATTTTTTATCGCGTAATTAAATTTACTAATTAATTAAGAGTCAGCAAGCGAAGTGGCAGTGGGCTGGCCATATATGCCGTAGGACTGACGATCGCTGGAGCAGACGGGTCCTCGAGTGGAGACCGCGCAGCGGAAGACGTAATGTGGGACGCCCCCTGGCTAGGTGGTGCGATGACCTCCGAACGGTGGCCGGCAAGAAGTGGATGAGGAGAGCCGTACATCGGGCTCAGTGGTTTGAGTAGTGGGCGTAGTGGTCAGAGGCCTATGTCCAGTGGACGACTGTGGGCTGTTGATGATGATGATGAATTAAATTAACTGGTAGTACCCTAATAGCCGAAACTCGACAGGAATAGGAATAGGATCGTGACGACTACGATAAAATACTAATAATAATATTGTTTAGTTCGGCTTGGTATATTAAGCGTGCTTTGTATTTTTTTAATAGATACATCTGTTATGCTCTGCCCAAAGTCTATAACTAATATGGCATTACATAAAAGGGATATAGTCTCTTTTCAATGTAGTACGTCGATCTATTACTAGATTTAGAAGATATTCGACTTCCGTATTTTAAATTTAACCAATTGCGATAACGCGCAGTTTAAGGTCTGATCATTCGACCATGAGATAAACGTTATCCATCTAATAAATCATAAGCTGACGGACTACTTATACAATTTGATTGCTGATAGAAATTTAATATTTGTGTTCTATTTTAAAATCTGAATAACTATTACTTTTTTAATAAAATACTTTTTTGACAACTCTTTTCATGTTCGTATTGATCTGCCCTTAGCATGGCTCATTTTCTGTCTGGTAATAAAAGTCCAAAGAAGGCACTATAACCCTTAACACGTGAATTAGAAGTATCATTTTCGCAAAATGGCTTTCTCCCTCACAAATCGCCCCAGCAATAGTAGCGATAGTAGCAGATTAATTTTCGTACACAGGAATGGTACTAGAATGCTACGGAGCCGGCAATATTCCTATCAATCGCGATGACGTTTTGAACGTTTTGGCTGAAGCCGTCAAGAGAGGAGTCATCCTGATTGTGATCACGCAGTGCAATACCGGATCTGTTGCCGCTTTGTACGAGACGGGACAAGTGAGTAAGGCCTTTAGTGAATACAAAGAGTCTGAAGTTATCCGACTATGTATTCTTTTAATAAAATTGTTCCGTATCTTCATTTCTGGTGTCTAATTTGAAGCCTGTTATTTGACGATGCGTTGCACAATTCATTACCACGTTGCTCTGTCTTCAGCAGTCTTTATTGCTTCAAGCATAGGCACGCGGGTGAGTGATGTTATCAGTTTTGATAAACTGGTGAGGTGATAGTCCGCGGGATCTTTTTTTCTTTGATTATTAACCTTTACAGCACTTTATATGATCGTCTATATATTTACATATAATAATACGTATATATTTACAAATATAAATAATTACATGAATGTTTTCAATAAACTCCAAAAAGGCTAGACCGATTTCAATGAAATTGTATCAGGAAATCTTCAGATTGTCTTAGTGGTTGTGAAGTTTGGTACCGATCGAATTAAAGATTGACCACTTAAACGGACCGGCTTCAACTAGTATATAACACACTTAAAACTATATCTATTTCGTATTTCTTTTAAAGAAGTTTAATATCGTTACATTACAGTTGATGGCGAAATACGGTGTTGTGTCTGGCTTTGACATGACCCCGGAAGCGGCTTTGACTAAGCTATCGTATGTACTGACGAAAACCGAACTAAGTTATAAAGAGAAAACCGAGGTGATTTAATATTTTCATTAATCTAGATGGGCATTAGAATAAAATTTAATGATAATATTAAGAAATATTTCGATAAGACCTTATTTTATAAATTTAAATAATTTGAGATAAATTTCAATGACTTGAATTAAAATTTTGTACGGTGACGTCATTGTACAAGATTGCGAGCTATTTGTGAAAACGCCCTATAAGTTCCTTAATTTCCAAACATTTTTTCATCGCCTTGTGGGTATTCGTTGTTCACATACATTACATGCAAAATGTCAAAGGGTCTCTACCTCCCGCTTTCTTTTAAGGTACGAGATGAACTACATTCATCCATGATATTCCAACTGTAAGCCCATTGGTTGGATCTTCGGGTCCTATCTCATGAAATTGGCATTACTGAAGCTCGTGAGCATCGGTGACCGCTCACGATAAGGCATAAGGTGTACATCAACCTTAAAAAGCATTTGGTATCAACGAGCCTATGGTATTTTTGGTGCTAAGTGGCTACCGGAACTTGTAGGCATTAATAACGTAAACCCCCACCTTGAGACATGAGCTTTATCTAACTCTCAGTTATGTAGTACAATGGATGCTCTACATTTCAAGCCGGAACCCATTAATGCTTGCCTGCAGAAATTGGTAGGGTGGTGGTACCTATCTTTGTAGGCTCACAAGACGCCCTACAGCAACTATTAAAACGAAAAAGTTACTTTTTCAGATGATGATGAAGAATATCAGAGGTGAACTAACTAATGTCTCTTCTATGGCTATCGAGGTGAGCAATACTGAAAATTATTGTGTTTTATTAAGTACCGTCACGAGTGATTTAAATTGACCTCACAACATTTCTACAATAAGAATGGTGCTAACTATTTGTTTTTGGCCTTATGACCGGAATGCCGCCACTCACCATCAGACACGAGGGCGAAGTCTTAGTTGAAATATATCACGGCTACATGACCCTTCAAACGAAAGAACCGTAGCTGCTTTGTGACATAAATGTTACTAGTCAAAAGGTTGTACAGTGATCTCATTAGTTAATTGTTAAATTTGAATCTCAGGATCAAACTCTCAAAGAAGCTCTAGCGAAAAGTTTAAATATCCAATCGCCGAAGAAGTTGTTGGAGGTGACTGAGCGGGTGATATCTTCGTTGCTGTTATACGGTATCGAGCGAAGTGATGAAGGGGTCATCACGAAGCTTTTGGGTTCGTATGAAATGAAATTTTCCACATTTACAGGGCCTAAGGACTTTTCTCTTCGTGGACCATGTTTTGTGTGTGTGTATTGTAGTCCTAGGGTACCCTGCTGGTACAAAGGGCCCTCACAAGTTGTCTCCACTTGACCCTGTGACCCTGTCTTGCGCTTGCTCCTCGACATCACTCCAGGTCACGTTGGCAGTCCTCATCTCACTCTCCACGGTGTATCGCCAAGTGTGTACAGGGCGACCAAATCTTCTCCTGCCAAGCTGTTGCCACTCAAACGCGATTGATGCTGCGTGGACCAGACATATGCCAAATACTAAACATGATCACACAATGACTACACCAACGAAGTGGTTAAGTTACATTATAAAATCACGAGTTTTCATCATCATCGTTATGTCACCTGCAAGATGATAAATACAATTACGATCTCCTCATGTCTCTAGGCAAACTGTATGAGCGTCTGCTCTACAAACGCCTCAGAGAGTTCGTCTCATCCAAGGGCATTCTCATCGATGAACAATTCGGATTCCGTACAAATCACTCATGCGTTCAACAGGTGCACCGCCTCACGGAGCACATTCTTGTGGGGCTTAATCGACCAAAACCGTTATACACGGGAGCTCTCTTCTTCGACGTCGCAAAAGCGTTCGACAAAGTCTGGCACAACGGTTTGATTTTCAAACTATTCAACATGGGCGTGCCGGATAGTCTCGTGCTCATCATACGGGACTTCTTGTCGAACCGCTCTTTTCGATATCGAGTCGAGGGAACCCGCTCCTCCCCACGACCTCTCACAGCTGGAGTCCCGCAAGGCTCTGTCCTCTCACCCCTCCTATTTAGCTTATTCGTCAACGATATTCCCCGGTCGCCGCCGACCCATTTAGCTTTATTCGCCGACGACACGACTGTTTACTATTCTAGTAGAAATAAGTCCCTAATCGCGAAGAAGCTTCAGAGCGCAGCCCTAGCCCTAGGACAGTGGTTCCGAAAATGGCGCATAGACATCAACCCAGCGAAAAGTACTGCGGTGCTATTTCAGAGGGGAAGCTCCACACGGATTTCCTCCCGGATTAGGAGGAGGAATCTCACACCCCCGATTACTCTCTTTAGACAACCCATACCCTGGGCCAGGAAGGTCAAGTACCTGGGCGTTACCCTGGATGCATCGATGACATTCCGCCCGCATATAAAATCAGTCCGTGACCGTGCCGCGTTTATTCTCGGTAGACTCTACCCCATGATCTGTAAGCGGAGTAAAATGTCCCTTCGGAACAAGGTGACACTTTACAAAACTTGCATAAGGCCCGTCATGACTTACGCGAGTGTGGTGTTCGCTCACGCGGCCCGCACACACATAGACACCCTCCAATCCCTACAATCCCGCTTTTGCAGGTTAGCTGTCGGGGCTCCGTGGTTCGTGAGGAACGTTGACCTACACGACGACCTGGGCCTCGAATCAATTCGGAAATACATGAAGTCAGCGTCGGAACGATACTTCGATAAGGCTATGCGTCATGATAATCGCCTTATCGTTGCCGCCGCTGACTACTCCCCGAATCCTGATCATGCAGGAGCCAGTCACCGTCGACGCCCTAGACACGTCCTTACGGATCCATCAGATCCAATAACCTTTGCATTAGATGCCTTCAGCTCTAATACTAGGGGCAGGCTTAGGGACCCCGGTAACCGTACTCGTCGAACTCGACAAAGAGGTCGACGTGCAACCTAACCCATGCATCAGCCCGCTGAGTTTCTCGCCGGATCTTCTCAGCGGGTCGCGATTCCGATCCGGTAGTAGATTCATTCGCGAAACAATTGCTCTTGAGTTGTTAGGTCTCCTTCGGAGGCGCTCGGGCAGTTGTTAACAAATCCCACCCCTCTTGGCTGAGCCTTTGCTCGCCCACCTGTCCTGGTGAAACTGGAAAGGCCTTCGGGCCACCAGTAAACTTTCAATCATAAAAAAAAAAAAAAAACAATTACGACCTGTAGCCAGTCCGTTACGGTCGGTGGCATATTAACCACTCTAAAGTAAACCGAAGACATGGTGTGGCCTATTTTGAAATTGGTGCCATGAAATTTTACATTTGCACTGTACAGAAATGGGAGCAGACGTTAATGCCCAGGACTTAGAAGGTAGGACTCCACTTCATGAAGCCATACTAAAAGGATATGCTCCTATTGTCGAGTATCTTCTCAAAAATGGTGCGAATGTACATTTGAAAAATTGGTAAGCTTTAAAGATAGTACAATACAATAACACTTTAATTTATAATTCAGTAATTGCAATGTCCTTTTTAAACGTGCTTACGTACCGCAGACCCATCAGTTCATGTGTTCCCCAACAAATTTATGAAATGCAAGCGCAGGGCTTTTGTTATTTTCTGTGTCGAAACAACATAATACTAATAGGTGAGTTCCTAAAGACATCAACTATTTTCGTAAATCAAATACCGCTATGTTCCTGTATAAAAGACGAGGCATATAATAGTGCCAGATATTGGTGGGTGCAAAATCATCACCGAGATAGACTAAAGAATTTGATAAGGAAACCTTCTACTGATACTTTAGCTTCGGCGACAATCACTTGCTGATGTCTGTAATGGACTCTCAATGCTGTAGTTAACAGACGAGCTTACGACCCTGGTCTTAAGGTTGCCAGAGCCCGTGTACATCCCAAGATGAACGGTCACTGTGGAGGTAGAAACCTCAATCGTTTTGCATAGGACGGTCCAGCCTACCGGGTGGGAAAATTGGCCATGCCAGCAGTAAAGATTGAACATTGACAAAACGTCGGTTTTAGATATGCAAAAGAAAGTGTCAGGAAAACACATTGGCACCAAAGTCTTCTTTTATATCTGCTGTTAAGCATTCATGTGTCAATTTAAGAGATTTAAAACTGGTGCGGTTAAAATTAAACTTGCAGCCTTTTGTTGAACCAGTCATTCCCTGAAAATGACAAATGAATTCTTGGACAATAACGCTCCTTCAATATTCCCCCATCTTCTCAGTGGGTCGCAATTCAGGTCCGGTAGTAGATTCTGCGATGCACTGCTTTTGTTAGGGCTAGTGTAAGCAAATTCTCCCCCTAGGCTACCAGCGAATATGTAGGGAAAAACATTTAATTTGGAACATTGCCGCTAATGGGTATTGTTTCAACAGAATCTCTTATTAAATGATGGTTGCACAATTTGTGAGCGCAAAAGTACGTAGAATTATATGATGTTTGCGATTACAGTAATGGCGAGAGTCCCTTAATGACAGCCGTCCAGCAAGACGCTCCGATTATAATCAGCTTGTTGATGAAGTGCGGGGCTCACTTCGCGAGTGCAGACAACAAGCAGGTCTCGGAGATGCTGTCTCTAGCATCAAGGAATGGAGCCACAAGGAAGCTGGAGTACCTCAAGATGGCCGGAGCGGACTTGAATCTGATCGATGAGATGTACCAGACATCACTGCATAAGGTATCTTATAGTAACACTATCTTTTGCCCGCGACTTGGTCCGCGTGGAATAGTTACTTTGGCATAACGCTAAATTTTACCCGCCTCTTCATTTACGTAGAAACTGAAAATATTTTTTAATAATAGAATGCTATGGAGCTATTTAAGGTACCAAAATCACGCTTTTTAACCGACTTCAAAAGAGGAAGTTATCAATTCGACCATATTTTTTTATCTATGTCATGTTTACCGATTTCTTTATTGGTGCTCCGCTTGGATTGGTCTTAGCGTGATGTTATATAGCCTGTATATAGCCTTCCTCAATAAATGAGCTATCTGACACAAATATTTTTTCAAATCGGACCAGTAGTTCCTGAGATTAGCGCGTTCAAACAAACAAACTCTTCAGCTTTATAATATTAGTATAGATTATTTTTCATTGGGCCAATTTGGCATCGGCCTAAGCGCTGGGGAATCCATTTACGGATACCCGGTCGAGGGGGGTACCGAACCGGGTTATGTCAGCCAAGGTCCTTCACCCCATCAATTCCTCGCAAGAGACTATGTGTTGAAAAAGCGTGCTAGGTGCTCGTCCCGCAAAACCAAGTACCGACTGAACCACATCGAGCTCCACCACACCGACTACACCAAACCTACGGTACCGTTGGTGTCCGTTGGTAGTCACTTGAGCACTTCGAAATTCCAAAGCCACCTCCCAATTTAAGACATCAAGTCGAAGTTTCGGCAACTGCGAATCCATCGTTCTGTTCAGACCACATGATTGCTTCGGTGAAGCAGTATGTAGTATTATTATATTACGTAGGTAGTAATGGTGGGCGCTACCTATCGGTGCGAATTTTCGATACGATCTACCACTAGTAAATGCTAGTATACTGGTATACTTGTATAATTCACTATAGTGGTATTTTTTTTTATTGCCTGGATTTGTGGACGAGCTCACGGCCTACCTGGTGTTAAGGGGTTACCGGAGCCCATAGACACCTACGACGTAAATGCCGCCACCCACCCCGAGACATGAGTTTTTTGATCTCAGTTCTCACAGTACAACAGCTGGACCCGCCCTTCAAACCGAAATGCATTACTGCTTCACGGCGGAAATAGGCAGGGTGGTGGTACCTACCCGTGTAGACTCACAAGACGTTCTAACACCAGTAGAGAATAATATGTAATAATATATATTCAGAAAATTTTGTAGTCCATTCTCCATCGTCTCATTTTACTACGGTAGAAGACGGGGCATTGTCAGATAGCAAGATTCCAATATCTTCAAGGTCATTTCATTTTCAGGCTGTCATCTGTAACTACCCTGATACGGCCAGGTTCCTCATAGACAATGATGTTGTGAAAGAGGCAAAGGATATCCTCGGCTATACGGCTTTGGATTACGCGGTCAAATTAAATAGAACGTTATTTATTGAGATGTTTAAATAGTATTCGTGTAACTGGTGGCGATGGCGTTAATCTGTGTCATCGATTTATGTGATCTTCTCTTTCAATGGTAGTTCAGTTAATATAAGTTTTATATTTGAGTCGACTATTATCAAAGCCGGCAATCTGACTTTTGGATAATTATTGGTAAATCAGAAAATCGAATTATTGATTTTGTATTCCATTGGCAGTCACAAAACTCTTCGGAACGACATCTTAGATAAATAACAGGTTAACTATTAACCTTTATTTAATGCAGGTTTTGAACCGTATTCTTTGAAGGAGACGATTATATTCAAATCAATCTGTATTGACATATCAATAACATTTTTTTGTCCAAATGCACAGATTGCCACCTTTGATAATAGACGACTCATTTGTTCCTAAGTACTTATTGTAAATTAAGTTAATAAAGTAATTTGTTTTGGTGGGTACTATGTTTTATTTTTGCTTAAACTTCACTTTTGGTTACTTTCTCACCCATATGTATGATAAGAGTGATTGACTCAGAACTATAGGTTTAGTAATAATTGACAAAAAAATTAAGATATAATAAATATAGTTGTCGTGGCGTGCAATTTCTTGGACAGGGCATAAGACCTACAACGACTAGACATAGACTGGACACGGAAACATTACCAAGCTGACTTTAAGGCTTATCATCAGCTTGTCCTCCTCTTATGATAGTATATGCCCGTAGTCTGCTTAATCAATTGTTATTAGTTTCTCAATATCGATCCTGATTAGCTTATGTTTCTAAGACAAAGACTTGACAAGAATTCGAAAAGAAACAAAAGAAAGAAATGGAACGAGGGCGGATGTGACTAGGGCCAGGGTCTAGATGTCTATATTTATTCTTCCCTATTTCTATTCTATTTTAAGCCTTAAGGGTTGACTATGCTGTGGTTGGTTATGGTCATGAGATAGTTTGATTATATCAGACGAACAAAAGAAGGACTCCTATTATCGGATCAAAAAAGTGAAACAAAAGTTTTCAAGTAAAATTCAATTGTTTATTGATTAACATAGCCGCGTTCTTTAGAAATAGATCTAAATATTCTTTCCTCAGCGGACAAGGTCGATAAGAGACACAGTCTCTTCCGTTTAATCCCGACAGCATTGCGTCTTCCACTGCTGTTGAATTCACTATCATTGATAGCAGTTTGTTGCTGTAATTAAATATTATATGTAATTAATAAAATTTCTTATCTGCAAGCTCCCTGCGACCACAATTGTATCAATTTCCGCAGTATTTATACCGCAGCCAACTTCGAGTTTTAAAGGCAAGCCAAAAAGCCCTCATATTTATCATATTATAAAGAATACGAATGCGTATCGCACTTAATTGTCCAAACCATAGCATATGTAAACTTGCGTTATTCGAGAATCGAAAAGAATGGCGAAACCGGTCTTCCAACTTCGGATTTAACGCTAGATAAGGATATATTATTTGGTAGATCCACAGACGGGATAACGGGTCGTTCTATTGTTAATTATTCAGTGTCGGCCATAAACGACAAGTCGTCGTGGTCTAAAGGATAAGTCGTCCGGTGTATTCGTGTCGAGCGATGCAGCAGTGTTCGAATCCTGCAGGTGGGTACCAATTTTTCTAATGAAATACGTACTTCACAAATGTTTAATTGACTTCCGCGGTGAAGGAATAGCATCGTGTAATAAAAATCAAACCCGCAAAATTATAATTTGCGTAATTACCGGTTATGACTCCACACTGGTAGGTACCATCACCCTGCCTTTTTCTGCCGTGAAGCAGTAAACGTTTCGTATACTGAGACCTTAGAGCTCATATCTCAAGGTGGGTACCGCAATTACGTTGTAGATGTCTATAGGCTCCGGTAACCACTTAACACCTATATATGCAAGAAATATATAAAAAACAAAAAAATAATCACCCAGACTGGAAAATGTTGTCCATTACCCAACACCACACATGCAGCATAACTTAAGACCTTAAAATTTAAATAAATACCTGACAATAAACTCAAAGACCCTCGCTGGTTCGATGTAATCATTCGTTGCCATCCAGCATGCTATCCTCAACGCGCAACCTTGTAAATTGCGTTTATCATTCAACATCTGACCGGCAAACTCAATGAGTACATCAGAGCCGAACTCTGCGTCGTCCAAAACTGTAAATTTCGCACCAATACAATTTTATTTTTATCTTAAATTAGCTTACCCGGCAGACTTCGTAGTGCCTCAATCGGTAAATAAAAGACCTAAACTTTTGTATAAAATAAACTTAAAACAAACAAAAGAAATCCGTCCGATGGGGGACACATCAAAGGAAAAACAAAATTGTTATTTTTATTTAATTCCGATCATTTTCATATTTAACTACCCTTTAAACCTTCTCTGAACTTCCACAAATAATTCAAGACCAAAATTAGCCAAATCGGTCCAGCCGTTCTCGAGTTTTAGCGAGACTAACGAACAGCAATTCATTTTTATATATATATATATATAGATAATAAGTACTTAGTACCTATCTGGAGCACCAAAAGGGATACGGGTATTCGACGCGAACCACTTGCAATTGCTGCTTCTATAACTAATGGGAGGGTATTAACAGTGTCTTTACGTCTGGCAGTTTGTTTGATTTGGGGTTCGTTCTCGCAATAAGAGAATCCCAAGTGCTATAATTGAGCTTTTAAAAATTAATACCCAAGTCGTCCTAGTTTGTGCTTAATGTGCTTAATCAATGCTTTAAATTGATTCTTCTTTGTAACGCATACTTAATTGCTGAAAGTCGTGTCCTTGAAAGGCCTTCGTCGCTTTTTGTACAATCATTTTCCATTTCGTGGTTGTAGCATAGGGTCCGGAGAGCGCGGCTACTTGATCAAACCAAAGGCTTGGTGACCGGCCGGAGGGTCTTTTCCCTTCTACCTTGCCTACCACCACCAGTTTTTTAAGGTTGTCTGGTTAAATTGGTTGTGGTGGGCATTTTTTTTATTTTTTTTATTGCTTAGATGGGTGGACGAGTTCACAGCCCACCTGGTGTTAAGTGGTTACTGGAGCCTATAGACATCTACAACGTAAATGCGCCGCCCACCTTGAGATATAAGTTTTAAGGTCTCAAGTATAGTTGCAACGGCTGCTCCACCCTTCAAACCGAAACGCATTACTGCTTTACGGCACAAGTAGGCAGGGTGGTCGTACCCACACGCGCGGACTCGCAAGAGGTCCTACCACCAGTTAAAATTAATCAAGAAGATCAAGAATTATTGTTTATGGTAATTCTGACTCTGGCACCGTGTGCGTAGTCTGTTTAAAACGTATTAAAATTATTCTCCACTAAAGCAATAAGGTTTTATGCGCTAATCGTTTTAATAAATATTTATTCAAACATCGAATGACATGTTCAGTGATAAAATGTCATTATCCTATTAGGGCCATGGCGAAAACAATATAACGGGTTACAAAATAAAATTTCAGTGTGTACAATAATCAAAATTGCTGCGTAGGACCGGATCAGGGATCAATTGGCAGTAAGTGTAACTTTATCTAGATTTTTTCTCATCATTTTGATTAGGATACGCGTTAAATTGTAATCGAAACTGAGTATAATTAAATACAATAAGAATTACTTATAGGTAAGTACACAGATAACCCCTTCAATCAATAATAGTACTAACCCCATCAATCTGAATTTTTTTTTAAATTCAAAACCGTTTCACCCCTATGGCCACTTTATGAAATATAAAGTCTGGAAGTGTAAATATTGACTTAAATATCGTTTTAAAACTGAAGCTTTGGTAGGGCTGGTTCATAAATGTGAGTTTTCGGATACAATCACACGGGACTTTAGTGTCAGACTCCCAGATCTCACTCAAAAGAAGATTAGCATTCAAACCTTCTGATGAAAACTATTGGTATCGACAGGTCATGGAGCAAATGTACCTGATAGAGATATTCATTGACAAAGTGACAGTTTTTGCGTCTGACGAGAACGAAAAGAGCGGAGCAGACAAGAATTTGATTATCAAAATAAAATTCGGTCCTAAAGTGCAGTTCATCATCAAGGAAGGTCAGTTGGCAGTGAATGAAAAGACAACGGACGACATCGTGGAGTGTGACGAAAATGGACGGAGGAAATGGTCACGAACAATAAGGGTTGGAAAATCTTATCTGTTCCCTTCATATCCCGATACTGTTCTGATGATCCTCAGCAAGTTTCCTTTAGAGATTGAGGTTTGGAACGACGATGAGAATGAGGTTGAAATCTTCGTTGGAATCGGTACAATGCACTGGGATACGAAGTTTTTCCACATGCTCAAAGACACTGCAGAAGCCTGTAAACTCCACGAACCATTATCAATTAAACAATGCACTCCGTTATTTGCTGAATGTTGCTGCAGGCAGGTCGGCGAGATATCCTTCATTCTTCGACTAAGTGCTTTAGGAGACAGTATTATAACAGAGTTTCAACAATTAATGAAAGATCCAGAATCTTTCGTATTTCGGACAAACAAAGCGCCTAGTATGTTTCAGTGCAAGAGAGTAGATGGTGCTGATCCCAATTTTTGTATGGTAGGAAGTTTGTATGAAACAACAACATTAGAAGATCCGGACATTGCTGAATCGGCACGTAAAAAGATTGAAATTTGCACAGAGCTCCAAAATTGTGGCGCGGGGGGAGGAACAGGGCAAGCGACATGCGACTATGGAGAAGATGATATGATGCAAACTCAAAAGGAATACCCCATTGATAAAATAAGGATGGGCGATATTACGGGACCGTGTGGCAACGCAAATTGTGCACTAGCACATAAAGTTAAGACGTATTTAAGAAATCTAGATAGCTACAAAGTTGCGTCTGGTGGTGTTTCTGGGACAAAAGATGAAAGTAGCAGAAAAGCATGTGGAACTTGTTCATGTAAAGACGACCGTTGGCATAGAGAAACTTGCCCTGAAAATGAAAATTCAGATGGTGCACAAAATAATGCTGTGTGCACAGGATGTAGTGGAATAGTTAAAAAAGGGGATACTTGTGAAGACAAGAAAAATAAAATGTATGGTACTGGGGCAACTCCTAAAGGCAGCAAAACGCATGTTGCATACGTATTTAGTGTCACAAAAGTACCAGACTTTAACCAAAGTTTATTTGGCCAGAATTACACTATTGGCAATTTTACTAACAACAGTAACGGAGCTCCAGGCGTAAACAAAACTGAAAACCAAAGATTCAATGAAGTTGGATGCTGCTGTCAAAAGTTAGGTCAAATACAGATAGAAACAGAGAGACAAAAAAGCACTAAATCTATTCCGCAAACTTCAAATGCACAATACAAGGAAATCATGAATTCTCTCGTTTATCTCGCTGATACAAGCGACCTAAAGCGAAAGATACCCATTTATAATTGTACAGAGTTGACGAACGAAAAAGATTGTAAATGCGATCCCCCAAAACCGAAACCTCCATGCAAAACCTTAGACTGCGACTGCATAGCAGAAACTGCTAATATTGCCGCCAGAAAAGCTCACAAACCTTACTGCCCCTCTTATAAACACAAAAACAATTGTCCTGTCACTTATTTAATGCATGAAGACGAGGAAAAGAAGAAACCAGACGACGACGAAGATGAAATAGAACCATTACCGTACGGCTTGCCACCAGTTCAGCTGGGTCCTTGTCCGGTGCTGGGCAGACCTTGCACAGTACCCGATGGCTTTGCGAGAATGTACAAGACAGCGGCATTGCCAACGCAACCGCCGAGCTACAGTGACGCCGGCAAAGTTTGTTGCTCTAAAGAATACGAAAGAATTAAAAAGGCTATCAGAGAATATATGAAGAAGGACAAGGATGATGATTTCAGATGCGTTAATAAGTTTAATGTGGATACAGAGCGTCGTTGCTGCGATAAGGAGCAGCGTCTCTTTCCGTTAACCGGCAAGTCTTGTTGTGGCTCGCATAAGCTATCCATACAAGAGAAATTTAAAGAGGAAAAGAAGCACGACTGATTTATACATTTTTATCTCATTGGTGTTTTATTTTGTAACCCCAACTGTTCAAATAAACCGTTAAAAACATTTTTCGTAATAATTCATTTTTAATTTTAAGCATCTCGTATTGTTGGAATTGCAATTACTTTCTGAATTGCTGTCAGTTAACGGTTTCGGGATTGAATCGATCGTGAGTATTATACCTGTATAATATAACATTCTTTTATACTACATATATATTTCATACATAATCGGAATATAAAATTATGGTTTTCGCAGGTTTATCAATTAATAAGAACCCGAAAACATGGGAGACGAAGAAGAGAATGAACAAAAGAAGAAAAAGAAAAACTCATCGAAATACAACTACACTTTTGGTGATGTTCATCCAGGTACTGTATCATTGAACGAATATAAACAAGGGCGTGTACAGTCGAAATATATGTGTTTATTACAGACTAGCGGCCCGCTCCGGCTCCGCTCGGGTTTTTAACAAAAATTTCAACGATATTTGACGTTGTTTTATTTTTTTTAAATAAAAGAACACTTATGGCGGCATAACTATAATAGTTAGACATAATATGCTGTCGTGACAGTTTTTGTAAGTAATGATGTGTTCTACAAAGTCGTAGTACATTATTTTATTCTATCATCAATAGTTTTCGCAGGGCACGTGATATAAAGAATATTTTAGGTAATTTTTTTACACCTTGGGTTATATTATTGAAGTTTTAGTAAGGATTCCAATATATTTTTTTAAATAATCTGTGTCACTCGGGAATAGTGTAGCTTCCAAACAGTGACAGAATTTTTCAAATCGGTTCAGTAGTTTCGGAGCCTATTCAATACAAACAAACAAAAAAATCTTTCCTCTTTGTAATATTAGTATAGAAGTATAGACAACAACAGTCGTTTTTTCTGTTGCTTTTAATTTCTAATCATTCTGCGGGTTTCTATTCGATTTAAGATTCCGCAGGCTGATTTAAATTGTCGAGGGTTAAGAGAAAAAATATGTTGCAGGAGTCGTCATCGGCCACAAGCCGTGCATGTTTTTAAGACCAGGTTTACCGGTGCCAGCCAAAATGGGGTGGCTGTGGAATGCGGCAGACACTCCTGGAGCGAAGGTATGGTGATATTCTAACAGGCCAAATTTATCAAAATTGATATACCTAACATATATACCTAGCAATTCATAACGTTCACAACAACCTAGAAATAAACCTAACTACATTATGCATTAATTATATATTATAACTAGCTTTTGCCCGCGACTCCGGCCGCGTGGAATAGTTACTTTGGCATAAGGCTAAATTTTACCCCCACTTTGTGCTCCAATTGTGTTGGCCTTGCCGTGATGTTATATAGCCTATAGCCTTCCTCAATACATGAGCTATCTAACCCTGAAAGATTTTTCGACCAATCGATTTCGAGAAATCGGACCAGTAGTTCCTGAGATTAGCGTGTTCAAACAAACTAACTCTTCAGCTTTATAATATTAGTATAGATTAAATAAATAATAAACTTAGAACAAATCACGCCCTGGTCATCCGGCCCCAATTTAGGATTCCCTGTATTGTATGTACCAGAGACTGATAAACATATATGTTTAATTATATACATATATAGATAATAAATACCCAGAAAAAGAAAAAAGAAAATCTGTTCACAATGCTTGCTCAGTGTGGGAATCGAACCCACGACCCTTGGCGCAAAATTCAGGCGTGCTCACTACTGCACCACCGTGTCATTCAAATCAAATCAGTCAAATGTTTTTAACTTAATAATATGGTACAGGGGAAGATAAAGCGTTCCTCCTAAATTTAATGTATCTTTATGAAATCAACCATCTAATATAATTTGAAAGAATAAAATATTATTGTCGTCTATACTAATATTATAAAGAGGAAAGATTTGTTTGTTTGTTTGTTTCGAATAGGCTCCGAAACTACTAGACCGATTTGAAAAATTCTTTTTCCATTAGAAGCCGACATTGTCCCTGATGAACATAGGCTACTTTTTTTAATTTATATTTTATTTTTTTGTTTTTGTTTCTTGTGTGTTTTAATGTTTCCGAAGCGAAGCGAGGGCGGGTCGCTAGTATCATAAACACGAAACGTAATAAGTATGAAGGGAATTATAACACTCTGAAATTTTACTATTGTCAATTGCATACCCAAATAGTATCTTTTTTTTTATTGCTTTGATGGGTGGACGTGCTCACAGCCCACCTGGTGTTAAGTGGTTACTGGAGCCCATAGACATCTACGACGTAAATGCGCCCCCCACCTTGAAATATAGTTCTAAGGTCTCACGTATAGTTACAACGGCTGCCCCACTCTTCAAACCGAAACGCCTTACTGCTTCACGGCAGAAATAGGTGGGGTGATGGTACCTACCCACGCGGACTCACAAGAGGTCCTACCACCAGTAATTACGCAAATTATAATTTTGCGGGTTTGATTTTTATTACACGATGTTATTCCTTCACCGTGGAAAGCAATCGTAAACATTTGTGGAGTACGTATTTCATCAGAAAAATTGGCACCCGCCTGGGATTCGAACACCGGTGCATAGCTCAACACGAATGCACCGGACGTCTTATTCCTTTAGGCCACGACGACCGATATTTGATTTACAGCCGCGACGTGGATGGCAGCCTGGGGTCATTGGTAAAAGCGTTGCGAAAATGATGACGTTTAAGTGTCCAAGAGGCGGGCAAGACAAAGACAAGAACAAGAAAAAGAAAAAGAAGGGTAATAAGCCTGGTGCTGCGATTGGAGGAGGGGATTCGGAGCCGGATGAACCTCTCGAACCGAAGCCAGCATTAAAAGTACAGAGAAAGGGTGACGTTTTCACTATACAGGTTATTAATCGGTGTAATGTTCTTAATTTTTGACAGTTTATTTTTAATTGAAATATTTATTACTGGTGGTAGGACCTCTTGTGAGTCCGCACGGGTAGGTACCACCACCCTGCCTATTTCTGCCGTGAAGCAGTAATGCGTTTCGGTATGAAGGTTGGGGCAGCCGTTGTAACTATACTTGAGACCGTAGAACTTATATCTCAAGGTGGGTGGCGCATTTAGGCTATATATGTCTATGGGCTCCAGTAACCAGTTAACACCAGGTGGGCTGTGAGCTGGTCTACCCATCTAAGCAATAAAAAAAATCAATTGATACAAAAGAAATGTTTTTAGAATTAATATTAAAGTAGAGATTAATCTTATTTATTAAGGCCACGGGCGCTTAGCTATTGAGTAAGGTTCATTATACCGATGATAGTGCATTTCAATAAAGTACTCATAAATTATTCCTAACAACAGGTCAATCCATTGAAAGATCTGACAGAGATAGCACCGAACGAGGATCCATATGTTGACTGCGATCCTTTAGTATTTAAGATTATCAAGAAGCGCAGCCCCGAGGAGCAAGCGAAAGTGGAAGCACGGAAGATGGTCAAACTGAAGAAGCAGCGAGACGCAGAAATCCGGAAGGCCCTAGCCGAAGCCGTCGAAGACATTTGCAAATGTGCCTATATGGATGTCTATTGTAATGATCTAACTGCCATCGATAAGGTTATAGACAGTTGTCCAGCCTTTAAAGAACCAGAGTGTATATGCCACGAGGAATCACTAAGTTCATTGTCCAGTAACGCGACTTGGGACATTGAGTATACCCCACCTTTTGGCTGTTTCGATTTGGCGCCAAGGAAAAGGAGAATGTGTATACACGTGGAGACGCAGTATATACCAGCCGACGCTGGAATCGTTGATGCTCCAAAGTTGAAAGGAAAAAAATCATGCTCTTCTATAAAGCCGAAGAAGAAACTGTCTAAGAAGTGCTGTGGTCCTTGTTACTGAACTAAAGCCCAAAATAAATACTTGTTCGTTTTTTAAAGATTCATTTCCTCAAAAAGTTTAATTTCCTCCCCTTTTCAAAATTTCATTTCTAACATTTTATTTCACGTTTTCTTGTTAATATTGTTTGGATTGACGTCCAACTGTTGACGTATGAAAAAAAAAACAAAGATAACACTATAATTTAGGCAATCGTATCGGTAACAGATGTCAGAGTTATCTTATCTGGACATATCGTCTCGTCTAGGATAGAGTGGATATAGAAAAATTTGGACTAGGTTATATAATACTTAATTTTATACTATACATGTTTTTGAAACCACCTTATCTTTTATGTAATGTGCAATTTCCTTCTCTCCTTACGACAACGACTTCGTTAACGCTTTGTGTCGGTATCTATTTTGAAGAGACGGTTAAGACGTAATCATCATCCTCATCATCAATGCACTACTGGACCCAGTCCTCACTCAATTTACGCCACTGGGCTTGGCTCTCTTACATTTCTGGCCAGCCATCTTCCACAAATTATCGCTCCACTTGACCGGGACACACACGGGCCACATTATGATGTATTTCGACATAAATAATTCGAACAACTGATTCACGAGAATAATAATGAAGTCAGCGAGTTACAATTCGCAATACGAGGAAATGTGCCTATTGAAATTGCTGAGTTTCTAGATCTTCTAAGCATTATAAACCTTTTTAGAATTTTTGCTTACCTCTGAAATACTTTTTTGGTAAATGATTTTCTGTGTAGCTCTTTGCAAGAAAAGGCAGTATTACTGTAGTTCCGAGTACCACAGCGCCGCCTAATGCTAAACCAGCTGGATTAATATTCGCTACAGGGAAATCCTGTCAAGAAATTGGAGTGATATTTCTTTTTAATACATCCCTTTCTAACACATAACACTTTGATCATTTTATAAACTCAAATTGAGTTTAATTTTTTTTTAATGTCCTTGTAGGCAGACGAGCATGCGACCCTTCTGTTGATGAGTGGTTACCGGCGTCCATGGACTTCAGCAATGCCAGGGGCAGAGCCAAGCCGCGGCCTACCGTTAAATACTCTCCAGAAGCTTCGTTTGAAGAAGGACATGTCATAGTGCTCGGGAAACATCAAGTAATTTGAGTTTTTTCTTAGAACACTTCGTCAGTCGCTCGAGACTCGAGTAATTATTTACTAAAGTAGAAAGGCGTATTTTTAGTTCGTTTGGACCAGTTGGACGAGGTTGCCTGTGCACCTAATTAAAATCATAATTAAAATAAAAAAAGATTAGTTTAAAATTTTGTAAAATAGATGTTTGTCTTACCAAAAGTCCAGAAGAATGTTCCGATTTTTTTATTGGAATCGTTATGAACGGGATCGTAAGGTCAAGATCAACCTGGAATTTGAGTAACATATAAGAGGTACAAATATTTTCACAACGTTTCCTGACAGTGTAGCTTATAAACATTTTGTATAATACTTTCATATTAAAATGCTCCCTGTTGGTGACCTGAGGTTGACGCTTAGGCTTACAGCAAATATTGATTTTTTTTATTGTTTGTTTGCTGTAGATACGTATGTAGGCATCAAGAAGTGTGTTCACTTGGCAGTCTGAAGCAACCTATATAATATAACACGTAAGATCTTATAACCATTTCGAGAACTAACCTTAATTCTCTCCTCCAAAGTATGAAACGTTAGGAATCTTCTCTCTCGATAACTCTCGCTTTTCGTTGTAGTCGAAAAAAAACTAAATAATAGCAGTATCTTGCCCATTTTCATTTTAATGTCGACTTCGGAGAAGCTAATCACGGTTTTCCGCCGAAACGGTGGATCGAATGACGCCTTATTCGTTTTACTTTTGCTGAAATAGTGCAAGCGGCGATGTGCATGTCTACGGTACTCTTCCGTGTATTGTTGGAAAACGAGATTGTAACAATATAATTCTACAGCCACAGATGTAGATTGTAGAAAATAATAGACAGGACTTGAGTTGTAATGAAAGGAGTGACTTGTAGATACAGCGATTTCAAAGTCATTGTGGCCTAAAAGGATAAGACGCCCGGTGCATTCGGGTCTAGCGATGAAGCTGTGCCAGTGTTCGAATCTCGCATTTGAATTATATTAATTTCCAAATAGCATCCTCATATTTTTGCCTAATTCCTAAGTTTCCCACTCAATATTTTTCAAAAGACGAAGTGAGCTTGTACAAATTTTCACGCACCGCTGAATCATGGACCCGGGTTCGACTCCCAATTGAAGTCAATATTATTGTTAGAGATATCGGTTTTCGTGTTGTGGGTTGTAATTTGTATGTATTAAATATTGCATTAGACCCGCCGACACTGTTACGATCAGATGCCAATAAGAATATTAAATGATTAATTTAAAAATAAAACTGTTCAAAATGACTTCTAAATTGATTATTAGCTCTGTGATGTTTAAGAGAATTTGAACGTTTACACGGATAGTGAATGTAGCGATTTCTTTCTAAACACTAGGTTTGTATAAGATCTAGATTAGTCTCGAAGTTTTACGCGGCCAACTAGACAAATTACTGTCATTATGATCTTTCCTTTCTAGCGAATACAACATTATAAATAATATTGTTATTGTTATCATCATTGATACATTTGTGTTTCGTTATTACACGCGCGTTCAATTTTCTTAATCGTATATTTAAAATTAGAGACCACAGGCATATTGTATTATAAGTAATGGTAAGTTGAAACCGCATTTTGCCTTTGATGTCGAAAGAAAAAGTCAACACTTCGTCATAAAAAGTTTCTTTGTGATCAACAGCGGATGTGTCTGTAATAAAGACATAATAATGAAAAAGTATTAACGAGAAGTAGTTTCCTTTTAAAAAGTCCTATACAAAAATGTATGAACGAAAATATACCGCTGTGGTAACTCGTTCCGTCGTCTTTGCAAACCAACAGTGTCAAGGTACTAGGGTTAGCCAATTAGTATATAGTAGAGCGTACTCTAAGCCTGTTTGACTGGGTACAAATAACCTGGTTACCTTACTGGTGGTAGGACCTCTTGTGTTACTGGTGGTAGGACCTCTTGTGAGTCCGCGCGGGTAGGTACCACCACCCTGCCTATTTCTGCCGAAAAGCAGTAATGCGTTTGGGCTTGAAGGGTGGGGCAGCCGTTGTGACTATACTTGAGACCTTAGAACTTATATCTCAAGGTGGGTGGCGCATTTACGTTGTAGATGTCTATGGGCTATAGAACCACTTAACATCAGGTGGGCTGTGAGCTCATCCACCCATCTACTGGTCTATAGTCTGGTATACGTCTTCCGAAAACCATGTCAGACTGGGTGGACCAAAAATTTCACCCGTCCATACAGTAAAATAAATAAAAAAATTGGTATAAAATTTTATAGTATTATATTTGGGTGTAGCATATTTGATGCATGTGTGTTAATAAAACACGTAAAAATTTAAAAGAATGTCGAGCAACAACCGATAAAACTTCTAACATGAACTGCCAACGTGCGTTTGAAATGATTTGGAGCGTAAACAATTTTAGCATTGTTCTCAAAATGCTCTATACAACATCACTAACAACGATATAGTATTTCGTACATCATACAATAATGTTTCGGTAATAGCTCTCGAATGTTATTAAAGCCTTCGACAAACAGAACGCGTACTTAGCGCGCGTCAGAGCGCTAAACTAACGCCGCGCTATGACGCCGAGATGTGTTGTACAACTATGGTAACATATTGTCAAACAGAACGCCAGCGCTAAAGCGCTTATAGAGCTGGCGCTCTGTGTGACGGTATGTTACCACAGTAGTACATCACATCTCAGCGTCATAGCGTAGCGCTCTGACGCGCGCTAATTACGCGTTCTGTTTGACGAAGCCTTAAAATCGTAAAACAAATTAAAGTTGCGTTGACAAGAATTGAGCTAAGCCGCTATTGTTATCGGCTGCGATGAGCTTGTGATTAGTAAAATTGACGATCGATATCATAATTCGAAGCGAGTTCATCAAAGTTTTCTTCTACGGCCATGCGTCCATTTTAACTGGATAATATAGAATCGACATTGTGAATCGTACTTAATATTGTACTGTCATAACTGAATATATTTGTATCAGATACTTTTTCACTGGTTGTTTGTTAGACGTAATATTGGCTCGCACGACTGGGTACGACGATGCTCGTCGTCGTGGCCTAAAAGATAAGACGTCCGGTGCATTCGTGTCGAGCGATGCACCGGTGCTCGAATCCCAGGCGGGTACCAATTTTTCTAATGAAATACGTACTTAACAAATGTTCACGATTGACTTCCACGGTGACTGAATAACATCGTGTAGTAAAAATCAAACCCGCAAAATTATAAGTTGCGTAATTACTGGTGGTAGGACCCCTTGTGAGTCCGCGCGGGTAGGCACCACTACCCCACCTATTTCTGCCGTGAAGCAGTAATGCGTTGCCCCACCCTTGAAACGAAGGGTGGGATAGCCGTTGTAACTATACTGATATCTTAGAACTTATATCTCAAGGTGGGTGGCGCATTTACGTTGTAGATGTCTATGGGCTCCAGTAACCACTTAACACTAGTTGGGCTGTGAGCTCGTCCATCAATCCAAGCAATAAAAAAAACAATCTTCCTCATTTTTGCCGTGTAACAGATCGGTTTGAAGGGTTGTAGTTAGGTAGCACTTAAACAATATTACTAGGAATATCGACTTGTCTCAAACTGGGTAAGGCATTCCCGTTATATTTACGTACGACCGACCGTGCAGTAGTTAGCAGCCCGGGCTGTTGTGTCGAGGGTCGTAGGTTCGATGCCCACATCGGGCAAACATTGTGTGATGAACAAGTTTGTTTGGTCTTTGTCTGGGTGTATATTGTACTGTGTGTGTCTTGTACCCATAACACAAATAATCCTAAATTGGGGCCGGATGTCCGTGTGTTCCCAGTTATTAGTTATTTTAATTATATATTTGTGCGGGCTTGCAATACTCCATACGATCAGCCTTAAACACATCCACACAACACAATCCACCTATAGCAGTGATAATAAAGATCGCCGTGCTTGACTGTCTTTGAGGTGACACTTAGCACCTAACATCAGCCCGCTGTTTTCCTTGTCGTAATTTCTCAACGGTTTGCATTTACGATCCGGTAACAGCGCACTCACCAAGCTGTAGGTCTGGAACCGTTGATGCTTCTTCGGAGGCGCTCGGACAAATCTCATCCTTTCTAAGGTCGTGCTTGGACACGTAACCCATTGAAATTAGTTTAGCCCCAAATATTACGCCGCTAATTGCCAAGTTTCATCAACATGTCCTTCTTCAAACGAGGCTTATGGAGAGTATTAAGCGGTAGGCACCGGCCTGGCTCTGCCCCTGGCATTGCTGAAGTCCATGGGCCCACTCACCATCAGGTGGGCCGTGTGCTCGTCTGCCTAAAAGGGCAATAAAAAAAAAAACAAGCTTCTCGGTGCAAAAAATGTCTATCACGAGAAATTGTTTTCGAGCTAGGCGCTCTTGACAGACTGGTTGTAATCGAAGAGAGTTGGTCTCCTTTATCAGGTAAGAGAAATAAATATTATACAGCTAAAGATCTTGTAGGTTGTATGATGCTAAGTTCTCTAATGCTGACATCTTTTGCTTGTCACTTGTAGCATATAGAAAAGCTATTTTAAAATATTTATAAGGTGATTTAGCCCGATAAGTATTATAGTTTTATAGTGTAAGTTAATGTATAAAATAATATGTGCGTATTGTGTTGCTTTTGTTTTTTTGTAATTTAAATTTCTAAATTTCTCTTCTTGTTCACTTTCTACTTATATGTGATTTTGATTGTGGAAACATATATGGTTATTGTTTTAGCTAATTTTTTTTTAAATATTATATGTTTGTATTGTACTGTTTGTTTCCCAAATAAATAAATAAATAAAGGTTCCGATTGACATTATGTAAGTTAGTAGGGAAGTTAATGTTCCTTCCAAGATAACTACAGGGCAGAACGCGTGACGTTGCATAACGGTTGACATACGACAAGTTTCCTCATTCGATTGTCTAAAGGCATGCTTCGGAACGTCTTGTATAAAATATAATACATACACCGAATGTGACAGTAACCCTCTCGAGATGGACATGATCGTGAGTCTGCTTGTGCTTGCCGCGTGCTTAGGATCTAAAGCTGAATACAGGAACGACGGGTAAGACACCAACTAACTTCGACTAGACGGTTTTGTTTGCTGTAAAAATTCCGGAATTGAATCTGGGTTGTAAATAAACTTCAAGTCTTTACTTCTGTGTATGGCTTCGATAAAACATGCACGTTTAGCTCATACATGTGGTGATGTATATTATAGTACCTTGTAGATGAAATGTATCCAATGTGCCATCTTTTAAAGCAGACAATATGTCCTGCCATATGTACCTTAAACTTTAAGGTAGGCGCTTTAAGATTTAAATTATTAAAATAAATACTGCAAAATTCAATTATATTTTTAGTGTTTACAAAAAAAACAATAATTTTGGGTTAAAGCAGTTGAATTCTAAAGTTGCGATTTATATATAGTGATTAGTTAGATTTTGGGATGCTTTATTCGATTTGGGTCAATAAAAAAGGTTGATTGTTTCACACAAACTTGATTTTCATTCCGCCTTTCTTATAGCAAATAAATAAAATATACACGACTTTTGTCTTCCGAGTCACATTATGTCTCCCAGCTGTTGCGTCCAGTAACTACCCCCATTCCTTTAAAACTATGTGTCAAACATTCTATCGCCGTCTCTCTTAACTTCCAACATGAGATCTCCTATCTCTCACTCAGACATGCTCCATATCTGTCATTCATTCATACATTCCTATGTTCCTCATTCATATGTTCATATGTTCCTGCATGTATAGACAGCTATTAGTCCCCCTCGAATCTCTTTCATCAGTTCTAACAATTATCAGTTAATGATGCTGAACTTAACTTAACAGAACTTAATGCTGAAGTTTCCGGCTCACGGGACGTCATTTTATGACTATCCCTTTACGGTTGAAGCAGTCCGTTTATGGAATGCACTACCCTTAAGCATCAAACAATCGTCCTCGCCGGAAATTTTCAAGTTCAGATTAAAATCGCACTACCTTGCACAATAATATGGCTCCTATGATATAACAGTACAAGTTGCTACTTATTTTGTATTTACTTGCATATTTTAGGTATTTAGGTGTATTTATCGTATGTAAGTCTATCTTATATTGTATTTATTTTTCACATGTGTAAATAAGTATATATTTTTATGTAAGTTTATTAAGATATATCACCGTCCAGTTCACTTATTCCTCTCCCTGCAAGGTTGCCTGGAAGAGATCGCTTTCAGCGATAAGGCCGCCAATTTATATCACCGACTATTATTTGTTTTATTAGCTTACTCTGTATATATAGTGTTAAATAAAGTGTTATATTATTATTATTATTATCAGTTTCGATTTCAGAGGCTTCGTGCCGAGTTTCCAACGCACAGAGGACCAGCTTGCGGAGCCCTCGGCGAGGGTTGACAAGACTCGGGAAGAGAGAGACAGTCAGCCAGAAAGGACACAGCGTTTCGGGATCTCCACTTATGGCACTACAGGGAGTCAGGTACCTACCTAATAATTTACTAATGAGATTGTTCATGCGAATCACGGCATATGAACTTCATGCATGCAAATAAATGCAATATTATTATTACATCAGTAAGTAGTAGTAAGTACGTAAGCAGACACTAATGTAGAAGGAGATCCTTACGCGGAAGTGGCATTGGATTGGTCACATATTAAGAAAGCCCGATGCCCACCTATCAAAGAGAGCACTGACCTGGAAAGTGTCTAGCAAAAGGAAGAGAGGCCGACCCAGAACAACTTGGCGTCGCTCGGTGGAGCAGGAGCTAGGGGTCTTGGACATGACGTGGGAGGAGCTAGAACAGACTGTCCAAGACCGATGTAAATGGAAGGATTTGATTCGCGCCCTACACCTCAGCAGAGGGTAATATAATGATGAATAATAGAATGAGGGTAATAGAATGATGAATGAATGAAGAATAATAAGAATGATGAATGATGAATAAAAGAAAAAAATAATTATACGCTAATGTACTACAATAATTATGTTGTATATCCGATCCAAGTTCAGACGTCCATATTAAACAACTGCCACAATTTTTACACTGGAACGTATGACAGTTTCAAGCCAGAAAAATGCTAGATGGTGATATAGGGGAGGGTTTCATTGAATAAAAGCAACACGGCAAAAACCCGAGTTGCTCTAAAGACATTTTTAAGATCGTTTTCACCTACCGGTGCAGACAGCTTTTCGCTGATCGATATGATCATGCCGAATGTGATCTTACCATTTTCATTTGCGATAAATATCCTCTTCGCGAAGAGTTTTCGAGAAGCTTTCGTTCTAAGGCTTAGTTAAGGGCCTAGTGCCGAAAGCAGTTATTCTTGATACGGCGAGCAGTGTGCTTAGTGCGAGTTTTTTAACGTTCTCGATAGCGTAAAAGTTAGGTCATATTTGTATGGAATAGGATCGTTTGCCTACGTTTGCCGCTAGGGGCGCTGTTCCAACTGCATACAAATTTGGGTTACCTTTTACGCTATCGAGAACTTTTAAAAACTCGCACTAAGCACACAGGTTTCTAACTCTGGAGCCCTAACCACCGGTGGCTTGAGTCGATATACCGCCACCAGCGTAAATAAGTTTTTTGTATTGTATTTTTTAACAATCCTGATTTTTATCCATATATTTTATTTATAAATATTGTATATTTTAGGGTGGATACGGTAGTACAGCACCCGGTTTGTATGGTCCCCTCAAAATCGATCTGGGCGGAGTTCTGATCGGATCCATAATAGGATTTGGAGCTGTCATAATCTTGCCGAAGATTATCCAAGCTCTATCCTACAGCTATGGTGGAGGCTATGCACGGAGTAAGTTCATTCATTGGTGATGAATATTACAGTAAGAACCTTGTTATGCTTGTTTTTAGAACTTTGAAGTGATTAATAACTGACTAATTATGACGAGTCTGTACTTGATTTAGAGCCGACGTTGGCAGATTTGCGAAATATATCTCGTATTCACGGTCTGATTGTTGTAGTTCTTTTGTCACATGTCTTTCCGGCACGCATATAACAAAAGAAAATCGTTTGGATGTGGAACTTTGATATTTTAATATTTTTTAATTTAGGTACGCTGAAGATTCCAATCCAATAATGTAAACGACTAATCTAATATATCCAAAAAGTCATAATTCCGCCGTGTAGGCTCGGGTCTTTCTGAACGAGAGGGTTCTTTTTTAAATTGAATACAAAATACGTGTTTATACTACGTGGAAAAGTCCTGAATAGATCAGTTTTTTTTAATTTATACTCTTTTTTTATTGCTTATATGGGTGGACGAGCTCACAGCCCACCTGGTGTTAAGTGGTTACTGGAGCCCATAGACATCTACAGAGTAAATGCGCCACCCATCTTGAGATATAAGTTCTAAAGTCTCAAGTATAGTTACAACAGCTGCCCCACCCTTCAAACCGAAACGCATTACTGCTTCACGGCATAAATAGGCAGGGTGGTGGTACCCAGCCGCGCGGACTCACAAGAGGTCCTACCACCATTAATTACGCAAATTATAATTTTGCGGGTTTGATTTTTATTACACGATGTTATTCCTTCACCGTCGAAGTCAATAGTGAACGTTTGTTGAGTACGTATTTCATTAGAAAAATTGGTACCTCCGCCTGAGATTCGAACACTGGTGCATCGCTCAACACGAATGCATCGGACGTCTTATCCGTTAGGCCACGACCACTTCAAACTTCGACTCCCGTAGGAAAATGTACGATTATAATATGACCTGTCATTGCAATTAAGGTTATTTTCGCCCAGCTATATTTCTTGTCTTTATGGTTTTTTTCAGGCGTAGACTCCGATTACTTTCAATTATCAGATATGTTTAACAAGATAGAAGACACTTTGAATCGAAACAACATAGACTCGTCAGTCTGTATGCAACGACTTGCCTGCTCCTATGTTCAGTTAGCTAACGAGAATATGATTACTGGTAATGCTACGGATTATGATGCGCTGTTATCTTCATTGTCCAGGTTAGTTCCTTTTAGTTCTGCATCAGTTGTCAGGTTTATCGTGATTGATTGGCCACCGTCTGTCTATTTCTGCCGCGAACAATTCATGCGTTACACTTTGAAGAGGAATGGGAGACCGGTGTACAATACAAAAGAGACAGTCGCGTCAATGCATAATAAGATATGTATTTTTTTTTTATTGCTTAGATGGCTGGACGAGCTCACAGCCAACCTGGTGTTAAGTGGTTACTGGAGCCCATACACATCTACAACATAAATGCGCCACCCACCTTGAGATATAAGTTCTAAGGTCTCAGTAGGTATAGTTTTGACAGCTGTCCCACCCTTCAAACCGAAACGCATTACTGCTTCACGGCAGAAATAGGCAGGGTGGTGGTACCTACCTGTGCAGACTCACAAGAGGTCCTACCACCGATAATATATAACCACCCGCCTATTTCTGCCGTGAAGCAGTAATGTGTTTCGGTTTGAAGGACGGGGCAGCCTAGAACTCATATCTTAACGTAGTTGGCGGCATTTACGTTGTAGATATCTATAGGCTCCAGTAACCACCTAACACCAGGTGGGCCGTGAGCTCGTCTACCCACCTAAGCAATAAAAAATAAAAATAAACTTACATCCTACTTCTATTATTTTTTATTGCCCTTTTAGGCAGACGAGCATACAAACCACCTGATGGTGAGTGGTTACCGTCGCCCATGGACATCAGCAATGTCAGGGGTAGAGCCGAGCCGCTGCCTACCGAGTTCTAGTATGTTATTATAGAAACTTTAACCGTATCCTTGTTCTATACATTACAGTAACTCTCTGGTCCGTCGGATGCTAGAAGGAACTTCTTTGTACGAGGCAGTGGAAGCCGGGAGAGCTCTGAACACTGACTGTCACGTGCTCTACCAGAAATGCAAATTAGATAAAAATACTGTTATAAAAATGTTAACGCAACTTGTACCTTCGTAGGTTGAAATAAAGTATACGAGCTATATCCGATGTTTCAGTTGCAAACCAATTGAGTTTCCCTATATCTATAGTACTTTTTTTATTTTTATTTTATTGCTTAGGTGTGTAAACGAGCTCACATTCCACCAGATGTTAAGTGGTTACAGGAGCCCATAGATATTTACAACGTAAATGCCGTCACCTACCTTGAGATAATAGTTTTAAGGTCTCAGTTTTTACAGTACAATAAACAATCTATTATTTTTGTTGAAGCAATCTAATAAGTTTTCGTATTTACCTCAATTCAGAAACTGTGGCTATGGGCGATAACGTCAATTTAAATTATCGTATATCTTAATTTTTTTGGTAATGAAATCGGCCTGTAAATATTTGAAGAGTAAGTTATGTTGATTCTATGTGCTTAGTGGGTAGTTGGAACGTTTGCTTACGTTTGCCGCTAGAGGCGCTGTTCCAACTCCATACATATTTTAGTTAACTTTTACGCGATCGAGAACGTTAAAAAACTCGCACTAAGCACACGGCCATATTCTCACGGAAGAACTGTATAGACTATAACCCCAAAGTGGTGGGCGACACTGCGCTGCCTATTTCTCCAACGAGGCCGACATACAATCGAGAATTCATTATGCTTCAAGATGAGATGAGATTTAGGACCTCCGGCAACGTCATATAACTCGATCCACCCATATGTTTTTTTTTATTGTTTAGATGGGTGGACGAGCTCACAGCCCACCTGGTGTTAAGTGATTACTAGAGCGCCAAAGATACCTACAACGCAAATGCGCCACCTACCTTGAGATACAAGTTCTAAGGTCTGAAGTATAGTTACAACGGTTGCCCCACTCTTCAAACCGAAACGCATTACTGCTTCACGGCAGAAATAGGCAGGGTGGTGGTACCTAACCGCGCGGACTGACAAGAGGTCCTACCATCAGTAATATATAAGCAAGTAAGAAATATATAATATAGGTGATGAATATGTATTGCAAACACTGAGACTTAGAAATCATGTCTCATGGTGTGTATTTACTTTGTTGACGTCTATGGGATTCGGTAACCACATAAAACCAGGTAGGCCACGAGCTCGTTCACCCATCCAAACAATAAAATGTATAACTGAGCTTAAGCTACCGCTATTTATGACGCTAATATTATGAAACATCTTCTCAATAACCTAACTGCTATAGGACATATTATGTCGATTCATTACAGCCGGGTAAACATCTTGTTTATTACTGTAACTATAATATAATAGTTCTTTAGTATGTTTAACGACGAAGCGGTCCACCGAGTGGGTGATTTTGCTCGGTAGACCGACGGTCCGAATATTGTTCTTCGGAACTTGTTTATATGCAAGCTTATCTTGAAGCGTAAGCGAGATTCAGGCATCTGTCAATTATCTTGCGTTGTATGAAGGCTACCCGTCACAGCTCGTTCTGATTATAGGTTCAGTAAGGTCAATTTAGAGTTCTATTTTACGTCTCAAGATGGATCTCAGAATTATGCAGTGGATTCTTTTAAACGACTAACTAATCAAAAAAGCGGTATATAACTTGTCCCTTGAACAAGCCTCTGAACGATATAATCCATTGCTCTTTTTTTTGGGTCAGCAGGAAATCGCCTGACTTCCGCCCTCCACTGGGGATGGAGGGCGGGGCATGTCGGACTCGAACCGACTAAAGCCTTCTGTCGCCCAACAACCTACGCCCGAATCTCGCAAGAGACGGAACTCATGAAAAGGAAAAGGGGGGAGTGAAGCCTTTAGTGCGGAGCACATCTCTCCCGTCACCCTCCCCCTGCCTATCAAGTTCCGGATGGAGATGAGGGGATTTAATTAAATAAAACAACACAAAAACTACAAATTTAACAAGTTTTATTCGTGTCCGTCTCGAGAATTACGTAAAATGGTACGTATTGATATGCCGCGGAAATAAATAAAAAATCCGCCACTCGACGATACACGGACACAATTACGTTCTGCATATCACGTTAAACCACTAGTATAGATGACGAATACATATTTACTAGGTAAATATTTTGTGCCTGTTGAGCATCTATATAATAGGTAATCGGACAACCATAACAGACCAATCGCAACAACCAGACCAATTATTATTTTCTGTGAAATATGAATTATTTTAATAAATTAAATCGCATTTATATATATTTTATTTATTGCATCGATGGGTGGACGAGCTCACGGTCAACCTAGTGTTAACAGATTACCGGAGCCCATAGACATCTACAACGCAAATGTCGTCACCCACCATGAGATATAAGTTCTAAGGTCTCAGTATAGTTACAACGGCCGCCCCGCCCTTCAAACCGAAAGGCATTATATCTACGCGTCGAACCAAACATATTATGTCGTAGCGCGTAAATTCATACGTGATTAGCTCGCAGTTAAAAACTAGCCCCAAATGACGTCACACGCAATGAAGTTACGCTGCGCCTAGATTTATAAGGTCTGCGCGGCTATTTTGATATGTCTGTCCGATTCCCTATTGCACAATGATTTTCCGAGTTGACATTGCGGACATGACAGCTTTTTTAAAGTCAAAACTTTTAACCTCGCACCTTGACAAAGAGAGAATGCTTTATTGGTTTTCTCTGTAGCAAAGGACAGATCGCGCAATAAGCGCACCACTATTTGATTATTATCTTATCACAATTGCTTTGATTGTTACTTCTTTGGAGTCCTTAACTTATTACAATCAATGGGCTCTCATTAAAGGTACTTATTGTTCCATAGTGAATCGTATCTCAAATCAGCAGTCGTCAGTAAGATGAATAATCAAAAATCACAACCCTTCTGTCAAGATTAACACCAACTATAATTACGAAAAAAACAGAAAGAGATACAGATATTTTCATTTCGTCTATCTCCCTTTCTCTCGTATTGGACAATTCATTAAAATTACGTTTTTTTTTGTATAAATTACCTATTAATTATCATTAAATGGATTACAATTCCTACGATGATTAATTAGTGAAATTCTTTAAAAATGTTAAAACGTCTAGGCCTATTGTTGATAATCGATTATTGAATAAATATTAGCTTTCTACGTGAACATCTCTAGAGTTTCAAAACTTATGCGTTTTGATGAATAACTATAACTGTATTAATATCTGTCACAGTAAAACTTTAGATAGTAGAGTGCTTTGAAACAAAATTATTTACTTACTGGATTAAAAAAAAAAACCGTCGCATCATGTCTTACAATGATGACACCGTTCACTTCAAAAGACTTGTAAACATAAAAGCAAAAATAAAATTAACCCATTTCTTTATTTATTATTAAAAAAAAATTAACATATCATTTACATTTAAAATAAAATCTATAAACAATGATCTATGGCAGAAAAAAATATCTACAATACATAAAAAAAAATCATCGATGCATTCCGTAAATAAAAAAGCAAACATTTACATGTTTTTTTTTCATTATGTAATTTACTTTAAATTTGGTTTTATGTAACGCGCATATTATAATGTCTAAATTTTACACCTCTGACGTTTGAAAATTCGAACAACACACGCGTTGTCACAGATATTAAATTTAGACAAAAATAAATGCCGAACACCTAGACTTTGGCCTCTAGTCCAAATTTTAATAAGCAAATATCGCTTACACCGGGCAACCCTGATTTGAGTCAACCCCGACGTTCACAAATAAAAATAAAAGTAGAATTATTTTAAAATAAACGGCAAATGTAACTGTGTGTTCGCAAACGCTCTGTAATAATTCATTTAAACCTTTGTCAAACAGAACGCGTAATTAGCGCGCGTTAGAGCGCTGAACTGACTGTGTTGTACTACTATGGTAACATACCGTCAAACAGAGCCCCAGCGCTATAAGTACGCAGCGCTCTGTAACGGCGTTAGGACGCTTTGACGTCAGGCGTTGTAATTTTTTACGAGCGTTTTTTAGCGTCCGAGTGAATGTGTATTAAAATACTAGATAATGCCCGTAAAAATGATATAAATAGTTAGAAAATACCCATGCTTATACAATGCCACATCTGAATCACTCGATTTCTTAATACTTTTAAATGTTCACACTGCTATCGAAAGGCACTGTGATTTGGCGAATGCGTTGCGTCAAGGAGCGTTAGACTCATCTAGTCAATTGGTGTGACATGAAAAGAACGCGACGTTAAGTACGCGGCGCTAAGTACGCGTTCTGTTTGACGAAGGCTTTAAACTGTATACCCCTTTAAAAAGACAAACAATTCAGTACCCTTTTTTCTCCTCTGTTGTCCAAGCGTTCTTTTTAAATTTAGCAAGTATTGACGAGCTTTGGTGCTCCGTTAATGAGTAAAAAATTAAGCAGTTCTTTTCCCGCGTTTTTTTATTGCTTAGATGGGCAGACGAGCTCACAGCCCACCTGGTGTTAAGTGGTTACTGGAGCCCATAGACATCTACGGCGTAAATGCGCCACCCACCTTGAGATATAAGTTCTAAGGTCTCCAGTATAGTTACAACGGCTGCCCCACCCTTCAAACCGAAACGCGTTACTGCTTCACGGCAGGAATAGGCAGGGCGGTGGTACCTACCCGCGCGGACTCACAAGAGGTCCTACGACCAGTAAGTTGTTGCAAGAAAAAAATATCGAAAAGACACAAAAATGTGGATGCAGTAGTTGAATTTCGATTGAAAGAACACCAACATTATTGATAGGGTTGGTAATTCATAATTATTGATAACAATTATAATATACATGTATCAAAAAAATGCGTAAACGGTAAAATGCTCTGTGGATTTTTTCTATAAGTTCTCAGTCAATAACCAAAGCAAATTTGTAGCAATTTTGTCGCTGATCTTACAAAATACCAATTAATTTACTTTGATGCGAAAGACATATAAAATTCGTGACTTCCGCGAGCTTACCTAATTTTTTTTAGTATCAAAAGTACGGTCAGCGTACAAATTAGAAAAATAATATTTTTTTTTTTTATAACACTCACTGCTAATGGCCACGTTCCTTTGTTTAACGATAGCCGTGCAGGAAATGTGTTCAAAAAGCGTGTTTTTTTTTAAATCCGAAAAGGCCCCTCTAGTGTCTATTTACAAAGCACTTCTTCGTTACTCCATCTATTTATGATATTATCATAGGACGTTATCAAAACGGAAATGAATGGACATTCTAATTGTTTACAGCTCTGTGACGTCAGTGTTATCGATTACCGAGGTTTTTAGAAAGAGAAGTTATATTCGTCTTTCTCATTCATACATTTTCGTGTGACAGAGATAACGCTATCCAGTCGAAGTTGGCCTATTGTGTCTTTCAGAACCCGATGTATACTAAGCTCATGATTCACGTTATTACGGATCCTCCCGATCCAATAACGGTGGTACCTACCACAAGCGCCAGTCACCGTCCTCGTCGAACCCGACCGATGGCTCGACTTGCGAATTAACCCATAGACAAAGGCCACTGAGTTTCTCGCCGGATCGTCTCAGTGGGTCGCGTTTCCGATCCGGTGGTAGATTCTGCGAAGCACTGCTCTTGCTAGGGCCAGTGTTAGCAACACTCCGGTTTGAGCCCCGTGAGCTCACCTACATGCTAGGGCGAAGCTGAAGTAGCCTCTCAAGGCTATCAGCACACGTAGAAAGAAACGCCGTATTAACTGACTGTCCTGCATATTTTGAAGCGTGGTTAATGTCTAAGAAATAATAAAAGGTTTTGCATGACAGTATCTTCAGTGGTGCTTGGATTTTCTTTGAAATTTTCAGCTTCCGCTGACAGATAGCCATGCTCGATGAAGATAAAGAGAAGACTTTGCTTGAGGGCATCACAGTCACTACCAATATAAATCTAATAGGCTGCCAACCGTGAGCACCTATGAGCACCCGTGACCACACAACACGTTGCACAAAATACTAAAATATAACCATACGAGTCCCTTCTCGAACTTCAAGAAGAACCACGAGGGCATTTGTCGCAATAATTGAATTACGAAATTAACATTTCAATTATTTTCACGTCGAAGACATTTCTTAGGTCATTTTCATTTAATTATAATAAACTTTCGTGAAGTTTGTCAAAGTTTGTCCCCAAAAAATGTCACGAAAATGCGGAGAATATTGTATGGTGACCATAATAAATATAATTTACTAGGTTTTTTTTAAAGGTCATCCTATCAAATCCGTTTTGACCATGATCACAGCGATTTTGACACATATTATGTCTTGTCGCTGTAACATCTTACTTTTTATATAATAATATATTTAAAAATTAAAAAAAAAAGCATACAAGAAATGCAGAGACGCGTAGAAAAAATTGTTCAATTTGTGCTTCTAAGGATATCCAAATTATAGGCAGGAAGTATGATAGGCGATTCCGAAATCCAAAAATATCGAAATATTCCGCATGAGTGAACAATTTACACCTTCATTCATTTCCTTGAAAGCACATAATTATAAGCAACAATATTTTAAAAGAATAATATTGTCGCCCTACATGTTATGTTCGTTTACACTCCGAAAATCAATTAAAACCTTATTGCATTGAAATAAGGTTTACATTTATATTATTTATAATAGGTATCTTATTTGCTAATATATATATATTTATAATTAACTAAGATTAAACTACATTAATAATAATAAATCAATCCAGTAATGCCTGAATTATTTTGGAAGCTAAATAGTGAAAAATATATATTGAACAATGACGTCAATGTTTATGTGAACCATACGAATTGAATACTGATTGACGCTGTGCGGAAAAGTGGGAAGATAAGCCCGTTTGAATCCGCATTAATTTAAATTTAAAAAGCTCGACTTCAAATGTAGGAGATTCCCAACTTTGTTGGTATGAGTCCGGTCGCTGGTCAACGAATTGTTTTATTTATTCGCTAAGCTTTATGTCATTAGTGTTAGAGTATAATTCGGTATTATTGGTTTGATTTTTAGATAATGACGGTACTTTTGTTCGCGTGCGTACAACGTCACGAATAAGAGACGCTGATCTCTAAGAGGTATACTGACAAACAGTTTGTCTTGATATTCAGTTTTTTTTTAATTATTAAAACAATAACATCGAATGACGAGTATTTTTTTAAAATAAGAATTCAGGTAAACCTTGAAACGGCAATGTACACAGGAAAATATTCCTTATTCCTTAAAGCGCAAAGAGTAATTTACACGAGTAAATGCATCGAAATGTTACAAGTACAAAAATTCATAAGAAACCACAAAGCATTCAAATATCAACCTCACAGTGAGAGTATATAAGTACTAGTTTCGTTTGAGCAGTTACTTCTCATTATTCTTACAAAAATTACTGGCAGAGCGAAATATTGGAGGAATCGATTTTTGCATGTGTGAGTGATGATTAAGCAGAAAGTGGCGATGCTGCGATATCTCCTGATAGCTCCTCTGATTGGAAGGTCGGATTGGAAATTGGAGGTTCGACAAACGGCCCAAAAAAAAAAGAGTTACTCTATATTATGCTGCTAAAAATCGATACTTTTTTCGATTCGATTTCGATTTCGATGCATTCGAATAATACATCGCATATTTTTTTTCCAAAATACTTCTTGTATATTTTAGACGCAGTTACGTATTATGAAAAAAAGGCAAAAGAATATAATGTCAGTCATGAAATTAATAAAAAAAAAAACTTAAATAGTGCAAGGCCACGTAAAATAAAACATTAATGCTTAATTATTTTTTTTTACTATTTCTATTCACTAATGTCTCAAAAGAAACATAATATTGCAATTTAATTGAATACCATTATCAATACATTTCTAAAGTAAAAACTTCTTTAGCACCGTTGTTAATTGGAACCCGATGAAACGAAAATGGGTCACTAGAAAGAGACAAACATAATTGCATTTAAAAGTTTGAGCCTGTGAGGGTGAGAGAGAATATTTTTGAAGGTATCTTTTCAATTGTATGTGAGCTATACAATGTTTAAGTGAAGCTTCTTTAAGCGCGTTGGAAATAAAATTTAACTCGCGACAGATTCGTTACGGTTTGAGAGAAAAGATACAATTTAGGAAGAGCGAGAGTGAGAAAATAGATAGAGCGTCTCGCGAACCACTCGACCGTGGAGAGGGGAATGACAAAGCGAGCTAGGTCGTTTCTCTTATACACAAAATTCCCTAATATAAGAGAAATTTGATTTAAGGATGCAAAGTGAAGAAAACCACAATACTTCACACCGCAAAAGAAGTTTCACTTCTTTCACGTGCACCAAGATGCATGCGCACCATTTTTTTTTCCAGTTTTTGCTGTCATAAGATTATATCAAGCGATGGTCCTCAGAGAATTCGACTACAATACCACACGGTCTGGGTTCTCGATTCGCGGAGTCAGCACCTAAATGTTTGGTATACAGTCTGTGTGTTATTCTTATCTTGAATGTTTGTTCTGGTGTACATAACACAGGAGAAATCCTAGCTTTCAATCCTAGAGAAAGCCCTTTATGGCTTTCACCATTTTACGAAAATCACTCACTCACACATCGGAAAATTTCATCCCAACGTTGTTCTAACTGTGACTATCAACTTTACAAACAGTTTATGAAAATTGATTGCCCACACAGCTTTTTCCCTATACTACTATCAAATCACTACGGAGAATTTTCAAACTTACGTACTATTGTATTAAGTGTTAAAATCGTTTGTTTTACCGGTAACGTTTCGGAGGAGTGCTTTAAGTCGAGCTTAGACCCGTACGTGAGCTGGTTTCGATCATTGGCAGAGGAAATTGAAGATGGAATTCGCGTACGCCATCGGCTTCACGTCCGGATGGGGCTGTAATGATAAAGTATTGCAATGATAAAAATTAATTTTGCTCATATTTTTAGGGAAATATTTTGTCATCGTTTAAATAGTAAACAGTCGACGTCGCCCTAAACACGTCATTACGAATCCTCCCGATCCCATAACGGTGCTTTTAGGTACCACAAGCACCGGTCACCGTCCTCGCCGAATTCGTTGCTTGCGACAAAGGGCTCGACGAGTAAATTAACCCACAGAGGCAGCTCACTGAGTTTCTCACCGGATCTTCTCAGTGAGTCGCGTTTCCGATCCGGTGGTAGATTCTGCGAAGCACTGCCTTGCTGAGGTCATTGTTAGCAACACTCCGGTTTGAGCCCGGTGAGCTCATCTACGCGTCAAGGAGAAGCTGAAATAGACTCTCAAGGCTATCAGCATAGGTAGGGAAAAAAAGTCGCCTTATCAATATTGCAAGGGAAAGTGCTGCTGTTATTTCAGAAACACACATGATGCCCTTGTAGGCAGACGAGCATACGGCCCACCTGATGGTAAGTGGTTATCGTCGCTTCAGCAATGCCTGGAGCAGAGCCAAGGCGCTGCTTACCGTAAATGTTTATAAATATATAGATATGAAACGATAGAATGTTTCTATTTTATAAACTCACCACTGCTTCGTATGTAGTGAAGTGAGGCACAAGATCCTTTCCATTCATAGTGATGAAAGCGCCTAGATTGCCCATTGTATCGCTGAAACAAATATTTTTATTTAATCAAATATTAATACGTGAAGCAAAATCTTTGTAACCCTTTTTACGAAAATTGCGCGGACGGAGGAGTATGACATTTTCGACACTTATAGAGAATATAGAGAAGAAGTGCACAATGGGAATATTTTTTTAAAATAATGCATGAAAGATACATTAAATCAATAAAGAAAACATTACACACACTGCCATGTATTTGACACAACACATATATGTATATAAATATACTCTTTGTTTATTGACAATTGTCAAACTTTTGTTAGTGTTTAAGGTCTGTGGTCAAATTGAGAATATATGAATATTGTTTGTTTTGATTATTATTTATGTATAGTGTAGTTTTGGCGAAATCTGTGATTATATTATACAAGTACAATAGTATTTGACAATAGAACCATAATAATGTTTAAACATAAAATTTCAATTGATTAAAGTTAAAACGAATTTCGACTTCTGCGGGACCACTAGCTTAATTAACTTTCTTTTTTTTTTTGTTGTTGCTTATATGGATGGACTAGCTCACAGCCCACCTGGTGTTAAGTGGTTACTGGAGCCCATAGACATCTACAACGTAAATGCGCCACCCACCTCGAGATATAAGTTCTAAGGTCACGGGTATAGTTACAACAGCTGCCCCACTCTTAAAAAAAAAAATTTTTTTTATCTTAATCTCACCAGTAGTTGGGAGCCGAGAAGACTGTGATGCACTTTCCGTCGTGGGCGACCTCGTAGCCGTCGTTCTTGACTTCGTGACTGCGGATGATGTAGTCGAGCTTGTTCCTCTGCAGGAAGTTGTGGGTCACGTCCGGACCGAACTGGCAGCCGACGCCGCGCTTGGACTGGGAACGTCCTTGCATCGGTTGAGGGTCAGACCAGAGGAGCTCGCACATTATACCTGAAATTTACGTAAGGTACGTTTATGACTCGGCTTGTATTAACTATTAGAGACCACAGACATCACAACTTTCCTTTCTTTTTTTCTACCTAAGCTGATAGCCTTGAGAGGCTATGTCGGCGTAACCTAACAAGTAGGAGAGCTCACGGGGCTCAATCCTGATGACATTGCTAACACTAGCCCTAGCAAGAATAATGTTTTTTTTTGTGTACAGTCAACCATCTGTCAGTCGATTTGCAATTCCATTCCAAAGCAAAGAGCACACTGTTATAATATTGCATTATACCAGATATACATGGCGTTGCCTTGATAACACATAGGCACTTACGTTCCTAAGCTGTAAAATCTTATTCAACTAAGTCTTCATCATCTTTCTGTTCTTCTTTCTCCCAGTCACCTGGGGTCGACGCATCATGTTTTCTCCTTCCACACTCCTCTATTATATACAATTTCTTCGTTCACTCCCCTCTTTAACATATCGTCTTTCACGCAACCCATCCATTTCTTCTTAGGTCCACCTCTTCCTCTATATCCTTCCACATTCATAGTTAGCACTCTCTTACCAACCTCATTTTCATTTCGTCTCATCACATGTCCATACCATCCCAAACGCGCACTTCTCAGCTTCTCTGTCACAGGTGCCACTTTTAGACTTCCTCTAACATATTCATTCCATATTCTTTCTATTCTCGTTATTCCACACATCCATCGCAACATTCGCATCTCTGTTGTACGCAATCTCCTTTCATCCTACTCTACTCAACTAACCAAAACCAATTTCTATTCTCACTCCTTTACTGTGCACGCGCTCAGACTGTGGAATTCGTTGCCGGCTGACATCCGAGTTTGCAAGTCTGTTTCTGTTTTTAAATACAAGGTCAAACAATTCTATCTCTCATCAACCGAATGATCATTGTTCTATACTCTTCGTATATACTGTTACTTATAATATTTTGTATTCAAGTTTAACAATATTTGCTATGTGTATGTGCATTACTATAATTCTCATGTTGTATTTGTTATTTTAGCTGTTCTACACACACTCATCATTTTTAATTATTATTCTCATAAGTCTCTCGCAGGTCTGCTGGGAGAGATTTCTTAAAGAAATAAGCAGTGCCTTTGTACATAATTTTCCTATAACACTGTACTATGTCTTCTTTTTTGTGTGTACATAAATAAATAAATAAGTCTTTAAGACGACAAAAAAACCAACTCACCATCTTCAGGCGGCTGTTTGTTTCGGTCCACGTTCTTGATGTCTTCGAGTGTGACGTCATCTTTTGAGAACAACCCCCCATGCATTACAAGCACTCGACCGTTTATACAGTGAGCTAAGGGTAGCCAGTTGTAGACCTCGGTGAATAGATCGGCCATTTGTGAGGTATACTTTGATGTCACCTCCCCACGGAAACCGTACACCCGATTCATGTCCAGTGTCTCATGATTACCTATGATAACGGGTTCAAATTAAACACGTTTTATTTTATTATTGAAAAGGGCATTCTTCTTCTTCGATATCGTTCTCTCACTGCTGAGGATTGCGACTACATGTGACGTTTCTCCCCAGTGTTCGGTCATGGGTGACATGGACCGTATAGTACAGACTACCACCAAGCGATTCCTTTACTAGATCTGACCACCTGACTGCCCCCGGCGCGCTATGTGGTGAATTATATTATGAAAAGTGCATGTGTCCATAACCATGAGTATGTGAATGCCACAACCTAGCCTCTAGATTTAAGTTTCAATATAATTGATTAATCGAATAATATAGGCAACATTGTGGTTCCTAGCTGTGCAGGCATAAATCATTGAAATAATGCCATTTATGACATGCAAAAATTATTGGCCATACTGAGTAATTCAACAATATTGACCAAGTTTCGCTATTGTGTGTCATCAAGCAAAAATATTTATAACAATGTTGGGGTTAATATCATTAGGTTATAATGAACATCGCAAGTGCAAGCAAGCATTCACTTATATTTAGTGGTAGACACAGTAATCATGATTTTGACCTTACGTGTCAATGTGAGCAGACAGCATTTATATTGTTCTATGGGCTCCGGTAGCCATTTAACATCACGTGAGGTACAGCTTTGCTGAGTCGCTGATAATGATATTGCTAATTTCCAATAGTTACAGAGACAATTCATCATCAAGCCGGCTGTACGAGAGACTGTTAAGGAAGCCAAATAAAAATTTACCTCTAGACATGTAAAAGTGATCCGGATACAGCAACTTATAGCTGAACAAAGTGAAGATACATTCCACGCTGAATGATCCTCGGTCCACAAAATCTCCATTGAACAGGTACGGGTTTTCATCCGATGGAAGTCCATTCAATTTAAATATATTCATTAAGTCATAGAACTGGCCATGGATGTCACCACACACGGTGAACTTCTTGTCGTCTGGGACTTTGATGTCAACAAGAGATGGCTGGTTCTGAAGGTATGTCTTCACATCTAGCAGGATCTGTGGATTGAATTTTTGGTGAGATATATTAATTGGTGTCTATAGGCAGTTGAGAGATTTCTATTATATTGCTTTATGCTGCGTGGTTTCTGGTAGATGTATTTTTAATGGCCTACAATGGCAGACGAGCATAATTATGGCACAACTACTAGTGAGTGGTTACGGTAGCAAATAGATGTCAGCAATGCAAAGGCACAGTCAAGCTGCTATTTAACTCTAACTACCAATGTGTGACCAATCCATACAGGCTGAGGACCTGCTTCCTTGAATTCCTGCACTTATATACATATGAATTGGCATTTAAAATTAACATTATTATTTATTGTTATTATTATTAGGGAGTCCAACCCTCATATAAATATTAGCCTATCCATTAAGTACATGTATTGTCTACATGGATACCAAGTTTCAAGTCAATCGAATGCATGTTTCAGTAGTTATAACAGAACATCCGTAAAAACCACTGTAGATTTATATATTAGTATAGATTATGTAGAGTAAAATAAAATATTTTTAATTTATGTTTTATTGTAATACCTTGTAGGCATATTTCTTGTGAAGTTTCTTCTGCTGTTTATAGTATTCCATTAGCTCTTTGACGAAATTCAAAGTAACTTTTCCATCTTCAAGCATTGGCCCTTCGTACTCATCTTCAATGGCTGTTAAAAAATACACAATTACAATATTTTTTATATTCCAGGATTGTAGCAATCATACAACGGGAGGAATCTGGCAAAAACCAGAATAACACTAAGAATATTTTCAATATAGGCTTACATATAAAGGCTTATATACTTCAATATAAATCTGCAGGTTCAGAACAACAACGTCTACAAAGCAATATCAACTACACTAGGCTCAATCAACGGGACAAGGCAAAACCTCTTTTATCATCCTCTGGATCATCTCTCTGTGCTTTTAGGCTCTTCAAGCACTGGTCACTGTCCTCATCAAATTAGCCCATAGACACAACCCATTGTACTGCCCTTGCTAGGGCTGTTGTGTTAGAAAACTTTCCTCAGGTAAGCCCAGTGAGCTAACCTACCAACCATAGCATCACCAGAATAGCCCCTTAGGCTACCAGCAAAAAGGTAGGGAAAAAATATATATATCTCAACTGTTTGGTGGAATATTTTCCCTTTGTACTTTCCCCAAATTATCCTAACAAATTAGGCACATTATATGGCATAATATTACCATCTTCTGTGAATGCTTCAGGTTTCAAATCAGTCCAATTCTTGTGTAACCCTTTTTATTTATTGCTTAGATGAGTGGACGAGCTCACAGCCCACCTGTTGTTAAGTGGTTACTGGAGCCCATGGACATCTACAACGTAAATGCGCCATCCACCTTGAGATATAAGTTCTAAGATCTCAGCATCGTTACAACGGCTGCTCCACCCTTCAAACCGAAACGCATTACTGCTTCACGGCAGGAATAGGCAGGGCGGTGGTACCTACCTACTACTACTATGTCTACTATGTTTAGTGGGTATCATCTTCATATTTTTCAGACAGTTAACAAACTCACAAGCGACTATGTTTAGTATATTTAATAGGTATAGACTTTTTTTAAAGTAGCAATCATATTATGCTATAACCTTCAGTATTCATCTAATTTCCTAATGGTCAGCAGAATTGCAACTATCATTTTTATAATTTTAGCAATAAGCATTGCCTATATAATGTCTCAAAGGAACGATATTAAGTGCTGGGTATTAATGAAAATACTCATTCCCTTTTCTCAACAATTAGTACTGTATGAAAATATATGCACTTGACTGAACTGGCTTGTTACTTACTCAACACATGTATTATAATTCGGTTAGATCTAACGAAGCATTACAATAAGTGATTAGTTTGTATTGTTGCAATTTAACTTACTCATTGAATCCAAATTAATACTGTCAGCAATGTTAACTTCTTTTTTGTCCACTGAGATGGCTTTTTCGAAGGCGATCTTCTTAACTATCTTATTGCATTCACTGTACTTGAGTTTTGCATCTTGATCGTATGGTCTTACTGTAGTTACCTTAAGTTTAAAGAGGAACCCTCAAATATCTTTAATAACAATTTTTGATACCAAATAATAATTATCAATCTATATCATTAATAAAAAGTGTTTCAGGTCTAAGGGAGTCAGCAGAGAATGAGCAGCAGCAGCAGTATGGCACATTATCTACCTTGTGGTACAAGTATGTACCACTATATCTACCACGAATACATGGTCATTTATTCCAGTTTGAGATGCAGGACCACCAATAATACAACTGAGACTTTAATCTCATGTTTCAAGGTGGGCAGCATTTGTATTGTGGTATGTAGTCCAGCAACTCTCAGATTGTAAGGTTTCTGGTATATTTATTAGAGAATTCAAAAAGAATCTGCCTTTTATATCACAGTCCTTTTAATCTTAAGCAAGTAAAGAAAATTTGTGCTTTTCACAAATAAAAGTTTAAAAAAATTCTGACCAAATCTGTTCGAGTATTAACTAGAGGTTCATTGTTATCATAGAAGAAGCAAACTTCCCAATTTTATGAGCTGATAAAACAAATGAAGTTTGTAAGAATTATCTGCAAGTTTATAGTGGAAATATACAGATGAATATATCATTTGTGCATGTTTTGAAGCTTAAATGAAAGGGGTAAGCTTGATTTGAACTTGATATGACGATCTGGCTACTGATAAAACGTGTATAAACTATGATATCAAACTCACATATTCAAAATCCGTAAGCGCCAGTTTGTACTTTCCCNAAAACAAATGAAGTTTGTAAGAATTATCTGCAAGTTTATAGTGGAAATATACAGATGAATATATCATTTGTGCATGTTTTGAAGCTTAAATGAAAGGGGTAAGCTTGATTTGAACTTGATATGACGATCTGGCTACTGATAAAACGTGTATAAACTATGATATCAAACTCACATATTCAAAATCCGTAAGCGCCAGTTTGTACTTTCCCAAAGACATATGCGCAGCGGCACGTCTGTAATAAGCCTTGGTGTAGCCTTTGTCCAAAGCTATGGCTTTGGAGGCATCACCTAAAGCATAACCGAAGTTCTCTAATCGAAGATTTGCTATACTCCTGTTCGCGTACAAAACAGCGCTGTTAGGATTCTTCTCGATGGCCTGACTGTACAACTCGATCGCCTTATCATAATTTTGCTCTGAAAATTTTAGGTTATGTCTATCAAATGGATAATTGAAAGTAAATTACATATTTACATCTATAATTTACTATGAAGATTGTTTTTTCATAAAACAGGATAGAACTTACTTTTAAAATATTCATTTGCTTCGTTTTTCAATTTGTCTGCCGCTTCGATATCTTCTTGGGTGCTTGGTGCAGTGATTTCTTCGTGATTAGACATTGTCTCGAGTTTTAGTATTGATGAAATCAATAAGATCAATTAAACAAGTATTTGCAATACCTAATCTTTAAAAGACTTCTATTCCGATTTCCGATTTACATGCTAATCAATCAGTAATCGCAAATCACGAAAATAATTTTTATGGAAATTGACAGATCAATCGTCGCTGTTCAATAGTGATGGGACTAAGACATAAAATTTTCACGAAACTTAGCTGCGTGTATTTTTGGCCGTTTTCCAATTACAGTACAAGAGCGCTTATGCTCTGCTCTGTAGTTGGAAAACTACCATTAAGTAATGGTTAATTGGCATTTGTAAGCATTGGATTTCTTTTCATTTCAAATACAATGTACACTTAAATAACTTTATCCCCAGAATTTATTTGTGATTATAACTTTTTTGATTAACACCTCGAGCACTACTCTTAAATCTCGAAAATCAGATGCAAATCACTTTGAACACAAAATTATTATTCCTATCGCTTTCCAATATTGAATTTAGCGTGCACTATTTACTACACACACACACCACACACGCACACAAACGCACGTACACACAAACGCACGAACACACATACACACACTCATGCGCACGCACACACTCATTGTTTTAGAACAAAAAGAACAAAGACTGAACAAGTCAAATATTCTTTTTAAGCTATTGCATAGCTTTTATCGCGAGTTTTGAGCGTGGCAACCGAATCAAGAAATTCCGTAACGAAAATAAAACCTAACACCCCCACTCCGCCTACCGTGTAGCTCGCGTTCAACACATTCACACGTTGCGCTCGTGTAGTGTTTGTGAATAAGCGCGAGGCGTGACGTCGCACTGCATGCGCATCATGAAAAGTCTGCCCATCTCTCTCTCGCGCGCGGTCTAGCTTATGAGTGTGAAGGGGACAGTTAATGTTTTGCTTTTGTTCATGCTTATAAATATAGCGTGGTCTTATTTTATTATTATTGTTTTAATATTACTTTTATTATTATTGCTTTACTGCGGCAGTCCCCGAGTGCCACACGTGTTTTAATTTTTTAAACAACAGATAAAGAATAAAATAATTAAGCAAGATTTACAGGTACAGCAAGTATTACATAAGAAATTTTATAGAATTTTGTCAATTATTGTATTTTCATCATGATAGATATTATATCTAGTCTTCATTATTAATTGAATTCAATTCAATGTTAATTTTGATAACGTGTTTGTCAATGGCAATAAATATGGCGTAGACGTGCAACCCACTGCAGTAATGTAAACGGATTTTGTAATACACAACAGTATCAGTTGTATTATTAATCGGACATATTTTAAGAACTAGATTAAATGTAACGCATCCTAGTATATTCAGAATACAGGAGGAAGCACGAAATGTTATTATTTTTTTAGGATTGCATTTGCTTGAAAGTTAAGCGTTTTTAGCTATTTTTTTGTATCAGTGAATATCCCTTTTTTATTTAATGATTTGTTTATGGATATGCGTAACTCAACCTTTTAGCCCTGCTTGATTTTCCTGATGCTTTTTTACACTCAATTTAAAGGAATTGATCTACTATTATGAAATTCAGGACTTCATAGGCATGACTTTACTGACAGCTGTCGTAGAGATCAAGCTATATTTTATGAAGTATAGTGATTTGCTTCTAGGTTTCGGTAAGTTGGTAACATTGAGCGAAGTGCCCTATGCCGGGCAAAGTCGAAACGGTTCTTGATATTATGGGCCACAGCGACTCTACTTTATTACGCGACCTCAGCATTACACTCAGACTTCCTTGTCAGCAACTATCGTCACGAAATACGTTTTATCGGTCGCTGAACTATATATTATTATGTACTACGCGAACGACCCTATTTTAAGCCAGATATGCCATCATACACAGGAATAAAAAGTCTTTTGTAAATAAAAGAAAATAACTTTTATTTATTGATTATAAACATAAAAAAATATACAAAAAACACTTAATTTAACTTAAATTATGTTAATATTACATTCATTAGGCGAACACCTGTAATATTACACATACAATCATAACTAAAATACTGCTCCTAGCTAAGAAGGCGGAGTTCGGTTCTTCACAGTTTTCATTTTGTTCCACCTGAATGAATATAGGTTGGTGGAGTTCTTCTCTTTGTGCCATGTAGGCGTCGATAGCCGTTGTTCCTGCTGCAGGCATTGTTCGGGTTCTGCTGAGTTTCCATGCACCAACTGAAAAAGAAGTACGTAGGTAATGTAGGTAGGTTTTACTGGTGGTAGGGCCTCTTGTGAGTCCGCACGGGTAGGTACCACCGCCCTGCCTGTTTCTGCCGTGAAGTAGTAATGCGTTTCGGTTTGAAGGGTGGGGCAACCGTTGTAACTATACTTGAGACCTTAGAACCTATATCTCAAGGTGGGTGGCGCATTTACGTTATAGATATCTATGGGCTCCAGTAACCACTTAACACCAGGTGAGCTGTGGGCTCGTCCACCCATCTAAGCAATAAAAAAAAAGGTAATTTCCTTGTAATTTTTCTGCAAATATAACTTTAAGAAACGTTTTCATTTTAATGCAAATAACTGCTACATTGTTATTACAAATCGAATTAAATTCGTTAATTAACTAGATTATAGAATTAAATACATGTAATATTTGACACTAAGAAAAAAAGTTGGTACATAGATAGAGGCGGTTTCATCTATGATTCAGGGTGAGGCCACTTCGGCATTTTTAATGAACCTAGTTGGTACATTTGTGCCTATTCCATTTTGACTGCACGCTTATTAAAGGGCGCTTTGATGATGATTGCACACGGGCTAGAGACTCATTGGTCCATAGACAAATAATGATTTTCTTGAAACTCGTTAATAGACTTACCGGCTCTCTGGAAATTGTTGATGTTTACACAGCTATAGGCCAGTGAGTAGCTCTGGTAATCCGTCGTGAGAACGTAGAGAGGCGTGGTCACGGTTCCTAGAAGTATATCTTGAAATTTAGTCGCTGTTGCAGTAGTAATACTTGTGAAGTCGTCGTGGCCTAAAGGATAAGACCTCCGGTGCATTTGTATCTAGCGATGCACCATTGTTCGAATCCCGCAGGCGGGTACAAATTTTTCTAATGAAATACGTACTTAACAAATGTTCACGATTGACTTCCACGGTGAAGGAATAACGTAGTGTAATAAAAATCAAACCCGCAAAACTTTAATTTTTGTAATTACTAATTGTAGGACCTCTTGCGAGTCCGTAAGATAGGTACCACTACCCTGCCTATTCCTGCCGTGAAGCAGTAATGCGTTGCGGTTTGAAGGGTGAGACAGCCGTTGTAACTATACTGAGACCTTAGAACTTATATTTCAAGGTGGGTGGCGGCATTTATATTGTAGATGTCTATAAGCTTCAGTAACTACTTGACACCAATAAATAAAAAAAAATGTAAGTTCTGGGAAAGAGGAAGAAGTTAACATTCGTTAAGGCCCGATGAGAGGATTCGAAATTAATTCACCTTCTCCACCACGAATGGGTAAAGTGACTGCCAATTTTGCGCTTCCATCAGTCGAGGAGATCACAGCGGTGCCGCTAATAGTGTCTAGGACACCGTCAATGACCTCCCAGTTGAGGACGTCCACGACTCCAGTGGTAGAGTCCAAGATGTATCGAGCTCCAGTACACGTGCCTCTTTCGTGGATCTGGCTGTACCTCTCAATCTGGTACCAGGTTCCGGTATACTGTTAAAAGAATTCAGTTCGTGTATCTTCGTAGTCTTATAGTTTGAAAAGGTAAAACTAGATGATGAGGTTTTTTTTTTGATAACGCCATCTTGTTGTGCCTTTAAAGCGGTTAGTTGCCCTCAATTAAGAAAAATAGTTTTATTATTCGCCAATAGATGTCGGGAAGAGTTGATTATTGAAAACACGAATAAAACAACATTTTCTGAAAATAAATCGTAGCTAGATCGATTTATTGCCCTCCAAAAATCCCCTATATACTAAATTTTATGAAAATCGTTGGAGTCATTTCCGAGATATATAATTAAAGATAATTAAAGGAACGCGAGACAAAACCAAATAAATAAATAAAGTAATTTAATTATGGTTTTCATTATAATACTACTGGTCCGATTTGAAAATTTCTTTCAGTGTTAGATAACCCATTTATTGAGGAAGGCTATATAACATCACGGTAAGGCCAATACAAGTGGAGCACCAATAAGTAATGTTTCAAAATATGGGGTTTAAATAGCTCCTTAGCATTCTATAATTCAAAAATATTTTCACTTTCTACGTAAATGAAGTGGGGGTAAAATTTAGCGTTATGCCAAAGTAACTATTCCACGCGGACGGAGTCGCGGGCAAAAGCTAGTAACAAATATGATATCTTACCGCATTAGCATCGAAGTTCTGTACAACAGGTATATTGGTGTCACATTGTCCAGGCAGGATGACCTGTTGACCAGTCTGCTCGGGATAGTGGAAGCAGGCTCGGTCAGACTGGTCGACGGTTAAATAGAGCTCCTGGTGGAGTACTCTGTTAGCGGTGATGATAGGCGTCATTGCGTTTTGTGCAGCCTCGGTCAGCTGTCTAGCTTTGCTGTGCTTCGCGCTCCATACTAAAAAGAATGTTTAAAATGAGGCCGATTCTAAGAACTCTTGTCTCTAGTTGGGGGTGTTTTCGTTGTTCGTATCTATAAGCTCCAGTGACCACTTAAACCAGGAGGGTTGTCAGCTCGGCCGCCCATCTCAGCAATAAAAAAGATCTGGTCTGATCTAATTGCTTATTCTTCTTCTCAATCATGTCACTCTTGACAAAGCGGTGATCGTCATGTCATTGTAGTGTTAGAAAGGGCAGATTTGATGCGTCTCACAATGTCCCGCCATCTTCCTGCTTGAGGCCATTCTAATGAAACCATTTAGGGGATCTCCCATTGTAGTTTTAATTTTGTCCGTCCCTCGCATTGGTGACCACGCGGTCTTGTACCAATTTTCCAATTGTTATATGACGTACAACATATTATGGCCATACTGTCGGAGTTTTAAGTGTATAAAACCTTTCGCGACGAGAATAGGAATGTAACACGGATTGGGCCGAAGGATTGAACTGTTGGGTTAGAAGATCAACACAATTGTAAACATTTATTTCGGACAGCGTTAGTTGAGCCTGTTTGCCTTTATCTCTCTCTCTCCTTGTTCTATTTCATTTATTTTTCCATATATTTCTGTGCCTTAGATTTTTATTGGGCGATAACAAATGATATGGTTTTTTTTGGGTAAAATGTATATGTCGAAATATCATACCTCGTCTGTGTTCGCTGTCGACGTTGACGCAAGAATACAGGAGAGCGTAATTCTCGTAATCAGTAGCCAACACCCAAATGTCTGTGAATACGAAAACAGATTTAACTAAATCAAATTCGTTTGTGCCTCGATTTCAGATGTTTCTATCATACAGCTAAACGAGAACATACAAATTTCTACCGTCCGTTTTGGGATTTAAAGTCGAAGTTTCAATTACATTAGACCATTACACATGAGTCCGTGATCTACCGTCTCATTTGGAATTGTAATAATTAATCGAAAATATAATCAACATGCTGTAATTCGTTTATAGAAAAAAGTTTTTTTTATTTATTTATTCAGAACCAGTCACATTCCTGTGTTTCAATAAGTTGTAGTTTGATGACATATTTAAAAAAAAAATAACCTGTATAGGTTTACTATCGTATGACGTCAGGAGAAAGTGAAACAGTCTGATTTATTGTGATGCGACTTTCGCATCAAAGTAATGAAATACACCACGTCTGTTAGTATTCAAAAGTGAATATTGTGTCGTCACAAAATATCATATTGATGATTTTGTTATTTGATATATATAGTTATTCATTTATTATAAATAAAAACCCAAAAAATTGTGGTCTTTTTGGTTAGGTCTTTGTAGTTAAGTTATTTTATGTTCAATAGCGTCCTTACAAACAAATCCTATTCTATTTATGTTTATTTCATTAATTTATCAGTGCTATATACTCATAATATGATTATGTAGGTTTATTTTACCTTCAACTCGCCCATTGGCCAAAGTCCTTCGAAGCCTTCCATCACTAGTGGCTGTTACGGTACCGGTGGCAACAGTAGCTGACCCACCAGAGACGCTGGTGTCTACAACTTGGTACTGGTTTCCTGATGCTGTGTACTGTGAGCTGATACACTCCCCTGCGTTGCCCTCAGTTGGGTACCGCTCAATTTCATGCCACCAACCAAGGTACTGTAAAATTTCATTCCATTTAGTTTACTGGAGGTATTACAAACTTACTGCCAATCATCGGTTGCAGTGCACTTTGAAGTGTTCGAGGATTGTCATTATATGACATCAGTAGTCGGCGATAAGCGGTAACCGCTTCACGCAAAGTGCCCTTTTTAATTTATCAGCCCGCTGTTTATTGTATGAGCAATATTAAAGATACTTTTCTTGTTTCTGGGGTTGGCGTAGCAAGTCCTCTTTATCCATTCGGGCATATCATACGGCATCTCTGCACTCTCTCTCTCTTTCACACAGTCAATTCAAGTCTTTTTAGGGCGCTTTTAAAGAATACTTTTCCTTAGAAAAAATGTTAGTTTTGTTTAATACTTAGATCTGATGAGAGGAGCTCTTCACCCATTGTATCAAAAGCTTATATGCCTCCATCCACCGCGAGACTTGGGGTCTAAGGCTCGCTTAAAATAACAATGGATGCCTACGAACCGAAAGGCATTGTTTCACGGCAGAAAAACGCAGGTTGATGATACCTACCCTTGTGGGCCCACAAGACGATGTACCATCAGTAAAACCTGTTTGCGGTATAGTCAGTTCGCTCTATATGAGTACGACTGATGTTAACATATATTTTTTATTTGTAGGCCATTGTAAAATAAAGGTCATTATAAATTATGAATTTGTAATCACAGAACTTACCCTCTGGACATCGAAGTTCTGAACACCAGTGATGCTTTCACACTGTCCTCTAAATACAGGGGGTGAGGTAGGATTGAGTGTGGGTACATAAAAGCAGGTGTCTTCGCTTTGGCTGGTAGATTGATAGTAGTCTTCCAGTAGACCCTGGGTGTTCGTTATGACCGCGTTCATGACGTTGTTTGCTTGAGTGCTCAACGACGTGGTCCTACTGAGTTTCCAGCTGCCGACTGTAAAAAAATGGGGTGGAAACTGCTATTATATTCGGTCCTATAAAATGTCCTATTAAATAGAATTGAGGCTTAAAAATGTTGTTTTTTTACTCTTAGTTTGTTATTTTACTGAGTAAATAAACAAAAAAATCAAATTTTCATGAATAGTCCCTACGAAATCAGGTCTATACGTTTAAATTTCTTTTTTGGGTTGGGGTTATTAGACCCAGGGCCTTTTTACCAGGATGGGTTACTGTGGGCCTGCCAAGAGGGATGTTGTTCTTTAACCTGACAGCCTGAATGCCTGAAAATGCTACTACCGTTTCCGAATTGCGATCTGCTGAGAAGATCCGACGGGAAATTAAACGAGCTGATATTCTTGCCTACATGTCAAACGAACTCTTCGACGAGTTCGGTTACCTTGGCTAGGGCTACTTGTAGAAGAACTGCTTATGTACTAGAAGCGTCTAATAGTACTGAGACTGAATCAGGTAGATTTATTAGGACGTGTCTAGAGGTTTTGCGGTGATTGGCTCCTACGCAAACAGGATTAGGGTTGTAGTTAATGGTGGCCATGATTAGGGTCAATCGCGTCGTGTTCCTATCTCGGATAATACATTAAATCGAAATAAAATTTGAAATAATTAGAATTACCTCTTCTGTTTCCATTAGCCAAGTTTCTACAGCTGTATACCAAAGCGTAGTTGGTGTAGTCTGTTGCCAAAATGTAGTAGTTTGCAGTAACAGTAGCTGTGGAAGATTTTGTATTATTAATATCCTCGTTCTTCAGTGGTGTTCCTCATGTCCGAGGGTTATGACCGACTAAGCCATTGTTAATATCAATTGCAATTAATTAATCCTGATCTTCAGTCACTATGTTTGTTGATAATTAATATCGTTTAACTCATTCAACACGATCTATATCGACTGTTAATGGCTTTAGTGATATCTCAGATGTTTTAAAAATATAACTATATTTATTGGACCAGATGATGGTTTTTTATTCGTTCAAAATCACATTCAATAATCAAAATTACTCCTTGTTACCTTTTTGACCAAGGGTTTTCAATGATGTGGGAAATTTTTAAAGGTTACAAGTTGAGCGGTCCTGTTTTAGATATCTAATGTTAAATAAACCATTTAAATAAAAGTCACGGTCTATATTTGGCATGAATTCAATTCCTCTGCGAGCTTCCATGAGAGTAAACAGCTGGTAGATTATGTCTCGAGTCACAGGTGATGTTTTGATTTGTACCTATCTTCAATTAGGGTGTATTTTTTATTAACTTTATACGATATGCCATCGTGAACTTACCACTAGTACGGACGATTGTTACTTCCAATAAGCCTGATCCATCAGTGGACTTGACAACGGCTGTACCACGGACAGAGTTCAGACGCTGGTTGAGCACCTGACTATTCGTTAGGGAGATGACGTTATTGCCAAATGTGTATTCAGCGCGGTTGCATTGTCCTTGCTGTGTGGTTTGTGGGTATCTGGCTATTTCGATCCAACGGCCCATGTACTAAAACATCACAGAACTATATTAATATTGGTTCAAGAACACCGCAATAAGAAAGGAAAGATGCAAGAAAAGTTTGTTCGCCATAAGAAGTAACAGAATTGTTAGGAGAGACAATAACGTGTAAAGTGCCATGAGCAGTCGAGTAGAAAACAAATGTACTACCGAAAAAAAAGAAGACCACATAATATCTAGACAAGACAAACCAAGCTGTTAATAAATAGAAAAGAGGAAATGACGGAGACAAGACGAAGAAGTTAGTAAGTATTGTATATTTTGAATACTCATCATCACCTCCATTCGCTGAATCATCTTGATGTTTCTGTTCGGAATTCCCGTAATGGAATATTCCCTGTAAATCTCTTAAACGAATACGAAGTTATTACAGGAATCTTTATTGTGCATCTTCGAAACTTACTTAATCATAACCAAACAAAACAAAAATACAACAAAAATACAAAAATACGCATAAGTCGCATTATCACTTTCATTGAAACTAGAGTTTTTAGTCCCTAAGAATTATTGTCGACACTCACAGCAGCTGTGTTAAAGTTGGCGACACCTCGAATGCGCTCATCACAAGGCCCCGGTAGCTCTATAGCCGTGGGTCGGTCAAATACTGGGTAGTGGAAGCAAGCGTCGTTGCTTTGATCCGTGTTGGTGTAGTAGCCTTCGAATAAGTCGATGTTGTTTGTAACTGCGGTATTGATAGCGTTGTTAGCAGCTGCGGAGAGTCCGCCGCGTGTTCTGCTGAGTTTCCAGCTGTAGACTGTGAAAAAAAAAACATTTGTTTATATCTTTATCATAACAAACCATAATAATTCATCAACGCAAAATTCTTTATTTGCTAACTAGAGCGAGAATAATTATTTATTCCCTATTTTATTTTAAAAAAAAAGGTTAGTCAAAAATAAACCTTGAAATAACAGGTAGTAATTTTAATTAATTTTTAGAAGAAAACCATCTGATGACAACATAATTATTAGAACCGGGATTTTCGTTTGGGATTTCGGTGCATTTGGATAAAACGAATGGACTTAATGCTCATTGGGTTGAAAAACGATGCACTTACTTTGTTTACTGGCGCTGTCGATGTTTCTGCAACTGTATACCAGAGCATATTCAGTGTAGTCGGTAGCCAGAACGAAGATGCTGTTGAATGGAACTGTGAAAGAGTAACTGATTTAGTTTCGGTAGTTCTAGTTCTAGAATAAGGTAGCATTGTCAGCTACATATATTAAACTGTTAGCTGTATTCAGAACAATAATTTAAGGGTAAGAACATTAATTCGTTTTGTTCAGAGCATCCTAAATTGAAAACAATCCAACCGGCTACCACAATCGGGTTATGCTCTGGATGAAAAACTTGTAATCTGTTAAGTGAAAATGGCATATGGGAAAATGAGGTCACGATCCGCCTGGTGATGCGTGATATACCTAAGTTGAAGGTACTTGATACATGAGGTCGTATTCTCTATTATATTGTACTACAACGGCTGTCCCACTCTTCGAACCGGAATGCGTGACTGCTTCATGGCAGTATCACCATCCGGTTTGGTGATACTTACTCAGGCGAGCTTATAATATGCCCTGCTACCGGTAATAAAAATTTAACCCGCAAAATTATAATTCGCGTAATTACTGGTGGTAGGACTTCTTGTGAGTCCGCACGGGTAGGTACCACCACCCCGCCTATTTCTGCCGTGAAGCTGTAATGCGTTTCGGTTTGAAGGGTGGGGCAGCCGTTGTAACCATACTGAGACCTTAGAAATTATATCTCATGGTGATTGGCGCATTTACGTTGTAGTTGTCTATGGGCTCCGGTAACCACTTAACACCAGGTGGGCTCGTCCACCCATCTAAGCAATAAATAAAAAATGCCGATTAGTTTGTATTGCAGTACGCTGTATATGATAATCAGAGAGTACTGCTGCCCATTTTCCAGTTATTGCTTTAGTCATATTTACGACATCTACGCCAAGAGATGAGGTTATGCTATTCTAGGTTAATATTAGTAAAAATTTTGAGACATTTGTCTTGTTGATCAATGAAAAGATGTCTGTTACCTCCCGCAATCGTGGCACTGATGACTCCTCTTCCGTTAGCAGGTACTGTTGCGGACGGTATCGAAGTTGCGAATTGTCTTTCGGCCCTGACAATACTTTGTACGACACTGAATGAATTCTGGCTCCGGACTGTGTAGTCCGTTGCTGCACACTGGCCATTTTGCAGGTTCGACGGGAATCGGGCCACTTCATGCCACGTGCCAGAGAACTGTGGAAATGCAAGCATGAATAAACCTTGTGTATCAAATTGGTATGGGACTAAAAAAGGTAAGATGGTGTTGATCTTCAGTTAGCTAGTTCGCGGCTAGTGAACACATAATTATAATAACAACAGAATAAACCAATCCACCAGTAGGTACATATAATAGGAACTCTCTCTCTTAGATCGTGTTATCGTTCTTGAGGGCTACCTAAATATTACTCACCGCATTCAGGTTGAAATTCGGAACGGCCTGAACTTGATTTTCGGCAACACACTGCCCTCTAAGAATGACGTCGCCACCGAAATTGTCAGGGTAATAGAAACAGCCGCGCTCATTGTGCCCTCGGTCTATGAAGTAATCTTGGCGCAGCACTAGGATGCTATTGATAACGGTATTGATGGCATTGTTGGCGGCAGCGGTGAGGGTAGGCTGTCTGCTCAATTTCCAGCTGTACACTAATAAAAATCAAAGGGTTTTTTAATAGTTTAAAGTTATTTTACTTGTAATCGCGTTTGGAGTTCAAAGTTACCACACGCCTTTCTACATCGGGATAGCTTGGAGCATTTGGAGTAAGGATTTTTTCAAATCTTATAAAGAACTTAGTAGTTTGTAAAAATGTAGTCATTATGATACATTACGTGCAATGGTGATAAGTAAACACGCAATCAAAATTTAAATTTGTAATTTTCCTTTGATCTGTAGTCAAGACGCTTTCGTGGGAAACATTTGTAAGAATTTTTTATATAATTATTTATTATGTAACCAGTTGATGCGACTCTCGGGGTTTTGAGGAAGTATGTGAGGATTTTTTGAAGAGAAACTTCTTTAGAATCGTTGTGATTTCAAACTCGATGAAACGAAAAAATAAGTCCATAGAGACGCAAACACATAAATGTATAGGATTCAGCCGGCGAGAGAATGAGATAGAACACATTAGACGTTCTCGGTGTAGTGTTATTTTAATACAGCGCCATCTATGATATTTTTTAATACTAACGTGTGTATTGAATTGTAGTGAATTTTAATTTGGGATTATACGTGAAGTTAAAAAATCAATTCACAGAGGGCGCTACCTCATACTATAAAAGATGATATACAATTATTTACTAATGAAAAAATTTTACATATACAAACTTAGACATTTAGGATAATTGTATTTTGATTTTTGAAGGTTTCACTTCTACCATGTGTGAATTGCACACATGTTTTTTTTATTAATTTACCTTGTCTGCGTTCGCTGTCGAGGTTCGCGCATGAATAGACCAGGGCGTATGAAGAGTAGTCAGTTGTTAATACCCAATAATCAGCAGTTACTGAAATAAGAAATTGTTATATTTGTTTAGCATCATCAACAGAGATCGTGGGTGGTGCTGGTAGGGTAGGGATAGGTATTGTTACTTGTACGGATAGGCACTATCTTCTTTTTTTTAACATCTTCTGTCACTAAGCCTGACATAAGCGCGAGCCCTACACGCGGAAACCCCGTGTGGGGTTCGATCTTGGCCCGAGAAAAAAACAAGATAGCTGTTACAAAGTACAAATAAGACTTTGACCTTATAGATGAGGCGGTATTCACGTTCGCTTAGGAAGACAAGAATATTTTAGATTGCTCTATTAATATTGATTGAGCGTTTTACCTCAGATAAAAGATAATTTGACATTTACTGGTAGTAGGACCTCTTGTGAGCCCGCGCGGTTTGGTACCACTACCCTGCCTATTTTTGCCGTGTAGCAGTTATGCATTTAGGTTTGAAAGATGGGGCAGCCGTTGTAACTATACTTGAGACCTTAGAACTTATATCTCAAGGTGAGTGGCGCATTTAGGTAGTAGATGTCTGTGGGCTGTGAGCTTGTCCACCCATCTGAGCAATAAAATAGTTTATTGCACTCGAATAATCTTCGAAAGAAATAGCTTCCCCCAAGTTTGTCTTGGTTTGGTAAATCAACATTCCTGATGTTAGGTATTGTTTGTGAATTATAAATGTATTTTGAAATTGCAAGTAGCGCCATACAGGCTTTTGCCAGATTTATTATATACTATGAAAGCTACTTATACTGTTCAGTATAACTGGACAGGAGTCACTAGAAACCTCACTTCTATTTCTATTCTATGCAATTACTGTTAGTTATTGTAATTCTGTTTCAAACTGGTAAATTCATGTCTTTAAAAAAAGGCTTCAAGTTAGAATTGCTTACCGTCATTGCCTCCGATGTTGAATGTGACTCTGTAACGTCCAGTTCCATCATTGCTTGTAGGAACAGCTGTACCGCTAATAGTTTGCAGTTGTTGATTGACCACCTGAGTGTTGTAGACGGTGATAGTGTTGCCGGTGCCCGCTCCGTAATAAGCACTGTTGCAAGTACCTGGCTGGAATCTCGTTGGATACGATTCGATGTTGTACCAAAGACCTAAGTACTGGAAGTGGAAAATTTATTTTAGAACAATACCCGGCAAGATTGACGACATCTATCGCCGAATAGCAGAAACGAATGTCAAACGAACTAGTAACACCGAGAACGCTCGAGAACTACAACGCCATCTATTGTAAGATAGCGGAAACACACATCGAAGCTACTCGACTTGCCCAGAATGTTCTCGATAAATCTAGGAATATCGTATCTACTATAAAAGCGTTGCAGATATGGCACGCAGTCAGTCAGTAATCGCATCTACTCGAAGCGAAACAGCGAACGGATCACTTGAAGTGAAGCGGAGGAAATGAATTGAGAATTTTGTGTTTTAAGTGTTCTAAGTGTTAATACAGTTTTAATTTGTACTTCGGTAGAATTTTTATCTATCCCAAGCCCCAGTGCGTAACACCAGTAAAGCTTGGTGATGATTCATTGTCTCTTTGACAGACTTTACTTTGTACTGCATTTTTTTGGTATCTATTTAATTAATTAACAGGTTTGACGAGCTCACGATTCATTTATTATTGTGTGGTTACCGACATAAACATCAACAAAGTAAATTCCATCATCCACTAAGTCTTCTAAGTCTCAGTTTTATGGTAAAATGGCTGCCCCACCCTTCAATCCGAAATTTGAAGAGTTGGGCGGATCGAACCAGAAACGAAATCTTATCGGGTTTCACTCAACAAACAAAATCACCACATATGGATTATCTGTTTTGTTTTGAAAATCATTATTTTGGTAAAAGCTATTAAGCCTTAAATCCCTTATCGCTATTTATAATTCGACGCTTGAAAGGCAAACGTAACTAAGCGACAATGCGTGAACTTTACAGTAGACTAATTTAAAGTTGTAATACCTGAAAAAAAAAATCTATTTTTACGAATCTAGCTGTAGGATTAAAATGATTTTAATAGACCTAGAAATTTTTTTTTTTTGGGCATCGAATATTGTTATTGCCTATCATTTATGTACAAAGCAGTTATTGTCGCTTAGTCACTTTTTCCTTTCAAGCGTCGAATTATGGTGGTTAAAAACAACAACAAAACTAACTCTGTTCATGTCAAAGCTTGTCACAACAGGAATGTTCTGTTCGCATTGCCCGCGGAATATGACCGAATCGCCTCCTGGCACCGGGAAATAGAAGCAGGCTGTATCTGATCTGTCCACTCTCTGGTAGTAGCGCTGATCCAAAACGTCCACGCGACTAATCACTGTATTTATCGCTGTTACAGCCGCCTGCGGGAGTGTGTTCTCGCGAGCCAGTTTCCAACTCCAAACTGGAATATTCACAAACATTTAAACGAGTGTACCGAAAAAGTTTCGAGCTTACCCAGAAATGAGCTTTCTTGGTCTGAACGATAAGACCGAGATTATGCTTGTACTCTTGTAGGCAGACACCGAATTAGTTGTTAGAATTTTCGTACCTAACACATGTAGACTTGACCATGACCTCCTATGATGAACTTATTGGGTATTTATTGCTTGCAAGGCGTATCGCTCTGCTGGATTAGGTACCACATCCTGCTTATGTCTTGCATCAGGCTAATGCATTCTAGTTTAAAGGACAGATATTCTAGCTCCACTACTGACGATTTGACTTCATGTCCCATTGTGTCTGGTATATACTCGTATTTCAATTCTAGCCTCAAAACATAGTAGGGACAAATCACGCACGGTGTTTTGACCCCAAATTAGGATTCTCTCTGTCATGAGTACCAGAGACTGACACACAAAATTATATACGATTAAATATATGTATAGATAATAAACACTCAGACAAAGAAGACGAAACCTGTTCATCACACGAATGCCTGATGCGGGAATCGAACCCACGACCTTTGGCAACAGTCAGGGGCGTTTACTAATGCGCCATTGAGTTAGTCATCAGTCACATACACATGTAATCGTGTTAAATCATGTTTACAAACAATTTAAAGGTTTACAAAGAATAGTATTTGCTCACCCCTTCTTCGGTTGTTGCCCTGGTTCGCGCATGAGTATACGAGGGCGTATGAAACATAATCGGTATCCAAAATCCAGTACTCAGCGGGCTGGGCAGCTAAAAACAATGGACGACAATAGAATACAATTGCAGACGTTGTCGAATTTTTTTTTTCTTTTTGTAGGCAAACCATACGGCCCACCTGACGGTGATTAGTTACCGTCGCCCGTGGACTTCAGCAATGCCAGGGCCAGAGCCGCTGTCTGCCGTCAAGTACTCTCCACAAGCCTCGTTTGAAGAAGGAGACGTCAATTAATCTATATACGTATTTTTTTTTACTATTTAAATGTTGTTTGAAGAAAGCACACACCGGGGACGTAGATAAAAACTGTATCAATACAAAAAATATAAAATGTATATATAAATAAAGACGATGGAACAAAACAAATAAATCCAATATTATAATGACACACAGTGAGAGGGTGCGGTGCACTCACCGCTTTCAGTTGATGTAAGAAACCCATGGATGCTATTGAATTTATATATATATATATATTTATTTATTGCTTAGATGGGTGGACGAGCTCACAGCCCACCTGGTGTTAAGTGGTTACTGGAGCCCATAGACATCCACAACGTAAATGCGCCACCCACCTTGAGATACAAGTTCTAAGGTCTCAAGTATAGTTACAACGGCTGCCCCACGCTTCAAACCGAAACGCATTACTGCTTCACGGCAGAAATAGGCAGGGTGGTGGTACCCACCCGCGCGGACTCACAAGAGGTCCTACCACCAGTAATTACGCAAATTATAATTTTGCGGGTTTCATTTTTATTACACGATGTTATTCCTTCACCGTGGAAGTCAATCGTGAACATTTTGTTGAGTACGTATTTCATTAGAAAAATTGGTACCCGCCTGCGGGATTCGAACACCGGTGCATCGCTTCAACACGAATGCACCGGACGTCTATAGGATATAGACCGGACGTCTATATCCTATATATATTATCCTATATAATTAATTATATCATATATTATGTGAATGGGTGAACTTTAAAAGTGTGAGTTGGCTACTGAAGCTCATATTCATAAATGTGCATGCTGCCACCTACTTTGGGACATCAGATCGAAGTTTCAAACGTATAGCGGCTATCCCAATCTTTTAAGCCGATACGCATTACTGCTTCTCGGCAGAAATAGGTAGAACGGCGGTGCTGACTCGTGGGTGCTCACAACGCGCCCTACGTGCTATAATATCTGGCCAGCTGGTATAATATCCAAGAAATGCTGCTATCGATTCTCAGACGAATCCTTTAAGTCACATTTTCAGGCACCAATGGAGACAAGGCCTTATTCTTCTTCTGAGTCGGTCTCTTCATTGCTGAAGGTCGTGTCTAGTTCATGTTGACCACTCGAAGCAATATGCTTCCCCACGTTTTCCGGTTCTCGGCGGTCTTTATAGCCTCGGCTATTGACAGGCCGGTGAGCGTCTTTACCAGATCAGACCAGCGGGTAGGTGAGCGTCCGCGTGAACTTCTCCCATCAATGTGACCAACTACTATCAGCTTCTCTAAGTTATCGGGATCTCTACGAGCGATGTGATCGAAGTATGTGAGAATACGTTAGAAGCAGATAGCGGACAGCCTTGTGGTAATACCGAGCTCCTTCAGAATGGATAGGTTATTGGTCCGGCTTTATTCTAGGTTGAAACTTATTCTAGGTTGAGCTTAGCTCATCGAGAATTTAGATCGCATTTGTGTGCTACATATATTTTTTCGTCGGATAAGAATTAAAAAAAAAATTACCAGAGGGGAATGACACCAACAATTTGGCGCTACCGTCCGCGGCCAAAGTAGCTGTACCGGTTATAGTATTGAGGTTTTGGTTTAGTACTTTGGTGTTGAATACTGTAATAGTGTTGTCGGAGTTCAAAGTGTAAGTTGCTTCATTGCAAGCGCCCTCTTGGAAGTTAGACGGGTAGGATTCGATCAGCCTCCAGCGTCCAGTGTACTGAAATATTACAGGATATTCATATTGATCTTTAAAAAGTATTAGTAATAGAATAAAGGTGTTTGAATGTCGATGCGTCGATCATATTTGCAATTTAATAATACTAAAACTGGTGTCAATTGCTTTCTCTGTATGCTTGGTTATTTGGTCGGGCTATTTTCTGAAATTTCAAGCCGATTCAGAGTGAATTCTGAAGCTTGGGTTTTTATTTATTTCAAGGGCCGCGTCTGTCATACATGCCATTTACTTTTTTGTAGTAATAGTATTTCGTTTTCAGTATTTAGTTTTTTTTAACTAGAAGTCGATTATGTGAAATCTTAGAAAAACGTACTACAATGGAAATAATAAAAAGGACAAACAATTTAAATCGCGTCTAAGACTGGTTCAAAGTTATTAGTAGGTATTAGATTTAATTATTTATTGTTGTGTACTCACTCGGCTGGGATCGAAGTTCCTCATTACGGGTATATTAGGATCACATTGCCCAACAAAGACAACTGGCTCGCCAGGAGCAAGGTCCGGTAAGTAGAAACAAGCTCGATCACTTTGGTCCATGTTCTCGAAGTATCTATTGTCGATTACGTTTATGTTGGCAATGGCAGTGTTAATGGCGGCATTTGAGGCAGCTGTCAGTTGTTTTGTCCTGCTCAGTTTCCAACTCCAAACTAAAATGAATTCATAAATACAAAATAGGAAACCCTGTACTCTTAGAACTAAGGATTGATATTGATTTACATCCTTTTCATATGTTTTTGTACTTAGCTATTAAGCTGAGTACTCACCTAGCTGTGTAGCATGTAACGTAACAGATACTGTATCAACCTGCAAGTGGATACGGCTTGTCCACGGGTCACAGCGTATCTAGCTACGAGCTGCCACGAGCACACTGCGAGCTTGCTGCGCTCCTTCCGCGAGCGGCTCGCAGCGGGCTCGGGCCTACGTACTCACTGGATACTGTATCTGTTACGTTACGTGCTACACGGCTAGGTGAGTACCCAGCTTTAACCATTCTGAGAAAGAACAAATAAGCATATTCGGTATATGAATGTTGGCTCGATATGAGAGTCGAACCCAATGCCGCCATCGGCCCAGCAGATAAGGCGCTAACTGCTTTCCCAATAGAGTCAGTAAATAAAACAGAAAACACATCTATAGCGCAAAAATATTCGATACCCACCTCTTCTGTAGTCGCTGTCGATGTTAACACAACTGTAGGCTAAGGCGTAGTTGTTATAATCGGTGCTCACGATCCAGTAGGGAATGTTTATATCTGAAACAATATCCGAAATCATGTTTTTATAGCTCTAGGTAGGCAAAGGAGCTCACGGTCTCCTGGTGTCGAGAGGCTACGGAAGCTCGTAAACTTGATTGAATTCACAATTTTTTCCTGTAAGACTCTCCAAATGTATCGCAGAGACTGGCTGCATAGTGGCACCACCTACTAATGCGGGCTATATTAAAAGGCACTACCATGAGTGATGCTGCTAATTCATGGAATGATCTCCATTCTTGTTGAAATTGTTCGTGAACACATGTTAGATATGTATTTACTAAAATAGCTGTTATCTACGTATGGAATTTAAATCCAATTTTCTCATCATGAGTATGAACGCATGGCTGTTTTATGTCTTAGGTCACGTCAATGAGAGCATTGCGGATATTTGCATGTAATTAAAAATAAAACAAGAACTTTACTAACTCGTGCCTCCCACATTGATTGTAATCGTCAATCTTCCAGCTAAATCGTTGGAAGCAAAACTGACGACTCCTCTCGTGATACCAAGAGCTTGATTAAGTACATTTGAAGACACCAAATTGAGGGTGTTGCCGGTTCCCGATGTGAATTGGTGGTTTACGCATTGACCAGGCTGATCGTCTTTGGGGTATGCTTCGATTTCGTGCCAAATTCCTTGGAACTAAAATATAAACAAATTTGGAATTGTGCCAGAAATTGCGTAATTGAAAATAATTACTATTGTCAAGTTCCTCGGTTATATTGTACCTGCGCCATGTTGAAATTGGGTACAACTGGAATAGTAGTTTCGCACTGTCCAGGGAATTCTACTTGTACTCCTGGGCGAGGTTCAGGGAAGTAAAAGCATCCTGCTGGAGTCTGGTCGGTTTGACTGAAGTAACGTTGATCCAATACGTTGATGTTGTTCATAACGGTTCTGATAGTAGTTGCTGCAGCATTAGTCAACTGCTTGGTCCTGCTAAGCTTCCAGCTGATAACTGATGAGAAAAAGTGTTGACAGGTAATTAAAGCCCATAGATGTTTCAACGTGATTGTATGCAGAAGAGATGCGAATGTTGCGATGGATATGTGGAGTAACGAGAATGGATAGAATACGGAATGAATATGTTAGAGGAAGTCTGATAGTGGCACCTGTGACAGAGAAGCTGAGGAGTGTGCGTTTGGGATGGTATGGACATGTGATGAGACGAAATGAAAATGAGGTTGGTAAGAGAATGCTAACTATGAATGTGGAAGGATATAGAGGAAGAGGTAGACCTAAGAAGAAATGGATGGATTGCGTGAAAGACAATATGGGTAAGAAAGGAACTGAGCGAAGAAATGGTATATGATAGAAGAGTATGGAAGGAGAAAACATGTTGCCCCGACCCCAGGTGACTGGGAGAAGGGCAGGATAATCATGAGATGTTTCAACGTGAATGCCGCAGTTGACCTTAAGAAATGACATTGAACTTATAATGGTACTTCTTTCGTGACTACGTGACTACATAGATCAACGCCAGAAAGGTTGTTCTTGCACTACAGGTGCCATAATAGCTAGACTGATTGGTCAGATCTAGAAAGGCGGTTGATGGTTTCACATTCTTTCATCGTTAAAGCGAAAACTGTCCATGTATTTGGAAAAAATAAATGCATTAAATTGGCTACAACTAACCTTGTCGCCTTTCCGAATCCAAGTTTCTGCAGGAGTATACCAGAGAATAAGACGTGTAGTCTGTACTCAAAACCCAGTAGTCAGTTTCGATTGTTTCTGAAAATAAAACATAATCTTAGAATTTGAATTGCAATATTACAGTGACGCTACATCTCTAAAAAGCCACTTGAGATTCTTCGTTTTGTGAAACGTTCTTACGTCTTAAGGTCATCGTGGTCTATGGTCTAAGCGATGCACCGGTGTTCGAATCCACAGACAGGTACGTATTTCATTAGAAAGGTACCGATTTTTCTAATGAAATATGTACTTGACAATTATTGTTCACGATTGACTTTCACGGTGAAGGAATAACATCGTGTAATAAAAGTCAAACAAGCAAAATTATAATTTCCGTAATTACTGGTGGTAGGATCTCTTGTGAATCCGCACGGGTGGGTATCCCCACTCTGCCTATTTCTGCCGTGAAGCAGTAATGCGTTTCGGTTTGAAGGGCGGGGCAGCCGTTGTAACTATACTGAGACCTTAGAACTTATATCTCAAGGTAGGTGGCGGCATTTACGTTGTAGATGTCTATGGGCTTTAGTAACCACTTAACACCAGGTGGGCCGTGAGCCCTTCCATCCATCTAAGCTACAAAAAAAGAGCCTTCAGTTTTTAAGGTCTATATACACAGAATCCCTCTTAATGGGTATAATGTGTATTCCAGATGGACAATTTTGAAAATAAACAAATACAGTCAAAACCGTTTACTGCGACATCGTTTAATACAACATGCCGGTTATAATAACCAAGAACAAAGGTCCCGGCTGAATGCCATATGACCGCCTTATTAAAAATATTGCTTTATACGACATTGGTAATAACGACATACCTCATAAAACGACCACATTTAACTAATATTTCGGAGAATTAGATCTGTTAGAACGACCGGCTGAACTGTATTGTAAACAATTTGAATAGGTATCCACATTTGTCTTCAATGGCTTTTAAAATCAGGAAAGAAAACAATAGGATTTAGTTTAGTGTAGGGTCTTTTCTAATTCTTAGAAACAAAACACGTGCATGCGGTAGTCAAAGCCCGCTTCTTCATATCTCTTCAGTTAGTTTGTTACTTATCTATACACAAGACGCACCAAAACTTTGTAGAGTTATTCGTGAAACTTTCAAAATGTCGCAAAGAAAAAGAAAACAAATTAATATTGAAGAAAAATCGCGTATTATGTAAATATATTTTTCCAATAATTTCCTATCGATTTGTTTGTACTTGCACGATACACATTAAGCATCACCGGTTGTTACGACTATCGGTTTTTACGACTGAATATGAGCAGTCCCTTCGATGTCGTTATAACAGATTTTGACTGTAATTAAAATTTATATTTTAAAATGAATTAAAAATGACTTACGTGTGGTGCCGGCAACAGGGAAAGTAACCTTTAATTTGGCGCTTCCGTCAGTGGTCGCTAAGACGGCAAAACCATTGATAGATTCAAGCCTCTGGTTGATAACTTCGGTATTGATTACATCGACGGTACCTCCGGTTAGAGAGTATCGAGCATTGGCACAAGTACCCTCTTGGAATGGAGTTGGGTATCTCTCGATTTCGTGCCAAAGTCCCATGTACTGAAACAAAATTGTATGTGAGTGATTACGAGAGCACGTACAAATAATATAAATACTGTTTTGAATTTAACATAAGCCTTCAATTCAGATTAATACCACCATCTCTTAGAAATCAATAATTGAATACATTACTGATGGTAGGACCTCTTGTCAGTCCGCGCGGGTAGGTACCACCACTCTGCCTATTTCTGCCGAGAGCAGTAATGTGTTTCGGTTTGAAGGGTGGGGCAGCCGTTGTAACTATACTTAAGACCTTAGAACTTATATCTGGCGCATTTACGTTAACCACTTAACACCAGGTGGGCTGTGAGCTTGTCCAGCCATCTAAGCAATAAAAAAAAACTTTAGAAGAGTAGAAGACGAATGGCTTCAGAATCAAAATAAATCAATCAAAAAAAAGTTCATATGTGAATTCTTTAAGATATTTACTGCATTTGCATTGAAGTTTGGTACAACGGGAATCGTCGTATCGCATTGTCCACGGAATACGACTGGTTGTCCGGTCGGTTCTGGGTAGTAGAAGCATGCGGCATCAGAACGATCCACAGTTTGGTAGTACCGGGCGTCCAAAACGTTGANATCAATCAAAAAAAAGTTCATATGTGAATTCTTTAAGATATTTACTGCATTTGCATTGAAGTTTGGTACAACGGGAATCGTCGTATCGCATTGTCCACGGAATACGACTGGTTGTCCGGTCGGTTCTGGGTAGTAGAAGCATGCGGCATCAGAACGATCCACAGTTTGGTAGTACCGGGCGTCCAAAACGTTGATCCGGTTCACAATGGTATTAATGGCGGTTGTTGCAGCTTGGGTTAGAGTGTTCGTTCTGCTCATCTTCCAGCTCCAAACTGATGAAATAATAAATTGATTTCGTATGTTTTATAGCCGTATACAGGTTGCTATAGTATATTCCAATTACGAAGTCCCATTTGATTAAAAATAATATGTTGATTGTGTGTATATGAATTAATTGTATAATGATTTAGATTGATTGTGTATTTCTTAATTGATGATTTACGAACATGAACAATAAATGATTATTATTTAAAATTATGCGAAACGTGAATAAAGAGTTAAGTTCTAAGAAGTGCCAAAAGGGACTTCGTAATTGGAATAGACTATAGTCGCTTTGTTTTGGAAATATGAAACATACCTCGTCTTTGTTGGGTATTTAGATTTACGCAGCCGTAAACAAGAGAATATGTATCGTAATCGGTGTCCAAGATCCATAATTCGAACGGCGTAGCAGCTAGAAAGAAAAAAATGAAACAATGTTACGGCCACTCATTTACTAATATTTAGCATTGATATCACAAACATACGTACTACTGGGGAAAGTCACTAGTAGCTTGCCGCTACCATCGGTCGTAGCCGGAACTGCAGAGCCTGTTATTTGACCTAGAGCTTGGTTGGTGACTTGTGTGTTTTGAACAACAACAGTATTACCAGTTCCAGCTGTATAAGTGGCTTCATTGCATTGTCCTCTCTGGTTGTCTGACGGATAACTCTCAATCAAACGCCAGCGTCCCAAATACTGCGATTAAAAATCGATTTTATGTGAATATTTGCAATCATTAAATAATATTAACAGTAATAATAATAGGACATATGATAATGTCATTAGACTCCAGCACATGTTGTGGATGGATCCATGTTTCTAAGCTGGATATATACGGATAGATTACAGATAAACCAGGTTTATGGTGGCTTTTACTTTCGATTAATAAACGGTAGGCAGCAGTTTGGTACTGTCCCTGGCATTATAGAAGTCTATGGACGATGGTAGCCACTCACCATTAGGTGAGCCGTAGTTATCATATCAATAAATAAGGGCTATTTAATTATTCACTTTCCCATAGCTGCCAGGTTTCAATTTGAGCAAAAGAGAGGAGCAAACTATCAATACTATAATCCAACTTGTTTGTCTAACAGCACGAAATAATAAATTAACAGCTATTTGTTAAAACTCACTCTGCGGGTGTCAAAGTTTCGTACAACTGCGATATTAGGGTCGCACTGTCCTGGCAGGATGACGGGCTCGCCAGGCGCCAGGTTAGGGAGGTGGAAGCAGGCATCGTCGGACTGGTCAATCCTTTCATAGTAGTCGTTGTTCAAGACGACAATCGGTGCAATGGCATTGTTGATTGCATTCGCAGAAGCCGTTGACAAATGTCTTGTTCTACTCAACTTCCAGCTCCATACTGCGAATGAAAATGTAACATCATCATCATTATCCTGCCCTTCTCACAGTCACCTGGGGTCGGCGCAACATGTTTTCTCCTTCCATACTCTTCTATCATATACCATTTTTTCGCTCACTCCCCTCTTACCCATATCGTCTTTCACACAATCTATCCATTTCCTCTTAGGTCTACCTCTTCCTTTATATCCTTCCACATTCATAGTTAACACTCTCTTACCAACCTCATTTTCATTTCGTCTCATCACATGTCCATACCATCCCAAACGCGCATTCCTCAGCTTCTCTGTCACAGGTGCCACTTTCAGACTTCCTCTAACATATTCATTCCGTATTCTATCCATTCTCGTTACTCCACACATCCATCGCAACATTCGCATCTCTGCTGCATACAATCGCCTTTCATCTTTCAAAATGTAACGTGTAAATAAAATAATAACTTTTAATATCAATATATAAATTTAATATATTATGTGTACCATTTTCGCAGTAGAATTTGGAATGGAATTCCATTGGCTTAAATCGGCATTTTTTATTCGGATTCGTTTAATGTTTGAGCGAAACTTCGTTAACTTTTTTCAACTGTACAATGTTTACAATGGAACTTTCTATTAAAAATTTGATATAACATTTTAAAAGCAAGATCAGACTTTCGAAGTTAAGCAGTCATATTTCAAGAACTTACTTCCCCTGAAGTCATTGTCGATGTTCACACAGCTGTAAGCCAATGCGTAGTTAGTATAGTCCGTGCTGATTATCCAATATGGTATCGTTATGACTGAAAATAAACATAAAAATTAATGATTTGTTAGTAAAACTTGGATGGATTTTGGTGACTAAGTCTGAAGGGTTATTGGCTACGTTCCTGAAATTAAATACCGCCTAAATACCTTCTGTTATTAAGTGCTAATTGTGGATGATAAAATACTAGTATCTATAATAACACACATCATCATCATCATCATCATCAACAGCCCACAGTCGTCCACTGCTGGACATAGTTCTCTCCCAATCCACACCACTGAGCCCGGTCTGCGGCTCTCCTCATCCACTTCTTGCCGGCCACCGTGCGGAGGTCATCGCACCACCTAGCCAAGGGGCGTCCCACGTTACGTCTTCCGCTGCGCGGTCTCCACTCGAGAACCCGTCTGCTCCAGCGATCGTCAGTCCTACGGCATATATGGCCAGCCCACTGCCACTTCAGCTTGCTGACTCTTTGAGCTATGTCGATGACTTTAGTTCCCTGTCGAATAATCTCATTCCGGATTTTATCCTTCAGAGAAACTCCGAGCATAACACACACGTGTGATTAAAATGAATGTCCCTATTTCGAATCTGTCTATTTTATTTCTGATGAAATATTACTTTTTAATTACATTAANAAAATAAATCAATCAAAAAAAAGTTCATATGTGAATTCTTTAAGATATTTACTGCATTTGCATTGAAGTTTGGTACAACGGGAATCGTCGTATCGCATTGTCCACGGAATACGACTGGTTGTCCGGTCGGTTCTGGGTAGTAGAAGCATGCGGCATCAGAACGATCCACAGTTTGGTAGTACCGGGCGTCCAAAACGTTGATCCGGTTCACAATTGTATTAATGGCGGTTGTTGCAGCTTGGGTTAGAGTGTTCGTTCTGCTCATCTTCCAGCTCCAAACTGATGAAATAATAAAAAGATTTAGGATGTTTCATAGCCGTATACAGGTTGCTATAGTATATTCCAATTACGAAGTCCCATTTGATTAAAAAGAATATGTTGATTGTGTGTATATGAATTAATTGTATAATGATTTAGATTGATTGTGTATTTCTTAATTGATGATTTACGAACATGAACAATAAATGATTATTATTTAAAATTATGCGAAACGTGAATAAAGAGTTAAGTTCTAAGAAGTGCCAAAAGGGACTTCGTAATTGGAATAGACTATAGTCGCTTTGTTATGGAAATATGAAACATACCTCGTCTTTGTTGGGTATTTAGATTTACGCAGCCGTAAACAAGAGAATATGAATCGTAATCAGTGTCCAAGATCCATAATTCGAACGGCGTAGCAGCTAGAAAGTAAAAAATGAAACAATGTTACGGCCATTCATTTACTAATATTTACCATTGATATCACAAACATACGTACTGCTGGGGAAAGTCACTAGTAGCTTGCCGCTACCATCGGTCGTAGCCGGAACTGCAGAGCCTGTTATTTGACCTAGAGCTTGGTTGGTGACTTGTGTGTTTTGAACAACAACAGTATTACCAGTTCCAGCTGTATAAGTGGCTTCATTGCATTGTCCTCTCTGGTTGTCCGACGGATAACTCTCAATCAAACGCCAGCGTCCCAAATACTGCGATTAAAAATCGATTTTATGTGAATATTTGCAATCATTAAATAAGATGAACAGTAATAATAATAAGACATATTATAATGGCATTAGACTCCAGTACAGGTTGTGGATGGATCCATGTTTCTAAACTAGATTACAGATAAACTAGGCTTATGGTGGCTTTTACTTTCGATTAATAAACGGTAGGCAGCAGTTTGGTACTGTCCCTGGCATTGCAGAAGTCTATGGACGATGGTAACCACTCACCATTGGGTGAACCGTAGTTATCATATCAATAAATAAGGGCTATTTAATTATTCACTTCCCTATAGCTGCCAGATTCCAATATGAGCAAAAGAGAGAGGAGCAAAGTATCAATACTAGAATCGAAACTTGTTTGTCTAAGATCACGAAAGAATAAATTAGCAGCTATTTGTTGAAACTCACTCTGGCAGTGTTAAAGTTTCGTACAACTGCGATATTAGGATCGCACTGTCCTGGCAGGATGACGGGCTCGCCAGGCGCCAGGTTAGGGAGGTGGAAGCAGGCGTCGTCGGACTGGTCAATCCTTTCATAGTAGTCATTGTTCAAGACGACAATAGGTGCAATGGCATTGTTGATTGCATTCGCAGAAGCCGTTGATAAATGTCTTGTTCTACTCAACTTCCAGCTCCATACTGCGAATAAAAAGATAACACGAAAATAAAATAAAAACCTTTAATATCAACTAGCTGACCCGGTATACTTCGATAAGTAATCGATAAGTAAAAAACCTAAACTTTGTATAAAATAAACTTAAAACAAACAAAAGGTCCGACGGGAGGCACATCAAAGGGAAAACAAAATTGTTATTTTTATTTAATTCCGAGCATTTTCATATTTGTCTACCTTTTAAGCCTTTTCTGGACTTCCACAAATAATTCACGACCGAAATTAGCCAAATCGGTCCAGCCGTTCGAGTTTTAGCGAGACTAACGAACANCCTAAACTTTGTATAAAATAAACTTAAAACAAACAAAAGGTCCGACGGGAGGCACATCAAAGGGAAAACAAAATTGTTATTTTTATTTAATTCCGAGCATTTTCATATTTGTCTACCTTTTAAGCCTTTTCTGGACTTCCACAAATAATTCACGACCGAAATTAGCCAAATCGGTCCAGCCGTTCGAGTTTTAGCGAGATTAACGAACAGCAGTTCATTTATATACAGATAAGTAAATTTAATATATTATGTGTACCATTTTCACGACAGGATTTGAAATAGAATTCCATTAGCTTAAATCGGTATCTTTTATTCGGGTTCATTTAATGATTGAGCGAAACTTCTTTAAATTTTTTCAACTGTACAATGTTTACAATGGAACTTTCTATTTTAAATTTGATTTAGCATTTTAAAAGCAAGATCAGACTTTCGAAGTTAAGCAGTCATATTTTATAAACTTACTTCCCCTGAAGTCATTGTCGATGTTCACACAGCTGTAAGCCAATGCGTAGTTAGTATAGTCCGTGCTGATTATCCAATATGGTATCGTTATGACTGAAAATAAAAATAAAAATTAATGATCTGATACGATAGACATCGGGTCTGTTGTAACAGAAGATATTATGGCTGAGCTTGGATTTTACTTGGTCGATAATTAGATATCGGCTTACCTTGACCGTCAACGTTGATCGAGATTGAGAGACGAGCGCTGCCATCAGTAGACGTGAAGGATACAGTTCCGGTATTTGTGTTCAGTGTCTTGCCGTTTACGTTCGAAGAAATCAATGATAGAGTGTTGCCTGTGGCGACTGTGAACCGGTGGTTGACGCACTGTCCGGTTTGCTGCTCTTTAGGGTAGGCTTCGACCTCGTTCCAGATCCCTTGGAACTGAAATTATTTTAAAATTGCCTTTGAGCTCCGTAAGCATTGACTTCAATTTCTATTGCTAATAGTTCAAGGTTGAAAAATTTGTTGTGCGACCCCACTTAGTGGGATAAGGTGAAGAAAAAGGATAAGGTTTCATTTTTGAATTTTTTTCTTGTGAAGGTGGAAAAGAGGTTTTCTATTAATATATTTTTTTTGTTTACAAGGCCATAGCTGCTAAACAAAACCAAAATTATTCCGGCAGAATGGGTTCTAAGCTTGGGATCCCAAATTTTGTACAACTCTCTCGACTTTGGGCAATGGTTTATTCAGACACTAATAAACATATATCAATTAATTATGTGACTATTCCCCAAATTTTGTTAACTTACTTGATTCAAATTAAAGTTTGAAACGACCGGAATGTTCGTTTCACACTGCCCAGGGAAGATGACTGGAACTCCTGGTTGAGCTTGGGGGAAGTAGAAGCAGCCTGTAGTGCTCTGATCGATGCGATTGAAGTATCTTTGGTCGAGGACATTGATAGGATTAATGACGTTGTTGATGACGATGTTAGCGGCTGCTGATAACTGCTTTGTTCTGCTTAACTTCCAGCTGCTGACTGTAAAATTGAATTTATTATTATACTTGAGCGTACCTATATCTTCAGGCTGAAGGGTTCTCTAAAATGGGTTTTGATAATGAAGTAAGCAAAGAAAGACCAATTAGGATGGTTCATAATTTACTGTAAGACTTCTCCAAAGTCAAATTAACCAGGAGACTTATATAGAGTAAGGTAGAAGAAGAAGTTAACTTAGCGCTCTCGTTTCGGTACACGGGGAGAGCCTACAACCTATAACCTAGTTAAATCTGGCTGACATCAAAAGCCACCAATTTTGCATAGAGTAGTTAGAATCCAAACATTATATTGTTAGTTTGGTCCAACAATGACAGGAACGAATAGCCCACGAGTAGCGCACCAAACTGTCTATAGGCTCTTATATCTCCAAGTGCTATGGCAAAATACAATCGGTATTTGAAGTTGAGGAGTTAAAGACATGGCAGTGGCACAAAAGATCCCAAGAATCAAAATCTCGAAAATTCTCTGACCAGCCCTTAAAAACGAAGACAAGATAAATGATATCGAAGGTAGATCAGCATACGATGATCATATGGGTATATTTTTTTCACTCTTTGACTGCTGCTAAGGAAACTCCCATTTCAATTGAAAAATGTCGTGTTATACCGGCCAGAGCAACACAGTGGAGATTATAATATTCCAGAACCGGATCGTATGTGGTAAAAAAAATATCGGGAATGCGCTGTAGATAAATACGATGCAAAATGGTTGGAACACAGTCGAACTAAATTTTGGACGAACCGTCATATTCGACAATACTGTCTATACGTTAGTTTACAAAATTATAAAAGCCAGTGTTAAAACTACAAGCTTTACTGGATAATAATTCGCCATTAAAAAATAGTCGATATGTTTAGAAGAAATCACAGATATCATCAGGTGGTTTTCGAAGCTAAATAAATGCCGCCAACCGTACAACTGTAGGATTAGCGTATTATTGGACATCTGTTAATCTATCTATTTATTTCTTTAATTAATCATTGCTCTTCATGGACACAAGAATCTTCATCATATCTGATGCGAAGCCTCAATTTTATTGTTAAAAGGTTTCCACCCTTCGAACCAAAACGTATAACTGCTTTACCAGAGAGGCAGATGGGTGGGTGATATCTGCCCGTTTCTTGCGGTCTATAATATACCCTATTATTACCAATTTTAGGTTTCACGTTCTGTTTATATTAAACCTTTCAAACTAACCTTGTCTGGTTTCTGAATCAAGGTTGGTGCATGAGTAAACAAGAGAATATGATGTGTAATCGGTTGCCAAGACCCAATAATCAGTTTGTGTTGTTTCTGAAAAAAAAAACGAAAAGCATTAAATTCCATTTTGCTCATGGATTACGTTAGCGTTCCTTTGTATATTGTCTTACGTGTTGTGCCCGCAATCGGGAAGGACACTCTCAGTTTGGCGCTTCCATCTGTAGACGCGACGACAGCATTGCCGTTCACAGTGTCCAACCTTTGGTTTATCACTTGTGTGTTCTGTACTAAGACGGACCCACCGCTCAGCGTGTAGCGAGCATTGCTACACGTGCCACTTTGGAATCGGCTTGGATATCTCTCGATATCGTGCCAGAGGCCCATGTACTGAAATCACAATTACATTGTTAATGAAGTAATTGGCGTTGTATATTCGAATATTTAAAGTTAGATTCATTACAAAATTATGAAGAAGGTTAGCTGCAAGTTCAGCAAGCCAAAATTTATGCGAGTGATTTTTTCGAGGGCAATGTTTAAATAATATACAGACTGTTGAATGTAACACAAGCCTTCAGCTCAGAATATTGACGTTATCTCTTAGGAATCAATAATTGGAAACATTAGAAGAGCAGAAGACGAATGGCTTAAGAATCAAAATATCAATAAAAAAAATATTGATATGCGAGTCCAAAATATTTACTGCATTTGCATCGAAGTTTGGCACCACTGGAATGTTTTGATCGCACTGTCCTCGGAAGACTACAGGTTCCGTCGATGGTGTGGGGTAGTAAAAACACGCCGCGTCAGAACGATCCACCGGCTGATAGAACCTATTATTTAGAACATCAATGCTGTTGACTATCTGGTTAATAGCGTTCGTTGCACTTTGAGACAGCGTGTTGGAACGACTCAGTTTCCAGCTCCAGACTGAAACAAAAATTAAGTTTAAGTAGGAGCGTGTTTACCGTGTACCCAAAATTGCTTTGTGGCTCATTCGGAGAATAAAATCTTATGATCTGATCGTTTGTCTGTTTCTTTTTTTTTAAATCAAATCATCCAACCAGTTACCGATCGTGCGCAGTAGAATAGATCACTCTTTTTCAAAATAAGAATTAGGTTCAGAATTAGGTGAGAAAATTATAAAGATCCTACTATTACTGCTAATAGCTGGCCTGAGAAGCCGTTTATGAGTTTAATATTTATTGGAAACTATGGTTTTGGAAAGAAAAAAAAAAAGTTTCAAATTAGCAGCTGCAATTGTTTACCTCGTCTTTGCTGGCTGTTAATATTCACGCATCCGTATACGAGGGCGTAATTGTCGTAGTCCGTATCAAGAATCCAGTATTCGAATGGTACAGTTGCTGTAAAGATAACGTGCCTATGAGATGTTTACTTTCGCATTGCAAAGTTCTTCTTATACATATAGGTTAGAAGCCAAAAAGACTATCTTTAATGAATCGTAATAAAAATGTACAATATGCTTTCAAGTTAATTGCAGGTCTTGAAATTGGTGGAAATTACTTTGAAAAATATACCAATGTAATATTTTTACGTATATTAGATAAACAGATATAGCTAGACACCGCTTGATTTTAAATAACAACACCATACACGTGCATTACCAGTTAGTTTTCGAAAAAAAATATCTTTGTAATAAAATTTTGCACAGTAACTTACAGCTAGGGAATGTGACGAGTAATCTTCCACTGCCATCAGTGGTGGCCAATGTGGCAGTTCCTCTTATTTCACTGAGAGCTTGATTTCTAACTTGTGTGTTGTGGACTGTTACGACACCGCCCGATCCTGCCAAGTACGTAGCTTCCTGGCATTCACCTCCTTGATTATCTGAATGGTAGCTCTCGATCAAACGCCAGCGGCCTAAGTACTAAAAAAAAAAGAATCCTATGAAAAATCCTGACGTTACCAACGAATCATGGCAAAGAGAAATACACGCTATGCTATTCTTAAAAATACACTAACCGAATACTATAGCTTTATAAAGCATACCCACAAGCTAGGCTTCATCATTGAGGACACCTGAGAACCCCTTCTTTTTATACAGTATGACTGTTGTGCGTTAGGTAACAATAAATGCTCACTATCCCGAAAAAAGTCACAAAAATATGCCCAAGGAAAGTATTAAGTCCAGTAAATCCGTTTTGAGTTGGACTGGTATTTAATACTTCGAGGTGTTCACAATAGATCCACTGGGTCACAGTGACGGGTGGAATATATTAATCACAAAGCGAAATGATATAAACATAACCGCGAATCGATGCTGAAGAAATAACATTGTGAAATTAAAAAGTCCACAAAATATTAAAGGACATCGGAGATATTGCACTTGGACTTAGTTTGAACTTTTTGATATACAACTACTACTTTCTCGTGGTGGTATTATCCTTAGATTAGATACACAGCTTGCGACAGACTACAAATTGTAGAGCTATGATTCCCCTTCCTATGTTTGCTCTAAATGTACTTAGAAAGATTTGATAGTCAAATTGACTATCCAATACAAAAACATTGGATAAAGACGTTTTGAATACAATGAATAAATAGAATAGAATAAAACTTCAACTTTATTGCTGAAAGTGGACAGGAGTATCCCTGCTATGATGTCTATAGAATCTGTTAACTCATTCACACCAGGTGGGCCGGTCATAGGCAGTTAAGTATGTTCATCTACCTCTAAAAATCCCAAATAATTGGATTACATATGGTGGCGTCCAAAACAAATCTTTGGAATCTTTTTTTTTCTATTTCATAAATTAAACTTACTCTCGTCGTATCGAAGTTTCGGATCGCGTTGATGTTAGGGTCACATTGGCCTGGTAAAATAACAGGCTCTCCGGGTGCCAAGTTGGGCAGATGGAAACACGCCCTGTCCGATTGGTCGATAGGCTCGTAGTAAACATTATCTAATACCACATTGGTAGCAATAACATTGTTAATAGCCGCGTTTGCAGTGGCTGTTAGTTGTTTCGTTCTGCTCAGTTTCCAGCTCCACACTAAAAATATATAAAAAATATATAAGTAAAAAATTTCGCTGCACTTAAGTTTGTTTTGACACAATGTAAACGATAAATGTTGACTTTATTAAATATTGGGGTGATGTATTTAAATGATGAAGGATGTAGGCGGAAGCGTAGTTTCCGATTTCACAAATATATTAATAGTTTTTTTTTAAGTGTAATTCTAATTTTATAGTCTCAAATTCGATCTCTGCTTAGTGACAACTTCGATGTTTACATTACTAATCAGTTTGTCATTGCGAATTAATTCAAATATTAAGAGTGAATTTGCTAAGCTGTGACGACATAGAATTAAATGACTCAATGACTGTTATACATATATGCACATTTTCATCGGTAATAATTTCTTATAGTGTACATACCTCCTCTGAAATCACTGTCTATGTTGACACAACTATAAGCCAAAGCATAGCTAGAGTAGTCTGTGCTCAGAATCCAGTAGGGAATTGTAATTGCTGAAAAATAAATTCATTGTGGTGATTAAGCTTATAAGCAATCTTGACTTACAGAAAAGAGTTGTAAATTTTCTGGAATTTAATAAAACGCCTAATTTTTTAGTAACTGCCCCTTGAGATGTAGTTCTTTAGAATAAATCGATAAAATTCGTTCAATTGAGCCAAAAATACCCTGATGATAATGTAAATTAGGGCTTAGATTTAAATAACTTGATTAGGTTTAAGGATGGGGCAGTTGCACTGTAAGAACTGAGACCTTAGAACTTATATCTCAAGGTGGGTGGCGGCATTTACGTTGTAGATGTTTATGGACTCCGGTAACCACTTAACTCGTCCACCCATCGAAGCAACAAAAAAACAAAAAAAAATATTATTATTACGCCACAATTTTGGTTCATCGCAGAAGTCATTTGTGGACTAATGCCTAACCATTTCAACTCCAAATATCAATCGATGCGTATACGGCAAGAGTCCTCCCCATTAAACTATCTAGGTTGTAAACTCAGTGTTGTAAAAAGAAGAAAAACCATTGACTTACTTTGACCACCTGATGTAATGGTGATTGTCAAACGGGCGCTATTGTCATTTGAGGCAAATGAAACAGTGCCCGTGGTCGTATCCAAGAACTGGTTGAACACATTAGATGAAGTCAAGGCGAGAGTGTTGCTGGCCCCAAGCGAGAATCGATGGTTGATGCACTGGCCAGGTTGTTCGTCCTTCGGGTATGCTTCGATTTCGTGCCACAACCCTTGGAACTAAAATGCGTTAAGTTATACTATAGATTTTCATCAGGCTGACAGTAATAATGTTAGTAGTAGCATGTAGTATTTTGATGTAGGACTATTTCGAAGCAAGTCTCCTAATGAAGTTGGCTGTGCATGCCATTTACAACAAGGAAATATTCTAGGACAAGTACGGAAATTTCAATTCTAACTTTAACATCCCAATAAAAGTATTGACGCATTCCTTAAGATTTTGTATGTAACATGAACACCAAATCGACTATTTGTCAACTGAAAGATGCTTACGACACCTAGGATTATAGACATCCTATTATATAATTATATGAAAGCACATTTATTACCTGATTCAAATTGAAATTTTGGACCACTGGAACATTCGTGTCACATTGTCCAGGGAAAACGACGGGCACGCCAGGCTGAGCTACGGGGAAGTAGAAGCAACCAGTCGGGGTCTGGTCGGTCACTTCAAAGTATCTTTGGTCAAGAACGTTTATCCTGTTGATGACATTGTTCATAACCGCGTTCGCTTCAGCAGACAGTTGTTTGTTTCGGCTTAATTTCCACGCTGTAACTGTTGAAATATGTTTTTGATATATNCTCATCCACTTCTTGCCGGCCACCGTGCGGAGGTCATCGCACCACCTAGCCAAGGGGCGTCCCACGTTACGTCTTCCGCTGCGCGGTCTCCACTCGAGAACCCGTCTGCTCCAGCGATCGTCAGTCCTACGGCATATATGGCCAGCCCACTGCCACTTCAGCTTGCTGACTCTTTGAGCTATGTCGATGACTTTAGTTCCCTGTCGAATAATCTCATTCCGGATTTTATCCTTCAGAGAAACTCCGAGCATAACACACACGTGTGATTAAAATGAATGTCCCTATTTCGAATCTGTCTATTTTATTTCTGATGAAATATTACTTTTTAATTACATTAAATAAGAAATACGAGAATACGTTCTACCTGTGAATCAGTGGCATCGAAGCTCATATACAATACTTAAGGTAGTGAAAATTTGCATACATTTGTTTGTTGGCCGAATACTTCCACCCGTAATGTTTATCATTAGGATATTCTTGCAAGTACCTTCGGTGTACGATAGACATCGGGTCTGTTGTAACAGAAGATATTATGGCTGAGCTTGGATTTTACTTGGTCGATAATTAGATATCGGCTTACCTTGACCATCAACGTTGATCGAGANTGTCCAGGGAAAACGACGGGCACGCCAGGCTGAGCTACGGGGAAGTAGAAGCAACCAGTCGGGGTCTGGTCGGTCACTTCAAAGTATCTTTGGTCAAGAACGTTTATCCTGTTGATGACATTGTTCATAACCGCGTTCGCTTCAGCAGACAGTTGTTTGTTTCGGCTTAATTTCCACGCTGTAACTGTTGAAATATGTTTTTGATATATTCTAAGATAGGGGCTCCCAAACTTATTTCATCTACTGCCTTTGAGAATACTACTACTACTTTGAGAATAAATTATTTTGTAGCGCCCCCATTTTTTCACCTTCTTAAAAACTGCTATAGCGAGAGCTTAGTCGGTGTCTTAGAGTCCTCCTAGATGAAATTACAAATCGCCACCAAAGCCTCCACACAACGCCTTTTTTCTGGGTTTCTTACGGCCCCCCTTTAGGCCTACAGTGCCCACAAGGAGGCGTTATCGCCCACTTTGAGAAAGGCTGTTCTAAGATAACAAGCATGACACCAATACAAACACGAAATGATGACCACGAACACTCAGCCAAGAGTGCAACGGACTGAGAAGAAGAAGATTAGAAGCTATGTTGTAGCAACTCTTGAGATTTACTAGCGTTTAAGTATTTGTATAAGTTTATTTTTTATTGGTCGATACGGTCGGATGTGTTGCGACCAACCAGAATTTGGATGAAAATAAGTTGATTGACATCAAATTGTATCCTTGAAACGTGAGATTGAAGTCTCGACTGGATTGCGTAATGGGTGTTCCTTCATACCGGAATTAAATAAATAAATAATAAATAAATAAATTATTATTATTATTTATTATTCATACTGGAATTCATGACTGGTCAGCAACAAAATCGTCAGTACACCATTATTTACTATTGTTTGAAAAAAAATAACACTTCAACTGACAGACGGGAAAGAGGGGAAAGAGTCTATCCAATGGTGATCCAATGATTTACTCGAATACATTTAATGATTAAATGTTGTCTATGCTCTTTAGGCACTTACCTCTTTTGTGCTCGTTGTTGATGTTCGTGCAAGAATATACAAGGGAGTAGCTAGTGTAGTCAGTTTCCAAAACCCAGTAGTCAGTTTGTGTAGTCTCTGAAAGTTCATATAAACTGTGCATTCTCGTATATTTTATTTAAGACATTTTTGCTAATATCCTGCTCTGGAAAACTTTATCATTTGTCAAGCTACTTTTCAGAGCTAATTTCAGATTATTCAGAATAAGTGGCCTTCGATAAGGCTCACCTGGGACCTTGTCTACTCAGGACCCATAAATGGCAACAAAGGGCTGGCAAATACCCGAAATAAAAACGACTCATACTTACGTGTTGTCCCCGGAATTGGAAAGGACACCGTTAGCTTGGCACTGCCGTCGGTGCTGGCAACAGTTGCCACGCCATTGATGGTATCAAGACGTTGATTAATGACTTGGGTATTGAAAACATCGACTCTTCCGTCTCTTAATGAGTAAACAGCGTTACTACAAGTTCCACTTTGGAATTGCGTCGGGTATGATTCGATTTCGTGCCATAGACCCATGTACTGGAAAAAGATCAATTTTTTAATTAATTTATTAGATGGGTGGAAGAGCTCATGGCCCACCTGATGTTAAGTGGTTACCGGAACCCATAGACATCAACAACGTAAATGCCACTACCCACCTTGAGACATGAGTCGTAATGTCTCACTTTTAACAGTACAGCACAACGGCTGCCCTGCCCTTCAAACCGAAACGCATTACTGCTTCACGGCAGAAATAGGCAGAGTGGCCTGGAGCCTGGAGTGCTGGAAATAGGCACAAAGCGTCCTTCCACCAGAAAACGTGTTTTAATGGTAAACTAGAGTTTTTATTACATCTATAATTTGTTACAATAAATCGACGAATAAGAATGAAGCTTTACGCAGGTCATAAGCCGTAATAAAAATACATACGTAGGTCGTGTAGAAAATGATCGAGTTTTTGTGATTTATCTGTAGTTATATTTGTAGTCCTTGTTAATGAGTTTTATAAATGCCAATGAGTTATGACGGACTCGATGGTGCAGTAGTTAATTGCCCTGACTATTGTGCCGAGGGCCGTGGATTTGATTCCCACAACGTGTGAAGAACAGGTTTGATTGTTCTTTGTCTGGGTGTTTATTATCTATGTATGTACATATTTAAACGAACATAAGTACGTGTGTCAGTCTCTGGTACCCATAACACAGGGAATCCTTATTTGGGGCCGGATGACCGTGCGTTATTTGTTTCCAGCTATTATTATTATTATTATGACTTTGAATTTGGCTTGAGAACAGAGGTCGTCATCGTAAGGATTCAATCTATGTAATTTTACGGTCGAACTAACTTCTAGCCTATTTCTAACTATCTAACTTCTGACTATTTTGACGCCAACTGTTGCACCGGAATTGGGTGAATCAACAGTCCGAGTAAAACCGAGATCCAGATCTAAAAAACCTGATTTTCTCTAAATCTAACATGAATTTTGTGCGAGAGAGAAGATCCATTCAATTAGGTACAGTTTTAAATGTGTTAGAAAGAATAAAACATAATAGTAGAATTTCTGTTAAAGAGTCCAAATTCCGGACTATTCGCAACCGGAGTCCGGTTATCAACAGTTTACGCATATCTTGTTGCAACCGGAATCCGGTTATCACCAGTTCAAAGTTTAATACATATAGTAATATGGTTTTTAAAGTTCACTGACCCGGTTTGCGTCGAAATTTTGGACGACCGGAATGTTCAGGTCACATTGCCCTCTGAATATAACCGGTTCGTTTTGCGCGGGTTGAGGGTAGTAGAAACAGTCTGCGTCAGATTGCCTTGCCGGCTCGTAGTACTGCTGATTTAGCTCGATGTTGGCGTTGATCACTTGGTTGACAAGCGCTGTGGACTGGGCTGAGAGAGTGCGTGCTCTGCTGACGATCCAACTATAAACTGTTTTCGAAATTGATTATAATTTTTATCTAGCTATTTTACAATTAGCCGAGGCTTGGGTGAAATTTATTTTACAGTTTGAATTTATTTTCATATTATGTTTTCTTTGAGCTTCGCAAGTGCTACTACAGTTACAGTATTGCTTGCTGTTACCCTTAAGTGGACAATGTCGTTTTTAAACAACATACTTAAACATCACAGATAAAATTGACCTTCTTTTAATTTTTTGTTAATTTTGACAACTAGTTCTTATTTCTGAACGAATTTTGAAAAAAAGTATAGTAAATTCATGTCTAGATTTTTTTACTCATTTTTCCTAGACAGTAATACATGTCTATTACACAAATATATTTTTTTAAAACGTGAAACGTGAAAATCGTCCATTTAAGGGTTAAGACTCTTTTCGTTCAGGAAATAGGAATGTGCAGGAAAAATGTGCAGGATGATCAACTATTGCGGGTTAATCACACCTGTTTTTGGGCGTGGGGAAGGTGAAGGTTGGAGAAAGTTAATGAAATAGTAGCAACCCGTGGATACCNCATGTCTATTACACAAATATATTTTTTTAAAACGTGAAACGTGAAAATCGTCCATTTAAGGGTTAAGACTCTTTTCGTTCAGGAAATAGGAATGTGCAGGAAAAATGTGCAGGATGATCAACTATTGCGGGTTAATCACACCTGTTTTTGGGCGTGGGGAAGGTGAAGGTTGGAGAAAGTTAATGAAATAGTAGCAACCTGTGGATACCAGAATTACGTTTACGGATCTCCTTAATAATAGCCGAACAGATTATAACCGTGTTTGCAATGGGCAGACAAGATTAACATCGCAGTAGTTGCTCATTTGCGAGCATAGGTTCAATCACGTATTGAATTTTGATGTCGGCAAGTTTCCGGCTAGGTGATGCGATGACCTCCGAACAGTAGGCGGCAAGAAGTGGATGAGGTGATCGAAGCTCAGTGATGTGAATTGGGAGAGGCCTATGTTCAGCACTGGATGACTGTGGGCTGTTGATGATGATGATGATGATGATGAAGTTTCCAGGAGGTTCTTTGAATACACTTTTTGTACTAGAGCTCACAATGCGGCATAAGCTTGATAGATTGTTGGTTCTTCTTCAATACTCGAGTTAGAATGAAATAGAGAAACTACAAAGTAATTGCGATAATAAAAAAAATTGTGTATTATGAAGATGAAAAAACTGGCATCTTCGCCGCTGTTATTTTGAAACGGGTTGACCGTGACTATATAACTAGGTAGGATTTAATAGTTAATAAATAAGCAAAAGAAACATACTCCTTCTTTGGTTGTTCGGGAGATTCGTGCAAGAATACGTAACAGCATAATTCACGTAATCCGTTGCCAAGACTAGCAATTCTTGTTCCGCCGTCACTGGAAATAAGATATAATATATTAGTCGTTAATGAATAAAACATCTCTAATTAGTAAAGTTATTTTCAGTTTTTTAATTAAAAAAAACTAGTACAATGTATATATAGATATTAATTTGTATAGAGACAGAGGTTGGTGTGCCGCCAAACGATTAATGGCGTGGTAATATATATTTTTTTTTTGAAAGACAATCACGCCACTTTAACTGGTCCCGTACTAAGTTCGTAAAGAACTTGTGTTACATGTACCAGATAACGGAAATAAATGTAAGATTTTTATTATACACATACATAATATTGTATATTTAATATACATCCATAGCCCTGGAAAAGACATTTTATATTTATCATACAAATATGCCCCGACCCCCTTGTGTAGTGACCATGTCACTTACCACTACACCAGACGGCCGTTTTTAATGACATCAAGTAATGTTTTTTTTATTTTATTATTATTATTTTGCTAGTGACTCGTTTCATTTTAAATGGCTATCTCGTAGTCACCCTGAGTTATGTGTTCAAGTCTGAATTTTGTTGTAGGAGCGTTTTTCCATTCCATTCAAAGTGGAACACATGACCGATTTGCGGCAGAAACAAGGGGATAGTGGTACTGGTGCGGTTTCAGAATATTCCCAGCCATTAATAAACAGAGCAATTATTGGATTGTTTTCCTCATCATCATTCTCCTGCCCTTCTCCCAGTCATTTGGGGTCGGCGCAACATATTTTCTCCTTCCATACTCCTCTATCATATACCATATTTTGGCTCACTCCCCTCTTACATAATATATCATCTTTCACGCAATCCATCCATTCCTTCTTTGGTCTACCTCCTCCTCGCCTACTTTTCCTCGATTGTTTTCCTCATCGAAGACGGAAATTTATGCAGAAAGCGTTGAAGTATAGTGTAGGGATGTTACTCTAGATATTTATATAAAACTATAATTTACAATAAATATCTTAAACTCAAACAAGAATATTTGTTGTATATATTACAGTGTCTACGTATTTTGTGGATAATTGATAAAACCGATAAGACGTTTGTTACGACTTATAGTATGAATTAATCTTAAGTTTTTTTTTTTTATCTCAATCGGCTATCATACCATCGTAAAATTTTATGTAGGAAAATGATACTATTTCCGACTACTAGAAACGTCCACAAAAAATATTAATTATCTTTTTTATCGCATTGATTAGGTATGGTATGTTTTTAGATACTATATAATTTATATACATATATATGATTCACAAATGTTTTTACGAACAGGAAAACATTTTTTTTATTTTTTTTTATTGCTTAGATGGGTGGACGTGCTCACAGCCCACTCGGTGCTAAGTGGTTACTGGAGCCCATAGACATCTACAACGTAAATGCGCCACCCACCTTGATATATCAGTTGTACGGTCTCAGTATAGTTACAATGGCTGCCCCACCCTTCGAACCGAGACGCATTACTGCTTCACGGCAGAAATAGGCAGGAATGTGGTACCTACCCACGCGGACTCACAAGAGGTCCTACCACCAGTAAATTGAAATTAGTAGTGAATTGGCTGAGGAATTCATTGTACACATATTTGTTCGTTGATTGCTCTACTAAATCTGGTTACTGGAGTCCATTGATCAACGACGTGCCTGTATTCAGCCACGAGGTCAAAGATACAATACTATTCCACGACGGCTGTGTCACTCTGCAAGCCGGAACGCGGGACTGCTTCGTGGAAATGAGTAGCATAGCGGTATCTAGTCATGCGGGGCTTTAAATCAGAACCAGGAAGAAGCCCTCCTCCCTATCTCTACCGGGTTCGATCTCGGAAAGATGAACATGTAAACGAGCAAGGTTGCTTCGATTGTCCATCATATCCTGCGAGCATCTCGAATGTGATTCGACACGAGCAAACAAAGCCCAAATATATCACAATTCACTACTAAAAGAAACAGAATCGCATCGGGACCATTATTCAGAGTCAACAGATTGAAAATCTGGTTGGACAGAGATAATAAATATAGTATTAATTACGTGGATCTTAGTTAAAGTGCTGGAGAAGTAAAATACTTTTGTGGAATTTTTATCCAACCATAGTTAACTGGAAGAGCTATTGACTGGCGATTAAATTTCGATTTTAGGTTTTAGGCTTTTAAAGACTTACCTCCAGGAGCGACGTTCAAAAGAACACGTAATCTGGCACTTCCATCGTTGCTGATGACTGTGGCTGTACCGGTCACGGTTTCCAGAGCTTGGTTGACGACTTGGCTGTTCACGATATTGACGACGCCATTGCCTAAAGTGTATTCCGCTCTGGGACAGCTACCGGTGGAGCTCTCGGAGTAGTAGCTGGAGATCTCATGCCAAACACCTAGGAACTGAATGAGATTTTTGTTAAGTCCTTGTTGAAACAAACATGGTGAGATAGGTATTTATTGTATACACTTATGTATTTATATATAGTATACACTCAGCATTAGAAGGTGACGGGTTGAAGAGAAGAGAGAAAAGGTATTTATTTAATAATGGCATAGCTTAGTTAGCGCAGTAGGGCATTAAAAGAAAAAAAACAATTAAGGACTTTCAAAACCAGATTAAAATAACTAGGAAATATGCTGCGTCTGAAAGTTCTCTTGGCGAAGAATAAGAAAAAAAGTATGGCTTGCGTTAAACTAAGCGAGTTTCTTCTTTTAGTAGCCTTCACAAAACGCCACGCCATGAAATGAAAAGTCAAGATCTTTTCGATGATGGTTTTCTCGATTGCTTTTCTATGATGAGAATCGTTTTTAAAAATGCCTTCGTAAATTAGCAAATTTGAAGTAAAAATAAACACGACTGCGCCAAAATTTTTGAAAAGTGTACTTTTAAGAATAAAAATGTTAAAGGTAAGTAAAACACCATTCAAATGGATTGTGTGTTAGCAATTGTTTATTATGGACTAATTGAATGATTGCAGTCTGTCAGATACATATTGTGCAGTCTCCGGTCATCTTGTTTTTTCACATCGTATCATACTTACGTTAGCCACATCGAAGTTTTGTTGACCATTAATATTAGCATTGCATTGACCAGGCAGTACAATGGGCTGGTTAGGTTCAATTACAGGCAGAGCAAAGCAAGCGGACTCTGTATGTTTGACGCTTTCTAGTTCACTAGCGTGGATGGCGAATAAATTGTAAACAGTTGTGTTCATAAGAGCGGGGATCATCTCGTTTGGATATTGGGGCTCCCTTCCCAGGTGCCAGATGTAAACTGCAAAATAAATAATTGCGTCACGGCCACGCAGTGTCTATATCCCAGACGCAGAGTAGAATTCGTTTGTCCTGTTTTCCGTAATCGTTTTAACTAATGACCATGAATGATGATGAATTTCTGACTTGGCCATAATTTGTAACTGAAATTATTGGGATTCGCCATGCTGTTGTAATTGTGCACATTTTTGGCAGGTCATGAATGTCTTTCGTTGTATCCGAGCTAATTTTAACCAGTGAATAAAGTACCATAATTAAAATAAGTGTAAAATAAACGTCTAGGCGTAGCTATGGTAAATATTTTTATGTAAAATCACGCTTAATGTATTGAATATTCATAGAAAATTCGTTGGATCGAAAGTTCTTTATATTTGTACAGTTATACTCCTGTACATACTTACTCCTTTTCTGGTTCGTTCCGACATTTTCGCAGGCGTATGTCAGAGCAAAATTATTATAATCCGTTAGTAGTACCCAAAAATCGAGATCTGAAAAGAACAATGGAATTTAATTAAAACACTACAAACAAGACCTTCCCTAGAGGTGCCATCAAACCCTTTATTTAGGAAGGTTAAATAATAAATAAAAAGGGGTTGGGTATTATATCCAACTTTGCCTAAATCTCATTAAGGTTCTTTTTATTCAGAACAAGAAGTTGCAAGTATTGAAAAAATAGTATAAACTTACTGCTACTCATAGACGAGGATTGCTGAAATGATCCCTTGAGTCTTACCTATATTCGGTGAGATGTTCAGTCTCATTCTGGCCGTTCCAGATTCGACAGAAACGGATCCTCTTAATTCCGTTTGAAAATTTTTTGTAACATCTGAAGCGTATATATTCAATTGATTGTTTTGCTCGGTGAACTCCAAAGTCGCGCAATCGCCACGTTGGAAAGTATTGTCTGATCTTGCCACTTCGTACCATTTGCCGAGGAACTGTGGGGACGCCGAACTGCTTACATTTGTAACTTAATATTCAGCATCGATTAAATTAAAATTAGTCGACGGTTTTCTTGAGCTGTTCTAGTGGAACTTTGAAATGCTAGGAACAAACAATGCCACCGTAAAACTTTTATCTTAGCCCTTTAGGACTCTGCCGAAACTATTTGTGTAGTAGACATAATCTACTTCAATAGATTTAATTTAGAATTAGTAGAGGAAGAAGTGACAAAAAGCCAAACAAAAATGTTATTTTGTTCTCGATATTTAGTTAAAAAGACTCGATATTTGGAAAAAAGACGACAAAAGTTTACTTTTAAGGAAATTCATATATCTTGATTTGGGGTAGAGATGCTTATGCTTAAATTTTTTGATTGGCAAACCTAGTTTTCTAGTCATGAGAGTGAAGTCGCGGGGATCCGCTGGTTCCGGGCAGCTCAGAAATTATTATTTTGATGAACTTTGGGAAGGGCCTAAATATAGGACAGGAGCGGAGATCGGACGTCGGGTGAGACAGTGCAAGAGGAGTCGTTAGGTGCGGTAAGTCTCTAAAAATATCTTTTGGCCCGTGGTCTGCTACCAACATCTGCAAACCGTCAAGTCCTGCATACCCCGCATGCCTCCTAAGCGCTGACACCTTTCAGTAACTTCGACCCCGTGCCCGAAAAAAAATCCCAAGCTCTGGAGCAGTAGGCTTATAGTTATGATAGCAAGTTTTCACGTATTTTCTTCTCATGATTTTGATGTTATTTTACGACTTTTCTCTCCTCGTCTAAGCCACATATGAGGAGCTTCATTATTTACAAAATTAGGCTCCGAATCGAATCTAGGCATATTAGTAAAACTAGCTACCAGAATAATACAAAACAATTTNAAAAAAAATCCCAAGCTCTGGAGCAGTAGGCTTATAGTTATGATAGCAAGTTTTCACGTATTTTCTTCTCATGATTTTGATGTTATTTTACGACTTTTCTCTCCTCGTCTAAGCCACATATGAGGAGCTTCATTATTTACAAAATTAGGCTCCGAATCGAATCTAGGCATATTAGTAAAACTAGCTACCAGAATAATACAAAACAATTTAAGAAGTACAAAATACTAAAGTTCCCAAGAAATTAGTCAGTGTCGTAAAGTTATAAAGTGACTATCGAACTGTATTACCGAGTCAAGGTCTTGTCTCTTCCAATTATTATTTGCACTTATCTACAATCTAATCTTTTAGATAAACGGTTGCTATAGAACTTTAACAATATAATTCAAATATTTGGTAATTGGCATTGTCTAATTTTGTGGTCTAAATTATCGTTCTGGTCAATATAAAAAGTGGTTCGATTGATCCTTTTTATTTTAGTGCCATAGATAAAGCAGGGTAGCTCTGTATCTGAAGTAGTTAATATAACTCGTAAACACAGCATTGTAAAACATTCCTATTCTGGATGCGACTTTGAGGTCTCCGAAAAAACTGCTATCTTAAATAGATTATTTTTACCAAGATTTAAATCTTTGATAATAATTTAAAAGATTGTAAGATTAAATAAAACACGGAATAAAGTAATTTGGTTATCTATTTCTATTTTATCTGTTCCTGTAATTATTTATTTGAGTCAAGTAATTTTGATAGCGTAAGGTATTAGCTGAAAGACAAATAATTTGTTTAGGGAGGTTCACAAATGCGTTGCAAAATAACCTAAATGTGTCTCTATGGTCTTCACTTGTTTAATTAAATCTGAATCTGAATTCAAATCTGAATTAGTGAAATAAATTTACACTGATTTGATGTTGGCGATTCTATTGTTTGGTAAATTTTCAAAAGTGTCGTCTCTCTAACTAATTTCAGTTCTCAATAATGTAAACTTGCGCAAACCATGACTTTCTTCCATTAGGGATCGATTTGTAACACTGTATATTACGATGCCATTATAATAATATATTTAATAATTTTTAATCCTCTTGTTAAATCTCGAATGTAAAGTCGTTTTTAAACCATAATATACCCGAACATTGAATCATATTAAAAGTCGCTTCATAGCATTTCGAAGCAACTGGGGATTTTATATCTGGGGAGAATATAATCTTATAACTCTTACGATCTTCTAATTTCAGATATAGGACGGCTACGGTTCCTTGTCCACCAGTCAGTCCTAAGACATATATACATACATACATATACGTTGTCAAATGAATGTCAGTGTCATACGTAATCAATTTATTAGTCTTAAGCGGTCAATTGATTACCTTATAAAGTACCTTCTCTTAAGATATAAAATAGAGTGCGATTGACATTTGAGCCCAAAAAGCAAATAAAGGAAAGAAAATTGTTCATTCGGTTTTAATGGTCAGTGACAAGTGTTTCCAAGGGAAAGATCAGATACTACGACCTAAAACTATCAAAAGGATTGGGTGCTTTGAATGAAGAAATTTTTTTTGATTTGAAGAACTTTTGAGTTATATTGAAAGCAGCCATCTACGTATTTTAGACGCTGAGCGTTTTTACTCGTTTTTTTTTTATTATTGCTTAGATAGGTGAACGAGCTCATAGCCCACCTGGTGTTAAGTGGTTACTGGAGCCCATAGACATCTACAACGTAAATGCGCCACCTACCTTGAGATATAAGTTCTAAGGTTTCAGTATAGTTACAATGGCTGCCCCACCTTTCAAACCGAAACGCTTTACTTCACGGCAGACATAGGCGGGGTGGTAGTACCTACCCGTGGGGACTCACAAGAGTTCCTACCACCAGTAATAATTCTTGTAAGAGGGAGCAACTGGCCATTTCGTATAGCATCAAAGAAGACTCTACTGAAAACTCTACTCGACATCATTCACAGAGTTATGATGATAACAATTCATGCAACAACTTACTAGGGTCAGGATTGTTTGCGGGCCAGAATATCATTCCAAACAACTCTCAGAGCCCTTTTTTCGTCAATTACGACCCATACGTCTATTCAATGGGTAAAACATCAAAGTCCTTAGATTAAGAGCATCTCAAAACCAATATGAAGTCTATCAGACCCCATAAAAAGATGATCTCACTGTATATCATACATACTGAGATATATGAAATTACTCTATTGATAAATGCACCTTTCTTGCGATCATTTTGAAATTTCAACATTGTGTGATGAAAGATTGGAAATAACTCGATCGATAGCGATTGACAGAGAGCTCCATCAATGTTATAATTGTTTAAAGCGTAAGTATTATTAATGTCTGTGTGATCTTCCATTTGACAATAATAAAATTAGCCACCTATGGCACACATAGATGTTTGTTTGAACAATAAATATTAAAATTGTCCTGTAGAAAAAGGTAATAGAATTATTGGTAATTGAAACTTTCCGTCATATTTGGATTTCAATTTACGTAATTCAATTCCAAACAAAAATGTTCAATTCAAATAACAAAAAACGAAACGAGTAGTCTAATGAAAAAAAACAATTAACATAACTTTCAAAAACTTACTTGTTGAACTTGGAAATTCGGGACGGTCGCTATGTTCGGATCGCACTGGCCATTTTGTATGAATTGACCGACACAAACACCAAACAGTCCTAGGATACTAAATAAGAATAAATTTAAATTTATCATATTGAGATCATGTTCCGGTGACAGTCACAGCACAGCAACTTATGTGAATAGCGTTACGCCTAATGGTGTAGCGAATTTATATCTTTTTTATTATCGAATCGCCTTATTATCTCAGCGCGGCGGCGTTCAGAATCGTTAGTCGCTAAATCGTACGTTTTGTTTTCGATAAAATGTTTTAATTGTTTTTTATTGCATCTGGGTGCAGGCGATAGCGAAATACTTAGATTCAGATTAAATCTCAAACCGGTGGGATTACCTACGCGTACGGGCTACGCGCCAATGACCAGAACCTGAAAGATGTTGGTAATGTATAAGCCCAATACAACNCGGCGGCGTTCAGAATCGTTAGTCGCTAAATCGTACGTTTTGTTTTCGATAAAATGTTTTAATTGTTTTTTATTGCATCTGGGTGCAGGCGATAGCGAAATACTTAGATTCAGATTAAATCTCAAACCGGTGGGATTACCTACGCGTACGGGCTACGCGCCAATGACCAGAACCTGAAAGATGTTGGTAATGTATAAGCTCAATACAACAAAATAATCAATGAAACAAACAACGAACACAATACTGACATCCTTAAAAAAGTATATCTAAACACAGAAAATTTCATGACTAGAAGAAAAGAATTACAGAAGATTATGAACAAAACCAGAAGTATAAGAAATGAAATATCAGCTCTAACCAAACTTATTAGCAAGTATATCAGGCAAGATTATGCAAAATAAAGACAGGACACGAAGGCACTTACAACAAAATGCTTATTAGGAGCTAACACAAAATAAAACATGTATCGAAGGACTTAAATCATCAGGAAAGCAATCTAAAATAACATACCGCAATGATGCCGCTCACTTCTTAGGCAGGATGCTCTTGAGGACTTTTTGGGAAGTTCCTATAGAGTCTTGGAACAAAATAAAATTGAAAACGTCATATTTGTCGGCGACTTTATGTAATTTTGCATAACCTGGAATTTTACTAATAACATGCTGTCTCTTAACTGTAAGTCTAGTAATGACCTATTGTCTAATATGCTTCTTGATTTTTGCTTGATGAATAAATTATAGTATTATAACCGCACGCTCAACAGTGACGCCAAGGTCTTGGATTTGGTCATCAGTAACAGAACAAATATTATCAATTCATGTACAAGCAGCGATCCACTATCGAAGGTTGACCGTTACCACCCACCTTTTGTTTTGAGCATATCTGATTGTGGTAGAAAAATTGGTAACAATAATTTGATTCCGGACAACAATAACCGTCGCTATTTTTATAAAGCAGATTACACCAACGTAATCAGAGATAAATCTCTGATTATTAAAATAAACGTCGATTGGTATGATGAACTGGAAGTTCGTCCGTCTGTCGATTATATGCTTTTGGTATTTTATAAACATATGGGCATGGTTATCGAGAAACATGTACCAAAGCGTTTATTAAGAAGCAAGAATGACCCTTCATGGTTTTTTTGTGACTTAATTAAACTTCTTAAGGAAAAACTGAAATATAGAAAAAAGCTTAAGAAATTTAATAAAAACCCCATTGGATAAATTATCTTTCGAGTTGGCCAAAAAGCGATTTGGTCTTTTATCAAGAACAAAAGAAGGGATAGAAGCCTCTTCCCTGCACGGATGACTCTGGAGGGCAAGAGTGCCTCGAGCGGCAAAAATATTTGCAATCTCTTTGCTCGTAGCTTCTCTTCTGTATACAATAATGGTGCTCTACATTCCTAGTCCCTCATGTTGCAAAATTATGAAATAATAACTTGTCGATTATCCAATTTAATGACGCACATGTACTTAAAGTTTAAAAAAAACTTGATCCGAGTAAGGTATTCTTGCTGAATTTGCAAAGATTTTTGACCAAATTCTCCATCCGACTTTAGCAGGGCATTTCAAAAATCTAATTAACTCTCATCAACATCGTTTCACGAAGTCTAGATCTACGTCAACGAACGAACTTGAGATCTTTCATTAACATTGCTGTCGAGGTCGACAGGTGCTCGACTGTTGATACTGTGTACGCCGATTTCAGCAAAGCATTTGATCGCGTGAATCACAGAATCTTTTTGCATAAGCTCACTGATAACGGCATTGCTGAGCCATTGCTGACTTGGTGTGCATCGTATTTCTTGGCCCGGCAATCAATGGTCGTAGTATCTTTTCTGACCCCTTCTCGACACCCTCTGGTGTAGGTGGGATCTCATCTCGGTCTTCTGTTTTTCAATAGATTTCTTTCACTAAATTGTGGATTGGTTGCTATTTAATATTTTCTTCAACCTTCGCGAATCGCAGGCATAATTAAAAGTACATCATGAGTACAATCATGAGATTTAATTATTAACGTATTTAGATATGATTAAAAGTGGTATTAATTGATAGTAGTAGTTAGATTGTGATTTTAATTAGAAATAGTTTGAATGGTGATAGGACGTTTTGTGAGTCAGCACGTGTAGGTACCACCGCCCTGCTTATTTCTGCTGTAAAGCAGTAACGCCTTGAATCGGTTTGAAAGATGGGGCAGCCATTGTACCGTAAAACCTGAGATATTAGAAATCATGTATCAACTTGGGTGGCGGCATTTACTTTATAGATTGTGTTTATGTGTTCCGATAAGTACTGGACACCAGATAGGCCGTGAGTTCATCGAAAATCTAGGCAATAAAAAAAGCTGTAGTCGTCCGTATGACCAATAAAATCCAAAAACCAAGGTAGTCCAGTTCACGGGCATTACACCACAACCCCAATTCCCCAAGATATGAGGTTGAAATCTCAAAATACACTGATTAATGCCTACCCTACTCTGCAACGCGGAATCTTTCAACCTCGAAAACATTTTCCTTAGAAGTAGGCAGAGAAGGGGAAGCCCTGCAAAATCGCTCGTCGGCAAGTACCAAATTAATCATTAACAGTGCCGAAAACAAAGACGTGTGTGACGAAGCGAGGCGGTGATTTATCATTGCCTATCTGTAATTAGCTGGATGTAAGACGATAATATTCTACTTTAGCAAACAACATTAAATGAGTTTATCGTCGGCGATGTGTATTTGCGTGATACGGAAAAGTCGTTGAGGTTTTGGGGTAGTTTCATAAAAATTATAATGATGTTCAATAAAAATATAATAATATAGATCCAAGAATTTGTACTTCAAATTCGGATGGTTCACGAGGTACTTGGATGTGGTGCCTACTTTATGTACGTACTCTTGTGCAGGATAAAATATCCATCACTACATAGTATAAAACAAAGTCGCTTTCTTTGTTCCTATATCCCTATGTATGCTTAAATCTAACGCAACGTATTTTGATGCAATTTTTTTTTAATAGATAGAGTGATTGAAGAGGAAGGTTCATATGTATAATAACATCCATTAAATAGTGGAAAAATCAATAATAAATTACAGTTTCCGAAGCGAAGCGAGGGCGGGTCGCTAGTTATATATAAAGCATTCTGTATTTGTAATAAATTTAGGCTTCGACCTTATGTTTCGAGCTAGGATAACAAGGCTTCAGAAAGTGCTTGACATCATAGCCATCTGTGATCATTAGTGTTATCGTTGGTCGAAATTCGATCGTAATTATTGACACTTGAAGGTTTAGATTCATTTAAGGTATCATCTTTTCTCTGTTTCTTGCATAGTTGAGAAGATTAAACGAATCATCTCTAACACCAGTCACTCACATGCGCACGAATACGCAAACCCGCAAGTGTAGGACGACATTTGCAAATGATTATGCAAAGTTTTCGCTACATTCGTGGTTTTCCAAGCTGTGTCAGTTTTTAACAGACATCAAAGCGCGCGAATCTCGATCCTTCGCGTAGTCTCCCACACATTCGCTAGCCCAGTTGCGCCGACGATTGCGAAGGTAACGGACGTCTCGCCATTTTCATAGTTCGTGACGTCTACTGTGTAGCGTATCTTCATCAAAAGGAATCCCATAAAAACAGCATGGCTGTTAATGATGTCTGGGAAAGAATTCAAAACTCTTTTTCTCTTCAATGTTCTATTGACGAATTAAAAAGGAGGAGAAATTCGTAAGACATTCGTAAACAAGTGTAGGAGGAAGCGCAAACGGGTTCGCAAATTGAGTATGCGAACCCATTTGCACAGCCGCTAGGTTTGCGAATGAATGTTTGACGGCCCTTCACATGCGCGCAAACATTTGTACGAATATTTGCGCGTATGTCAGTGGCCGGCATAAATGTATTTTTTAGAATTCAGAACCTTTGTTGACTAGCAGAGTAGAAAAGGTAAATCCAGAAAACCAAACTTAGAGCTTTGAAAATAAAATTTACGCTATTCACTAAATGGTTAATGTCGGTCGTATCTAGTTATTTTACAGCCACGTTGTCATCTACTATTATATTATTATTGGATACTGCGTCTCTCTAAGAGGCCTAATCGCTTCATTAAACTGCAACACAAATGCCTATTGTGATTCTCTGCAATTTGTCAAAATGATTCATGGTCAGACTTTTTAAATTCTATATACCAGTGAACGAGTTTACAGTCCACCTGATTTGATTGAAATTGTTACTGGGTATCAGAATGCATACATCGACCCAACTTGAGACAGTAAAAAACAACAAAGTTGATGTCTCAGTTTTAGGTATAGTAATTTTAACATACAAGCTAACTCTCCGGACTTTACCAAGGCTCAAAAAGAGTTAGTCAAACGCGGCCGCATTGCTGACCGATCTTTGATCTGACTTTGGGCCGATCGCTACTAAAGTAGTGATATAACCATTTGCTAGACCAATTTAAAGATTTTGTGAAACTATTAGCAAAATCGATCCCGCCGTTTCGGAGTCTATACCCACCGACTATTATTTTATACGTACCTATATTTATGGATATAATTTCGAACATCTGTTCGGTTATGGCTCCTAAATTATTATCGTTAACAACAGATAAGGGTAGGCGAATATTATCATATGACAATTTTCTTTATCGCACCACTATTTAGTTTTATGATATACGGATGTATGTGAGTATA